CACACACACACTCAATATCCGCAGAGTCAACCATTTCAAATCCAAAGGAAAACATGAAAATCAAAAACAATATAACTCGGAGGGTGTTGAACGCTCAATTCACAATCTGTAGATCTTGGTGTTGCGACCCGGAGATCTATATTCCCACTAACCTGTTCCATAACCATATCACCATTTCATGTTCAGGGATTCAGTAAATTTTCCAAGTATCTCTGATGAAGATGCCTTAGTTAGGCTGTCCGCAAGCATGTCGGTGGTAGGGATATATATTGGCTTTATCTCCCGGTGGTTTACGAAGTCACGTATAGCATGATATCGAATCAGGATGTGCTTGCTTCGAGAATGCAGCACTGGATTGTCGGATAGCTTCATTGCGGACTGATTATCCATATAGAATGGAGTCGGTCCCTTAGATCCTTTCTGAATCGAATGCAAGAAATGTCTAAGCCATACTGCCTGCTTGGCTCCGTCTGACGCAGCAATATACTCAGCTTCTGACGACGAAGTCGCAGTAATTGGTTGCTTTCGGCTTGACCAACTTACAGGGCCACCAGCCAGTATAAAAATATACCCACTAGTTGAACGTCCCTTTGTAGCATTGGCATATGACGCATCCGTATAACCGACTAATATCTTACCACTCCCCTTTTCATCTAACGCTCGGTAGATGATAGCATATTTGATTGTACCGCGGACATATCGGAGTATTCGCTTGACCGCTTCTAAATGGACTTTTGTGGGTTTGGCCAGGTGTTGGCTGAGACGATTGACAGGAAACTGGATATCTGGCCGCGTTCCACCAGCTAAATATGTTAGTCGTCCAATGATTCTTCGGAACTTTGAGTGCAGATCTTTTGGAAGCGTTGAGATCTGCTGAAAGGTCGTACTAGTCCGAGAGGTAGGATACGATCCTTCGATGATCATGCAAATTCTTTAAGCATCTGAGTAGCATAGAATTCTTGATCCAGTCGTATACCTCCATTTGGAAGCCAGGTGATTCGGATTCCTAATATCTTCTTTGCAAGTCCAGGATCCTTCATTGGATGAAATTTCTTGAGTTTCCTCTTTGTCCAGTCAATGTCCTTAGTTGCTTTACCGAACACTAAGATATCATCCACGTATAGCGCAATGATGACTCCTCGTTCATTGATAAAGACACTTGAATCAGCTGTTGAAGGCTTAAAACCAATAGTGTTAACGAATGACTTGACTTTCTGATTCCAGAGGTTGGCAGATTGCCGTAAGCCATACAGCGATTGTAAGATCTCACAGACCTGATCTGGTTCAGTTGGTCCGACACCATGGTCCTCTAAGCCCTGGGGAATTTCCATGAACATTTCCTTGTCGATTCTTGAGCCTACGAAGGCGTTTGTAGCGTCAAGTAGATGAGCAACCATCCCGTATGAAGCTGCAATAGCGAACAGCACACGGAGGCTTTCCAGTCGGATTACTGGTGCAAATGTGTCTTCAAAGTCTAAACCTTCCTGTTGAGAGAATCCTCTGGCAACTAGTCGTGCTTTGAATCGTTCTAGACGCCCATCTGCGCCATATTTCAGATCGAAGACCCATTTACATGATATGACTGATCGTCCGATTGGTCGTTTAACAAATTTCCATGTGCCGAAGCGTATCAGATTTCGAATCTCAAGACCAATGGCTTCACGCCATCTAGGTCCATAAATTGGATGATTGACAGCTTCCTCATAAGTCTTGGGTATAGGAATTTGCTCCCCTTCAAGCCGCTTGTCAACTCGTAAAGCAAACTCGTCGTCTTCGCCTAGTAGGAGTTCTATTGCAACTGCCAAATTGGCTGTTTCTCGTAGACGTGTCTCCTCATGAGAGACTTGGGAAGAACTATCCGTTGTTGATACTTTACTCGCTTCCCTTTCTTCCCGACGTCTTTCTTGACGACTTTTCCGGCCGTATATTTGCTCTGTTTGCTGTGATTCAATTAACGCCTGGGTTGGTTGTCGTATACGCTCAGATCGTCGCTTTGGTGAAGCATCTTGCTGAGATGTCTTTGGTAATGAAGGTGTAGTGGACGGGTTTGGATCAGCTAGATCCGGTGTAGTCGACGTAGTGGATTCTTGACTATGTGACTCGTCGACTGCGGTAGTTGCATCAACATCATCCTTGTGGTTGAGCACGGTAGGACTCATAGCGGTAGTTGATGCAGAATTGATAACTGGATTGACAGTGTGGTTAAACACACTAGGATTCTCAATGAGGCTGTTATATGCCTCATCATTCGTAAACTCTCGATCACCTGCTTCATCAGAAATGAAGCCTCGTTGATCCTCCAAAAAGATTGGATTGGTGACCTTCCGTACTCGCCCTTGTCTATCAAGTACGAGATATTGACTGCTGCTCTTGGTATAACCCACAAAAACACCTTCTTGAGCCCTCGGATCAAGCTTATCCTTTGTCTCAATGTGAAACCAGACTTTGCAAAAAGGAACTTTGAGCTTTGCAAGGTTATACTTCTTCTTATAAATCATCTCATATGCAGACTTCCGTTTCTCCCCTTCCCTTGGTGAAAACATGGTTCGGTTTCGAAGAAAGTTGGCCATCCTAACTGCATATCGCCAATACTTCTTCGGAACATTCATCTGCTGCATCATCGCTCTCGCGATCTCAAGTATGAAACGATTCAGACGCTCTGCTGGTCCATTCTGTGGTGGTGTATATGGCTCTGTAAACTCCAGGTCGATTCCCTTCTTCTCAGCCCATGATCCTAATGCGGCAAACTCCTTCGCATTATCCAATCTAATATTGATCAAGGCCTTCCCTAGAATACGTTCTTCTTTAGCCATCCACTTCTCCAAGATCTCAATCACGGTCTCAGTACGTCGATTGTCCGTGATGTAAAGCCATGAGAACCTAGTCGCATCATCAACTATTGCCAAATAGTACTGGCCTTGATACGGTCCCCAAAAATCAATATAAACTCGTTTCAACGGTTCCTTCTCCTTTGGAACCTCTCCTCGATTCTGGCGCTTCACACTCTTCGCCTGAATACACGTCTCACATGTGAAATCATACGATTCTGGAAGCTTCAAACCCATTCGCTTCACTAATCGTTTCATCCTTGGCTTCCCTGGGTGTCCAAATCGCTTATGAAGCAGATCCCAATCTGGTTCTCTGGACACTATTCGAGCCTCTTCATCCTTATTCATTCGCCTTGATCTTGTCATGAGTGTATCCTGGGACTCCACTGAGCCTAGATAACTCGTTCGACCGATATTGTAGCCTGTAGCCAGAGTCTTTCGATCCTTTCTGTAGAATCGATATCCATCCTTCTCATGAGCATTGTAGATTCCATCTCGATACAACACTTGTGTCGAGAGAAGGTTTTCTTCCATGTCTGGCACATATAAAACATTATTCAACCTTGCCACTCCTCCATCCATAAGAGGAACTCTAGCAATCCCTTTTCCCATAATCTTAAGGTTTCCTCCTGCAGTCTTTAGGACGCCTCTGTATCTTGTGTCAAGTTTTTCTAGGCATTGAATATCGCCGGTGCAGTGACTCGTTGCACCTCCATCAATAGTCCACTTCTTGACCTTTTGCTCACTTTGGTCTGGGTCTATGCTTGTAGCTCGATCTGCATAATGAACTCCAATCCACACCTTATATGCACTTTCTTCGCTGCTTTCCTCGCTGACACTCTCATCCTCAGTATCAGATTCTTTAGAAGCATTCCTAGCCTTTCCCTTAAACCTAACTTTCTTACTTCTCTTCTCGTGTGCTTTCTTTCTAGAGCTTCGCGTCTTTGAGCTCTCTTGAGAGTCATCTCTAGACTCTTCTTTCGACTTCTTTCGTTTGTCTGGTTTTGGACAATTCCTCGCAAAATGACCCATCTCGTTACAGTTGAAGCACTTAATATCAGATGCGCGGTTGGCCGATTCATTGGCTCCGATGGTCTTATTGGTACTGCCACCTTGCATGCGCTCTTGCTGTTGTAATCGTGATAGTACAAGCCCTCTCGATAGGTCCCCAGCTCCCAGTATTGAGAACTTCATAGAATCGTACTCTGACGGTAATCCTTCCAGAAAAATAACCATAATCGTCTTCTCTGGCAATTTCACTTCTCCGCCACTCACGTCAACTAGCTCTGTATGCCTCTGTTCCAACTGCTGTAGTCCTGCCTCTACTGTCGTTGTAGAGCTCATTTTCCATGTTATTACATCGCGAATCGCATACGCAACGTCTACTTCCGTGCGCCTTTCATATTTCTCCATAAGGTACGCCCATATCTCTCCTGATGACCTCATATGTTGGACCGCGGATTCATCACTTTCGGTAAGGTTCTGTAGGATGTACAATTTCGACAAGGAGTCTGCTGCACTCCATTTATCGTCCTTAAGAAGCTCATCTATCTTCTCAGATTGCTTCCTCCACTTATATGTATAATCCAACACTCTCCAGCACCCTTGTGACTTTAGGAATAACTCATACTTGTTTTTCCAACTTCGAACGTTTGTCCGATCGAGTTTCGCTATCTCGAATGTCATAAACTTTCTCCCATTGACCTCCTCAAACGTAGGAATCGTTTCGTCGTCTGGCATTCTCGCTAACTTGTCCACAAGTTGTCGGTCCGGTGTAAACTCTCGTATGGGTACCTCGACTCTAACCACAGTATTCTGCCAACCGCTGTGTACGGTGTTGTCTCTTTCTTGTTCGACGATCTCGTTCTCGGTGGCTTCGTCACGTTGACCTAAGGCTGTCTCGTTGCCTTGTTCGAATGAACCAGGAATTCTACCCTCTGGCTCAGGAGTCGTGGAAATAAACCGTCCTCTCTCGTCTCGTTGTCTCCGAGACATCAACTAGCCTTGAGCTGTAACACTTCTTCCTTCCAAACTTTCGAAGCGCGGTCGTATGCCCGAATTCGTCGTAACAATAGGTTGGCCGGCCTATCTTTACTAAGAGGATCGAGGATACAACAGACTAATCACGATACTATTACCTGCTTACACCCAGCGGTGATTCCGGGTGGTTCGCCCTAAGGTGCAAGACTCGCTTCCACGAACGCTGTTATGCTATCCTGCAGCTTAGCCCCAAGGACATGCTACCATGTAAATAAATCGGTGAATAGATCGTATAGACTCAGAGGATTAATATCGTTCAGTAATAGTGATCAATGATCAGTTGCTTGTAAGTATTAATAAGGAGATGATTCGATGCGTTGAATCTCTGTGTATTGCTTGTCTGTCTTCTAGTTACCTACAACTCAGGGGTTGAAGCTATAGCTAGTCTCGGAACGACTAGTGTCACGTGACCTTACGGTCAGATTCTTTACACAGATAAATGATAGGTAATAGGTACCTAGTCTACACCTATATTGAAATAGCGTGACTTCCAAGATTGTTAGATCACTGGAGGGTAGTAACTTCTATACATATAGCCATGTAATCTTAATCTATTGCTAGATAGTGAAGCTAGGTATCTCCTCTATTATGATAATTTATGCGACCCCATTAGTGAAGCTGAGGCAATTCGAGCGCATAAATTTCGCAGTCAATATTTCTGAACACGGATTTGCTAAGTTAAGACAAGTATTTAAGTGCAAATATGCAAATATTGCGAGTGTTGGTTTATATGTGCAATCGAGATTCCTGGCACCGACGCGAACCGAGGAGAGGTCACGTGAAGGTACACGTGACCTCGTCAAGCTGTCGAGGATTAGGTAAGCTAAACCTAATCAAGGAAAGCCTACAAGATTGGTACAAGGAAAATTCGAGAATTGAAGACACAAGATTGAGCCTACGAATCAGTTTTACAGCTCTCTATCGAGAATCTTCTATTGAGATTGTCTGGATATCTTCTATATGGGATTCTCAAACATAAATAGTGTCCAAAAATCCCATCAAGATGTAGATAGAAGAGCGTGCGCAGAATTAGGTCAATATCAATATTTCCACTATAAAAACATCTTTGAGTATTGAGCTTAACTGAGTTTGTGCTAGTACACAGCAAGTTCCGATACAAGCAAGGACTATATAGACCGCGTCGGGGCCTCATTAAGAGAAGAGAACACAGACGATTGAATACATTTTGACCATAGTACTTGGAGTACCACCTGAAGCGCGTGTACGGACGTACGTACATTGTTTTATTGGCTTTATAAGCCAACCCACAGCGAGGGTATTTCTCTTTATTCATGGAATAGTAGTGTGCGAACTCGCTAACTTATCCTACCGTCAAAAGCATCGCCGAGGTTTAGTGATGTTCGAAATTATTGGTGAAGTGCATAGCGTAGTGAGGCCCAACTGACCTACCAAATATTAATCAGGAAGAAACACATATTAAAGCGAGGGGTTTTGATTATTCATTATAGAGGACAATTCCTTGTTGAAAATAGCACAACTTTGTCAGAAAGGGATATCCAAGCATTAAATTCAAAAGATACGGTAACGTAATCGGACACCCACCCGATCATGACACCCACCCGATCACTTTCTCCGGAAAACGCGCTCTATACGAATTTCAAACTTGAATTTCTCACCCACATACAAAATAAATACAATATTTTAACTAGTAGTACGATTTGGACATCGATTAATTTTATGCCCGATAATTCCACACCCACTGCACTTCGGTGGCGCTCGTAGGCGTGGTTGAGAGGTTTGGGGTTCGGATTCGACTGGTGCAGTCGGGATAGGTTGAGATGCCTCATTCCGACTGCCTATTAGCTCCTGAGCTTCCTGCGCTGTAAGAGATCCTTCATGAGATATCTGAGCTCTAGACCTTTTACGTTTTTTCTTTTCCTTCTCATTTGCGGCTCGTAAATCATGCACCTCTTTCTGTATAATCAGAAGCTCATTCCTGCTCATTTCGTATGCTTTGGACAGCCGGTTTATCGCTTGATCAACCACCTCAAATGGACCTATTGTACGATCATTAATACGCTTCTTTATTGTTGCCGTCTGACGGTTGAATTGACGTGGATTTTGAGGTGTTTGCTGGCAAGAAGATTGTGAATTACTTGATCGACTAGGAGGGGGTGTCGGGGTCCGAAGTTGAACTGTAAGCTTTTCATAAACATGATCTGGATTATATGGCACTAATCCAGTAGCTTTGAAGCCATTCTGAACATTTTCAGCTTTATATGCCATTGCACGAGCCTCTGGAAAAGCCGTAAGAAAGTCATATTTATCAATATGATTGAACCCAAGCCGTACACGTTGCTCAACAAGCCGTCCATATTGTCGTTTTAGAACTGCAAAACAACTCACATCTAGAGGCTGTAAGAGATGCGAGGAATGAGGTGGCATACACACTGGTATAATGTTATTTTCAGTGCAAATTTGATCAAATTGAGGTGTCAAATGGCTTCCATGGCCATCAAGAATAAGCATCCGATATCTCCCCTTCGTACGGCTTGTCGTATGAGGAATAAAGTGCTTTTGAAGCCACCGTATTCCAATCTCATCTGTTGTCCAGCCATTTTTACTAATATCAAGTCTCCAATCTTGTGGAAGAGTCTCAAACCAGCCTTGTTGATAATAGGTTGTTGCTTTGAAGATAACGTATGAGGGCAAAGCCCATCCAGTGGAATTAACTGCTTCAATTGCTGTAACCCACTCGCGATTGCCAGGTTGCAATAAATAAGGCCTTCCATATCGATCGCTGCCTGTAATAACTTTTGCAGAAGCACAGAGACCCATAGCGAAGCCAGTCTCATCAAAATTATATATATCTTCCGATAAGATCCCATATTCTTGGATGACCTCTTGTACGCGGTTAAAATGCTCTCGGATTATCTTAATATCCTCACATTTTGCTCGCTCGTAGTTATATCTTCGTGAAAATCGTAGTTTGACTTCCGGATGTCGATCAACAAATCGATAAACCCATCTCTCACTGACATGTTTATTTCCATTTTGAGAAAGAAGAAGATCTGCCATATCTTGTACGAGGGATGGCCGGGGAGGTAATCCGCGCTTATCGAGGTCAAGGATCCATTTTAGAAGAGATTCTTCTTCGTTCTGAGTCAATACATGACTATTGGCGCGTTTTTCAATCTTATATTCAATGCCATTGAGTCGGTCATGGAGAGTTGTGTAAGGAACATTGTAAATGCGTACGGCTTGACGAATTGATCGAATTTTGCCATTTTTTAAATCGGAAATAGCAAGTAGGATCTTGCCCTCTTGTTCCACCAACTTTTCCCGATATCCTGTACGAATTGGTGGCATGGCGAAGCTTTGAAATTTGTGTACAAAGATAGTTGATGTGGGTTGGGCGGAAGTGATCGGGTGGGTGTCATGATCGGGTGGGTGTCCGATTACGTTATCATCTAGTTTCTATCAACTTCAGAGATTGAGGGCAGAATAGGACTCGATAAATCCAACAAGTGAGTAAAGGCTCCTTCAAAGTACATATTTTCCTTTTCAAAGCGTGATAAATTGACATTTGGAATGGAGATTATATCATTTATATGATCAATCCGGTAAAATTCACTATGCTACATTACCTCGGCTTGGTATGATATGCTTGCTCATCATCGCTTGATGGAACGTCCAAGATAACCCGCTGAGCGTATCGTACTTGTTATTCACTTACATCAATGTGTATTATTACGAATGCGGGACCTTGTCACGGTAAGAAAGCTAATACCGCACTAGTATTGTGGAACGAGCGGCACGGGATCAGATTAGATGATCAGATAAGATTAGCTTCTATTTGGGCTCCATCAACCATGGTTTGTCTTACCCTTCTGCTTCTCACGAGTCACACAAGTAGAGATTAACCGGAATAGGCAAGTACATGACAGTATGTCTATGAGATTTGGCAAAGCTTGCGGCCGAAATCGGCGGTTATATTGCCAGTGAGATAAGCTCCGTTTAAAGAGTCTGTCAGAAGAATCAAGAATCCGCAGCCAATGGATTGACTAGATAGTGTTACACTACTGCACTACGGAAGCAAGGATTATCCGTAACCATTAGGGTTAGGGTATCAGAGATATCAGAGATATTCTATGATGGATATGATCTAAGTATCAGAGAAATCAGAGAAACTCTATGATTTCTATGATGATGATGGAATATATAAGGACACTCGTTCATCATGTATTTAGTTTTATTCTATCGTCTTGAATTAACCGTGCTAAGTACCCCTTAGCTTTGACAACTTGAGTATACGTTCTTCTATCGAACCGGATATTCATCCTTTTATTAAGACTTTGCTTTCAAGAAGCCTTTCGTACTTAGAAGCCTTATAACTTCAGCGTGTTATAAGCTATCCGAGATATACTCGACGGTAGTTTGACCGAAGTTTCCGACAGAGTCTCCAAATATTGTGTGGAATTTCACCCTAATTCAACCTTAAAAGAATGAGAAAACATGAGTCCTTATTTCCTATATGCATAGATGTAGCATTGAATGAAAATGTCCAAAATCAGTGTTGGACCACGTGAAAGAATGAACAAGTAGTAATCAAGACATTGTTTTGTGGCTGAGTATTATGTTTTTCAAGTTGTCCGCTATCATCATGCATTAGATAAAAATTAGAAGAACTCTCTACAAAACTAGCTTGCTATGCGCAATGCCATCATACAATATTTTCAAAGATTTCCGCAGACGCTTCGTCTATCCCGACAGTTGCCGACTCAGTGGATCCACTGCTCATCATCTTTCATGTGGTGGTAAAATACACAGAGAACGCGTTCAGTACTAGCGCGCGAGTAACGCAATGGATAACTTATAACTCGTTAAGTTATACTAGTAAGCCCAGAAATACGAGAAAAAGCGGCGCTGTGTACGAGATTTCACATGGCATCAACAACGTGCCTCCATAGCCTAAGATATGGATAGAACGCAACACTAACTGAATATCTCGCAACTCATAAGTCAGAGTAAGATCTGGAACGCATAATTACTAACCGACCCTGAAGTATTAGGTACGTAAGGGTCGGTGACATGGTAATTAAGCATGAAAAAGGTGCTAGAATTAATTAATGGCCAATACCAGACTAAATTGCAAGATTTCAGTCAAATCTTCCTTCCTCATAAACTCTATTGTAGAAACAATCTAGTCCACGTTGCTTACGAAGCGTTTCTACCTGTAGAAAGCTCCCATAGATCCATTTCCGACATTATCGTGTAAGCTCTCCTAGCTGCGTCTCATACTTCCTGAACCTCATCCGGTCCATCAGCAATCGCTTTAAACTATTCTATCCACAAGCTGTAAATATCTCGACACTTCTTCTCGTTATCACTACCAGGGGGTCTGTGATTGAGATATGTGCAGATACATTTTCCATCCAAAAGAATATAGTTGGCCGCAGCCAAGATTCGAGCATCCCGTACATTGTCAAGAGGAAGTTTCTTTTCAATATCGGTCAGCTATATCGACAGTAGAGTATTTATTTATATTTCCATCGATCGAGGACACCGGCGTGGGTGCAGCGCGCAGGGAATGACGGCCAATTAACATATCCATTACACGACTCCTGTACCTCAGAAGCAGTGTCGGGAGTGTCAATGTGCACTGTATGTTGGAATTTTTTAAGTCATACAAGCTTGAAGAAAATATATAAATGGGAGAGATTATATAGACCAAAATTCCCCATTCCAATCCTCTTCCAGATTGATACTAAAGATAGGATCGTGTTCAAACACCCTACAGTCTTCCCGGTAGTTGACTTTCTAAGACACCGTCTAAAGAACACTAATAGGGATTTTGGTGTTCTCCCACCTGGGCACTTGAAGTACCTTTCAGAATTTAACCAAATGAGGTGGAAGTTCAATGATCAACTGAACCACCGCATCCTGCCGAGTATCATCATCAAAAAGTACCCGTGCGAATGTAAAGACAAGCGTCCATAGAATTCCTGCGAAGAGAATGATTCCTTTGTCCTCACGACTTCGCGACATAGGATCGAAAGGTAGGAAATCGTTCGTATAGATACCGTCGATCTTATGCGCTGCATCATGGGCGTTTATACTACCCTCTGCAAGCGCTTGGAAATATTGGTGGGCTATGTATAGCTACAACACCTGCGCGCTTAAATACAATACGGCGTCAATCGTAGTATACATGAAACACGCATGTGCTATTACAAATTCTAATATTGGAAATATGTTGGAGAGATGGTTTCCAAGTCTCAGCGGGCCTCTTAGTCGAGTAAGGCAGAGGACGTCTGTCTAGAGGGGGTATTCCAAACAGTACGTTAAAATTGGATATACCTACACCACGGTTCATACAAGAAAATATGAATCAATGCCGTGAACCGCGTAAAATCAAACATCTCAAATAAGTTGCGGCATCGTGCCATAAATCTAGTGTACATATAAGACCAGCTTCAGCCACTTTAGGCAGCCTCAGCAACCACCTCGAACTCTACTGCGTTAAGCTCTAAAATTTTTGTGTGGGCCTTTCTAGCCACATATTTTGTTTCAATATCCCCATCAGGTTCATCAACAATTTCTTTGAACCGTCCTTCCCATAATTTCCACGTATCTCGTGCTCTGTTCCCACGGTTGCTATCCGCTGTGTAACTATAACAATACTCTCTGATAGCTTGCCCAGCCAGAAATATAACGTTGGCAGCAACTAGAACCTTGCGCATTAAGGATCTTCCAAAGTTCAACACGTTTTACTAACGAGAGTACCCATTCCAATCCTCGTCTAGCCTGAGATTGAATACCGGATCGTGCCGGTATAGAATGCGGTCTTCCGGGTGATTGAATTAGCGACGTACCGCGTATGAGATGTCAAATTGACATTTTGTATGGTTTTACTTACATTCTGATTTTTGGCCGCTCGAGGGGGGAGTTTGCGGATTTCAAGGATCAATTGGACTAGAACATCCTATCTGGCATCATCGAACGGAATGATCGGGGTGAGGGTAAAAACAAAATCATGGGAGGTTAATAAGCAACCAGTCAGGCCTTTGTCCTTGTGAAAGCACAATCCGGGATCTAACGGGAAATAAACATCCATGTACAGCGCATCAATTTGCTGTGCCGCATTGTGAGCAGTTAAATCGCCATCCACAGAAAACAAGCGCTTCAAGATGTTGCCTATCTCATAGGTAATGTCCCCCTGGCTAGAGCCCTCAATTTCCTCATCAATATAGGAGATCACAGATTCACTGCTGCTTGATAAGTCTCTTTCATGGTAAGAATAACAAATGCCAGTCACTGATCAATATCTGTCTCTGTTCCACGACCTATGCTGCTATGGTGGTGATAATGTTGAGTATGGATTCTAGTAGGAACAAATTAGAATAGACAGGTGGTCAATTTTTTTCAGAAAGGGGAATTGTATAACTAAGTTCGACCCTAAAAGAGTAAGAGAGGAGATGATACAGAAACACAGGTTATGATTGGCACGCTATCTATCGGCGCTTAGTAAGACTGAAGGCGGTAAATAAGTGGTCACCAAATAGTATGAAACAATTTGTTCGGGCTATGTACCAACCGGGGGGAAATTTGACGGCCTTGAGAAGGCAACTCTAGAAGCATTGGATCAGCAGGGTCGAGAGCGGCTTCGCGAACACATGTATCGGTCTACTAAAATTTCTCGCGCTAGTACGACCCCCTACAAGACGTAGTAAATGCTGTTTCGGTTTTTGGGTGTGTACTTTGAAGGCCGGGCTTTATCTGTTCTTACTTTTCTGTTCGAATCGCTTCATCACTACGTGTGTTTAGTTGGGTCTTATATCCTGTCAGCCTTGAACTCTTATCCAAATCTGCCGAACAGATGTATGAACAGTTTAATGATACAGTGCCTACTTGCCAATATATCAAAGCATGTAGCTTATTATAGGGTCTTCAGCTTCACATCACAATGAGTGGTCGTGCCCCCTGCCCTGTGTACTTGCGCTACAATGTATGAAATTCCAGTCCAGGCTGACGTTACTAAATACACCTTATCGTAGAGCTATAAGATGGTATAATAATATTGACAAATTATAGATATCAGTGCTTTTCCTTGTCTTTCTGTGAAAAGCGTACTCTGTACAAGGTAATACAATCCCAATTAAAGTTTGGAGTGTATGGTAATCGCGTACGATAATAATACCGTATTGAGAGGATATTACAGATTCAAAACATGTACCCCACTACGGATCAGATAAGATCCGAGCAGCAAATCATATAAGAGAGGCCGGCAAATCATAAATGTGCCCACCATCAGATAAAATTTTTCCTGTGTTGCATCAATAATACCGGCGTCGACTTGTCAGACACTCAATTGACTTTCTAATCAGCCGAATCACACCACTTCATTGTGGAGTATTGCCTACCTCGGCCTACGAGTCGGTGAGAGGGTTTGTGTGATCAGTTTTATCAAGTTGAGCTTAGAGTAACCAAGGAATAATTGGCAAATGGTATGAAGGCCGTCCGACTGTTCGATATTTCCCTTCCATTGAATCAAATGCAAATGGAACAGTATGAATATTCTCAAGAAAGCTGGGATACGTTCAATCTGGCATATTGATTGGAGATTACAATATCTTTTTTAATGCGGCTTCCCTAGCAATAGATTCTATCTGATGGATATAAAAGGCCTCACTTCATTTCTATTAAGACTTTTACCCACAAGCATCTAAAGAAAATCATATTTCGAACGCCGGGGAAAATCAGATAGCTAGTAGACCGGTATGCCTATAGGTGGGCTTTAACCTCCACCGTCTTCCTACTGGCGTTTATCGAATCCAACAATTCGTCCGCCCGAACAGCAAGAATAGAGAGAAGAGTATCGCTGATCTAGCAATTTACTAGTTAGTCATACGTCACGTAATCGCATTTGGGGGCAACTCACTCCGTGGGTGGTTTCACAAGACCCTTGCAGCCATATAGCAGCATCACGCACCACTGAGCCGGGTTTGAAGAGTAAACGGTAATTTCTTTGTACAAGAGACCCATTATCTTCTGATTCAGAGAGTAAAAGTGGCTTCAAGTCCTTCAGAATTCCAGAGAAAGGTCTCCTATGATATCCGGTGGCGAGAACTACTAGATCGTAGGCTTGTTCGGAGACTTTCACTTCATCTGTTATCGTATTTCTCAATTGGAGGATCAATCCCTCGCCTGATTTGGCCTTCTTAGCACCAAATACTTCGCTGTTGTTGTAAATAGACAATGTCCAATCACGAGGCTCGGGTTTGAGGAGTCGTTGCCTGTATATCTTTTCGTAAATGTGTTCGATCAGGGGTAGTCTCACGACGCTGTAGTTGGTGGCTTTGTTCTTTTTCAGGGTCTGTTTTCGATGAGCAGAGTCGAGGGAGTAGAATTCATCAACGCTTGCGGGATCGAAGATTTCATTCACGCTGCAGGAGAGTATCGAAGTTAGGAGCATTCAAACACAGAAGAGAACGCCAAACTTACAATGGACTATCATCACTGGGCCTCAGAGCAGAATCTCGAAAGATAAGAGAAACCCGAGATTTTGGATATCGAGACTGCAAATCCTCGGAAATCTCGACCGCGCTCTGGCCTCCTCCTACAACTGCAAAATTGTAATTTCCATTCTCATCTTTAAATTGTTGCGGTACTCGATTCAGGTATTGAGACGAATGAACAATTCGATCACTGGAATCTGGACTCTTCAATCCTTTTGGGATGGAATATTCCCCCCCATTTGCCACAATAACATGTTTGGAACAAATTCGCTGCACATCACCGGATTGGACGTCCCGTGATGTAACCCAGAAACAATCAATAGCTGACTCAGGCGAAGGTGCCTTCTGCTGTCCAGGGCTCACATTCAAGACCTCCTGGTTGTATGTCACCTGATCTCGGAAATGAGACGCGCACCACTTCATGTAATCATTGAACTCTTCGCGGAAGGGCGTTTGGGTTGATAAGTTAATGAAGTTGGCAAGTCGGTTATGCTTATGTAGATAGTTGACAAAGGTAAAGTAGGACTGAGGATTGCGCATCGTAGCTAGGTCCTTCATGAAGGAGATCTGCATCTTCGTTCCGGGAAGAAGCATACCGGTGTGCCATCCGAATTCTGCTTGACGTTCGAGGAATAGGACGCTTTTGTCAAACGAAGCTCCTCGCTCATGTATTGCAATCGCGATTGCAAGAGCTGCTGGGCCGAATCCCACGCATACTATGTCGTATTGTGAGCTTTCAGGACTGGCCTTGAAGGGGGCATCGATGCTTGAGGAAGTTTCAATTGACTGCATGACGGGGTTGTGTGAGAGATAAACAGGAAAATCACTTTTGATGGCGATGAGAACTGTCAAAGACAACCAAGAAGCTGGATTGTGCTGAGTATAAGAGAAAACAAAATAATTCTGAAAGTTCTCCAGACTTCAAAACCCGACTAGCTAGCGAATACCGCCAAAGATTCTCTGTCCACGCTAGCAACAACGGATCATGAGCAACTTGCGTAAGTTGATGGAATTTAGGGGCTTTACAGCTAAAATCGGCCGACGTAGTTACGTTGAATCTTGAATCGCAAAATTATTGACTGTGGGGCAGAGTTTCGTATGCATTCTGGGATAAGCCACAGCTCACGTTGTCCGGTGTCGGATATAGGTACAATACCAATTCGCTTCTCGTGTTTTCAGGTAATTTGCTCCTTGGTAGTCAAACCTCGGATCCAATTGACGAATCAATGGTGCTTTGGGCAGAATGTCTTTTAGGAATTTTCGTCAGTCCTGGAATGACACAGGCTGTATTCATCCATGTGGGCTGGCGGGCGGGGAACACTAGCGCGGTATTTGTCGGGTGTTGTGTATATTACCAGAGGGTAATCCTAATACGTAAAACATTGGTTACTTATTTCTTCGTTCATGAGCTTAGGACCAGCGTACCCATCACTTATTCACAGGTTCACTTAAGAATGTTATGTAATTATGTATTGACGTCAATTGCGAGAAGTGCCGAGTCTTCGGAAAATCAAAATCAAAATTTCCGAGCGATGCAGAAGATTAGATCTGTTCTTAAATCTAGGTCTTCTTTCCCACTACAGGATAGATGTAAAAATTGCAGAATTGAAAAGAGAGCCTTACTCATCAGAACTACCTATTCACACTTGACCTCAGCATGGGCGCCGATATGCAGTCTAGCTCTGCAATAACACGTCTGCAACAGACCCAAAGACATATCTGCCCTGAGTGCCCCCAAGCCCCGACCCAGAAGGAATCCATCGTTCACGGACCAACGACCCCGGCGCTATGGGAGATTACGCTAGCTGAGCTCCTCGAATTTCAATGTATAGAGCATGCTGGCCGTGAGTGCCTCGTTGTTCCGTGGACGAATACAAGATGGACATATAGACAGCTACAAATGGAGAGTGAGCGGCTGGCGCGAGGCTTGCTCGCAAATGGAATCCAGCATGGTGACCGTATTGGTATTATGGCAGGAAACTGTGAGCAATATGTTTCACTGTTCTTTGCTGCTGCAACTGTTGGGGCGATTTTGGTGGTTATCAATAATACATACACGAAGGCGGAGTTGATGTATGCGTTGGAACATACAGGTTAGTCTTCCCTTCTGTCTTATGAAAAAGCAAGTTGTAAACCTGACAGTGGTTACAAGCCTGCAAAATGCTGTTTATATCACCGACCATTGGTCGTCATTGTTTGGAAGAAGCTATCAATTACCTCGAGAATCGAGATCGGTCACATTCTCTTCCTGGCCTCAATGAAGTGGTCATTATCCGTGGACAATACCATAATTTGAAGACATATGAGGATGTTATACTTGAAGGACGAGGTGTTTCGCGAAATGTAGCATACCGGCATACCAACGTCGTCAGTCCGTATGATGTATGTAACTTGCAATTCACGAGTGGATCAACAGGGAACCCGAAGGCATCGATGCTAACCCACCAGTAAGTCCTTGTCGCACACTATTCAGAAATAGAAATAGCTCATAATTCTTAGCAACCTTATTAATAATTCCCGTTTTATCGGCGATCGCATGGACCTGACGTCTTCCGATGTTCTTTGTTGTCCACCTCCTCTATTCCATTGCTTCGGCCTTGTGCTGGGTCTACTGGCCTGCGTCACTCATGGCGCCAAAGTCGTCTATCCTGGGGAAACATTTGAGCCAGCTGCTGTTCTTGATGCAATCTCAAAAGAACAATGTACCGCCATCCATGGTGTGCCTACCATGTTTGAATCAATCTTTGCGGTATCCCGACCTGAAAATTTTGACTGTTCCCGTTTGCGAACAGGGATCATCGCTGGCGCACCGGTCCTTTACTCTCTCATGCAAAGATTGGTAGCAGAGCTAAACATGACCGAGTTTACCAGTAGCTACGGACTGACCGAAGCATCGCCCACGTGCTTTAATGCGTTCACACATGACTCGATCGAGCGACGATTGACTACCGTCGGCAGGGTAATGCCTCATGCTAGCGCTAAAATCATTGACCCAAAAACCGGACGAACACTTCCAATTGGCGAGCGAGGAGAACTGTGCATGAGCGGTTATCAAGTACATAACGGATACTGGAAGGATCCCCAAAAGACAGCAGACACACTACTTCGTGATGAGGATGGAAGGGTATGGTTGCGGACTGGTGATGAGGCAGTCTTTGATGAAGATGGTTATTGCACCATTACTGGGAGATTCAAGGATATTATCATCCGAGGGGGAGAGAACATATATCCTCTCGAGATTGAGGAAAGACTTGGACGCCATCCAGCGATCTCTCATGCCGCTGTAATTGGAATCCCGGATGGCCATTATGGAGAAGTTGTGGGTGCCTTTATTGAACTCGAGCTTGATATCAAGGCATTGCCGTCTGCGGAAGAATTGAGAGATTGGACGCGAGAGACTCTGGGAAGACATAAAGCGCCACGGTACATATTTGCTTGCGGATCGCACGAGTTGCTTCCAAGAGTAATACCGCAGACTGGAAGTGGAAAGGTTCAGAAGCAAGTGCTGCGCGAGTTGGCTCACAAATTGATAGAACAGGGTAGAACAGAGACCCTGCTTGCATGAAGAGAATCCATACAGGAAATCATTGGAATAAAATGCTGTACTTATGGACACGAAAAACGAGATTGTATTAAGCATTTACCAGATTATACTGGCTATATATGACTCCAAATTTGAAGACTGGTTATTTAGTTGTCCGTCATAATTCATCATCTGTATATCTCGGTTCCCATTGTGGCCAAGGCGTCGCATCTATAGCAATATTGAAAAACTCGGAGCCAATGAATTCGGAGCTCAATATCCCATCATCGCCGAGAAAATTCTGCTGACTGAAAGTAGAAAAACCAATGTCTCCCACAACATCCGGTCGAACATATGTAGGTCTCAACTTATTAAACTGCGCTGCAAGGATAGCGGCCAACATATGGGCAGCATGGCATGGCAAACCGATAGATCTTAGCCAATCGATGAGTTTCACGACGAGGTCATCGAGGGCATCCACGTTGTGATTCGCCGCCTGGAGTTTTGCTTCGTAGATGTGTACAAGACGACAGAGAGTCAAGGCGGAAAAAGTTACGATGTGATATATGTGGTCGGTGAGATGGCGGGTTCGTTCGTCGGTAGTCTCGATGGCGAGGTTGATGATAGTTGTGGAATGATGGATCATTTCCATGACGATTGTTTCTATGACAGCTGAAGGGCCAGTTTGTCGTCGTGAAGGTGATCTTATGAATTGCCCATAGGCTAGGAGGTGGGCGAAATGAAAACCCATTTGAAGAAATTGTGAGCGTGGTTGATCTATCACAATATTAGCGTTGATACGTTAGGCTTGAGGACAGTTGTGACATACCGAATAACGTCATCCACTCCTGTTGCCATGTTTGCAAAGCTGCTTTCGCCTCGGTCAAGGTGACTTCGGACCCGGAACACTTTCCATAAATAATCCAATACAGACTAGATTCGGCCACCATTCTGGCTTCATAATTCGTCACGTTGTCTGCTCCAATGAGACGAACGCAGTGATTGATTTGTTCTTGATTGAGCAATGCCTGTCTGCGAGTGCCAACGGAGTATCTACCAAACAATCACTGTTAAATATCGCCATCAAGCTATCGAGATGCTGTACATACTGTAAATGAGCGAAACATAGGTGATTCCACAAACACCAAACATCGAGCTGCGGCCTTGTCACAGGAGTATTCGAACCAGCTCGGAATATCTCCACAAAATCAGGACTAGCTAATGCTTGCTGCAGTGCATAACCAGTTAATAGCCAGCTATCAACACTCAGCGGTACTTGGCCTATCGTTGTTGACCATAAACTTAGGATGAGTACGGCTTGGAAGAACTCGATAGGTTGTGGTACAATTAGTAATGAGGAGGTGACAAGGCGCATCGCCTCCTGGAAGAGTTTTGGTGCGAGTCTGTCAGCGAGGTCCTGGGTTGTGTGTCGAACTGCGATTAGGAAGATACTGCAGAGAAGTAATGGTGATTTGTTTATGTGTGATAGCAAGGCGGAAATTGAAATATCTTCAGGAAACTTTACCCAGCGGCCATAGTGAGTGTGGAAACTTCCATGTGTTAACCGAAGTACGTGGAATTTATCATACAAAGAGAAGGAAACTTACAGTTCGAGCAATGAATGTGCAGTTGATAACGGTACCATTCCGGATGATATGACATCGGAATGAGAGTTTGTATAAGTGGTATCCGGCGAATGTACACCGGCATCTGTAGCTGCATCTCTCAGGAGAAATACAGGAGCTGTATTTCCTTCCGATATCGAAGTTGTGGTGGACCTTGTATGAGAGACCTCTTTGTCGCTGGAATTGAACAGATCATTGAATCTGGTGTCAAGCCGGTCCACCAATGTCTCGATAGTTCTTTCTAGCCGGGCAAGTCTAAAATCGTAATTAGTTCTATGATCTCTTCAAGCTACTGTTCTGGATATGATAGAGCGGAGTACCTATTGTCGACCGATACATGCTGCTCCCGGCAATCAGTATCACTGCCATTGACGCTGTATTCGGTATGACTAGCAGTTCCCTGATAATACTCCGTGGGAGAGATATTGACGTCTCTACGATCATTCAAAGAACATGACTGGGACAACGTTGTACATCGCAAGCAAGCATAGCCGCTCCGGGATGCATAACACCGAGTCTTATATTTCCTGCAGGTATCACACGCTTTCGAAGCCCTACCGGATGAGGATCTTATAGGAGGCATATTTCATGCTAATATGGTCGAATCAGGCTTATCTTCTAGGAATAGTTAATTTCTAAGGAAACGCTTCTTATCTCTGAAATGTCGTGATTTGATCACGTGCAGGATTTAGGGCGGATAAGGAAGGCTCCACTCCTGTGATAGGCACGCTGAGGGAAGATATTAGGGCTATTTCATATAGCCCTAACTGAGAGATACAAATGAGCTATAGAGTGACTCTAATCAAAGTAGTTTGCTTGTATATAAAGTAGTTATTAAGAGGAATTACATTCCCATCTCATGCCATATCGGAACCCTCCGTGCGGCTGTGTCCGAATTCAATGACACCGGATTTAGCCCTAACCCCCTGATCCTTCCCATCAAACAATCGGTAAAACAATTTCCACACCAGAATAACAAAAGCAGCAAAGATTGCACAAGAAGCAGCAATAATCAACCCATGATGATATCGTGGAGCATCTAAAACAGTCAGCCTTAATTCACAAGTGAATCTTAGCTTCCAGAGGAGTACATACCTTTCGCTCGGAACAGTTGATTACCAGGGAAGTTTGCAAGCTGGATACTCATCACGTATGCCGCTAGAGCTACTGGTCGTTGGTGGTCTTCCATTTTTGTTGTGAGCCACGCCGCGTTTATAGCTTGTGCGGATCCCATACCCATTTGAGTCCATACAACACCGCCTACTCAACATGACAATGGTTACAATTGATATTTGGAACCCGTAAGGAGAGAAAGCGAACTAACCGTATAAAATCCATTTATCAATTCCTTTGGCTGCAAGTGCCAGCCATAGCAGACCTGCAGCTCCCCACAAGTATCCAATAGCGATGTGAATGCCTCGCTCACCAACCTTGTCACTACTGAAAGCCAACGACACAGAAAACATCAATGCACAAGCACTACCTACAGAATTGAGGCCATTTGCTTGTAGGCTCGTAAATCCAAGACTTTTTATAATCGATGGTGCATAGGTATTCATCGGCGAGATCATTATCATAGACAGGAAGGCAGCCACTAGATGGCCGTATAATCTCCAGTCCGTGAAGGTTTGCAGAATGTGAGAGGGTAAGACCGGTTTGCCGTATCGAATGCCCTTTGTTGGATCATCTTTGATAACGCGAGTAATGAGGAGGGATGATTCTCTTTCCGTAAATATGTTGTATGATTTTCCGAAAAATCGCTTGTGGGTTGATGCACTATTGGAAGGTAGAAGAACATGACGACTCCAAGGAAACATGTCAAACAGCCCTCTATCCACATGAAAAAATTTTGTTAGCACGTAGGTATTCCAAACTAGTAGGAAGAGGGTGACGAACCGATAAGAAACAGCCACTGCCATCCATGTAGTCCCCCGCGTCCTCTCAAAGACAACAATCCAATGGACAGCGGACCCCCAAGAATCCCCGCAAAACTATTAGAAGCCCAAAATATAGCGTATCGTAGCGCAAGTTCCCTATTAGTATAGAACTTGGAAAGGTACAATGCGAAACTCGGTATATAGCCACCCTCCAGAGCTCCGATAAAGAACCGAACGGCATATAATCCTGAAGCATTCCGTACAAAAACCTGTGACCAAGTCGCAACGCCCCAGAGAAACATGGTTACGGGGAGAAAACGCTCAGCACCGACGTATCGGCTGATCATGTTGAAGGGCAGCTCAGTTATGACAAATCCCACAGTGAAAAGTGTTTGAGCCAGGTTGATATTCGGGTTACCAATGTGAATGTCTTTGGCGAAAGTGTCCGTTAAGGCGTTACTGAGGTTTGTACGATCAAATTGGAGGAAACAGAAACATAAAACGATGAAAGGGAGTAAGTATAGGTCTACTTTCAGAAGGGCTCTCCCCTCTTCGCCGGGTTGCGGCTGGATGCTTGGATCGTATCCGGGTACCGAAATGGCTGGAGATTCATCTTCGATGATGTTGTCCACTTCGTGTTTGATGTCTTGTCTTGAAATATCCATATTTAAAAGTATCGAGAGTCTCAATATAGATGGTAAACAAGATGATTCAAACGTCAGACTTTGCCAAGGTAGGTTCTCCCTTCATCATCGGACCACGACATTGGCGAGTGATATATACCTATCAGACAAATATGCGGACTTCAACTTCTAAGCCCATCTCCTGATATCTGGATGTTATCATTGCGCCGATAAAGACGTGACGAGGTTTTTCACCTACCATGCATGAAGTTCTGCGTAAGTTTGCGCCATCAAGAGTTGGTCGTTATCAGTCCTGCGGCATGCCGTCGGTATGCCGACGGTTTCCCGCCGGGACGCCAAGGGAGATGATGATAACATCATTTTTGTGTTTGGATAACAATAAAATAGTAGATAAGAAAATCCGTGATACGGATATAATAGGGCGAGCTTGAGTGGTAATATAGTGTTTCTCAAAAATTTATGCAGATCGGTTTAACTTATCCCAGTTTGATATCCTTGCCGGAACAGCCTAGGGCAGCTCGCACTCCCGTGAAAATGGAGCAAAACACACTCAAAAGAAGAGGCGTCGGCTTAATTGGCGTCGATAAACAGAAATCATTCGGTGGTTACACGCTCTTCTGTCCGCTTACTAGTGACATCGCCTACCTGATCGACATTGACGGAAACCAAGTTCATTCTTGGAAGCTCCCCGGCAGAATCGGCCGACATGCTAGGATTCTCCCTAATGGGAATCTTGCAGCCAATACTCTTCGGCCGCCTTCTGACCGCACTACGAATGATAGAGGACCATTTCCATTTCCATTCTTCAATAAATATGGCGGCGGGGTTATGAGTGAGCTCGACCCGGATGGAAAGGTTGTGCGACAATTCGAGGATCCGCTGGGACACCACGACCAATATCATTTTGGAGATGGTAAGATTTTATATACAGGGCTCGAGGCGTTGTCACCAGAGCAATCGGCAAAAGTTATTGGAGGTGTACCCGGTAGTGAGATTGATGGCATCACCTACGCAGACACTATCAACGAGGTAGACGAAAAGGGCAGCCTCATTTGGCAGTGGAAAGTCTCGGAGCGATTGCCTCGGGAAGAATATCCTCTACAAGCACATTACACGCGCGAACACTATCCACTCATCAACTCCGTTCTCCCCATGCGTGACGGCGAGCACATTCTCGCCTCGATGCGATCCGTGTCAGCGGTAGTTATTATCGAAAAAGCTTCTGGGAATATTGTCTGGAAACTCGGACCCGAAGTACTTGCTCAACAACACAACGCCACCGAACTTGATAACGGCAACATTCTGATATTTGATAATGGTGCTTTCCGTAACGGCGAGTCAATCACTTACAGCCGCGCAATCGAAGTTGACCGTGCAACCAAGAAGATTGTATGGGAATATCGCGACCGTTCGCAGATGTTATATTTCTTCACACTCTTCATGGGTAGTGCGCAACGACTGGCCAATGGTAATACATTGTTGTGTGAAAGTGCCTTTGGTCGGGTTTTTGAAGTCACGCGAGAGGGCTACATCTGTTGGGAATACGTTAATCCGCATTTTTCGACTTATCTGGACGAGGTCACTGCAAAAATATTTCCGGGGGAGTCTAATGCCATCTTCAGGGCTTATCGCTATTCATTGGAGGAAATTCCTTGGCTGAGACAAAGGCTGTTGAAATCCAAGTTAGCATAGATACTAAGCTATGTACAGAAACAGTGCACCAATAAGAAATATTCAAATCATGTTCTCACACTTTGTAATTGATTATACCATAAAACTTAAAAAATCTTCCCCGGTTCTTCGTTTCGTCCTTCGAGTTTGATATTCTTTTGTTCGTTGACATGTGATTTTAGGGTTTCGTGCGCCTTAAGTTTACCGTGGCCGAACAGCTATCGGTAAGTAAAGTACTCTACATCCTCTTCCACCAGGATGGGGATTGCAGGTAAGGGTTAAAAATTCAAGATATCCGATCTCTATCTCGTTCTTGGAATATCCACTTCCCGGTTAAAATATGGTGGTGTTGCATTCACCGAGCGAAACATATCCTGCCACTAAAGGGTACATACATCCACCGATACTACCTTAAGCGTTGGATTATGCATTTCGGCGTCTACGCCACATGCATCTATGGCGATATAGTCCAGTGCTGATCTATCCGTTTATCTTAGATAAGATTCTCACAAGCCTTAGTTCCCTATAGCTTATCCTAGTATCTCCTGTTTGAGTCACCCCCGCCTAGGCGTAGTATTTGTCTCTTAGCACCGACACACTACAATTGGCCATGGATGTTAGCAGATACCAACCAGCCTATCAACCTTTTTCACACAATCTCAATGTTGAATAGGAAATGTCAATGTGTCTACCAAATGGTAATTATATTAAAATTATATTGAAGGCGTTCTTAGACCCCTTGCTATATGTGCCGCTAACTCAAACAGGAAGGTGGTCTCACGTAATGGATGGCGAACGATACAACCTCAAAAACGTGATTTTTTTCCCTTTGTATTTCCATTGTATGATCATTTTTCCGCCGTATCGCACCATCCACGAGCCATGGCTATCCTCGGTTGCTTCTATCGGGCTAAGAGATATGTAGCTACGATAGAAAGCTAGCTCTCTATAAAGGGCAACCTTAAGCTCGACATCTTTTTTTACACGACAAGTGCGCTATCTTCTAACCCTCATCCTTGCTACTGCCGCGCAGCACTGCACCATGTCTGCCAACGTAGTTGAGCGCAAGGTCGCTGCTGACCTAAACGTGGATGCATCCAGCGATAGTGTAATTAGTGAAGAGGTTCGCGCTGCACCCAACAATTCAGCAACTGTGGAAAAACAGGCATTGGCAGACGACGAGGAGATTCAGCCCGATCCTCCTGTATACAATCCCGATGATGACTACGATAAGGATGAGACGAGACACGACACGATCATCATCACAGGTGCTGATGCTGCCAAACATCTGCTTCCGCTGCGAGACGATCGCCAGCCATCGTTGACCTTTCGAAGTATCTTCTTAGCCACGGTTCTCTCTGGTTTCCAAGCTGTCATGTCCCAGATTTATTGGGTGAGTAATGTTCTTCATTGAATGCAATAATCCAACACCGACACCTAACACTACCAGTTCAAACCGACATTCATTACCATTCAAGGGACGTTCATCGTTATCATCGCCTACTTCCTTGGTCTGGCCTGGGCCAACTTTCTCCCGCGAGGCGATCATCTAGAAACACGATGGAGAAACAACGGAGGACAAGGACAACTTCCTCGGTGGATCAAAATCATCTCTTTCTTTAACTATGGCCCGTGGAATTTAAAGGAGCACGCTATATGCTCCATTACTGCTACATCTGCCTCAAATGGCATGGCAAGCAGTGAGGTATTCGCGACGCAGAAACTGTTTTATGATCTGCCCCTAAGCGCCACAACGGTTATCCTGAGTACGCTCTCGATTGGTCTGTTTGGTTACGGTATGGCTGGCATCATCCGTCCTATTGCAGTCTGGCATGAGGAGTCGGTCTATTGGGGCACTCTTCCGATCGTCAAGACTCTCCAGGGTCTACATTGGCAGCAGGTTAAAAACTCAAAGCCCCTTCGCTACTTCTGGTATGCCTTTGGAGGAATGTTTGTCTACGAATGGTTCCCGGCCTACATTTGGCCGTGGCTAAATTCCATTTCTATCCCCTGTCTTGCCTCCATGCATGCTACAGGAGAGAAAGCAGCTATACTCACAAACATCTTCGGTGGTTCTCTCCCCAACGAGGGGTTGGGGCTTTTCAACTTTGGATTCGATTGGCAATACGTAAGGCGGTATCACAATGTACAATGTGAATGTGATTGGTTAACAGAGCTATTCAGATTACTTCCTTCCAAACAGCACTGCCTCTAAAATTTCAAATAAATTCAATAATCGGGTTTTTGGTGTGCTATATAGCCATGATCGCCATATACTACGGCAATGCCTGGGGTTCGAGATCGCTACCGTTCATGTCGTCCCGACTTCTCACGGCTAGCGGCAAAACCTATCCCATTTCCAAAGTCTTCCAAGGGGGCGTGCTTAACACAGATGCTCTGGCAAAATATGGAATTCCAAGACTCACAGGCAGCTTTGCGTACGGCATGTTTATGGCTAATGCAGCTGTAAGTTATTTCACCCGACCACTTGGTCGACTGAATACTGAATGATCTAGATTGGAGCCATGATTGCCCACTGCATCCTTTTCTGGGGCAAGGATATCCTCGTTTCGTTCAAGAAAACAAGACAAGGAACTTCCGACGATCGCCATCACGCACACATGGTAAAGAACTACAAGGAAACACCATCATGGTGGTATATCGCCGTCCTTGTTATCAGCTTTGTGCTCGGACTCGTTGTTGTCATCAAGGAGAATATCACTCTACCGGTTTGGGCATATATTATCTCGCTCATTCTCGGAATGGTTATTGGACCCTTTGTGAGTATTATCCAACAGCTTCCCACATATTATACCTATCTACTAATACCGTGAAGAGCGCTATTTTGTATGCTCGATTCGGAAACGGCATTGCTACCAACAATTTGTCAAAATTGGTTGGCGGTCTTTTAGTCCCCGGACGTCCCGTTGGCAACATGTACTTTGCAGCTTGGTCGCACAATGTCATTACGAATACGGTCAATCTATGCAATGACTTGAAGATGGGCGAATACCGTATGTACAGTATAACCCGCTGTTTGTTGACATTTGTTGACACGTTGATAGTCAAAATCCCTCCTCGTATAATGTTCATCACGCAGATATATGGCACGGTTCTCGGCTCGTTCGTTAATTACGCCGTCATGATTTCCATTGTAACCAGCAATCATGACATCCTCGTCGATGGCAATGGTGACGCTTCCTGGAGCGGCGCAACTGTCCAGGGGTACAATACTAATGCTGCTTCATGGGCATTGGCGAAATACCTATACAAGTCGGGCACTACATACTCAATTGTACCTATCGGTCTAGCCATTGGTGCTGGTGCTGTCGTTATTCATCGTGTCGTGGTACATGTAAGTACACATTTTCCATTCTCAAGGAGCCTCGAAGCACAGACTAACTGTCTTAGTTCCTGCCTAAAATCCGCGGCTTCTCGCTCGCGGAATTCAATTTCCCTCAATTCATCCAGTACGCCGGCTACATCCCCTACAACTCTCCACAGACATGCGTCATCTTCAACCAACTTGCATCCGGTGTCTTCGTGCAGTACTATCTCCGAAACTACCACCCACGAATCTTCAGGGACTATTCGTACCTAGTCACGGGTGCCTTTGACGGTGCGAGTTTGTTGGTGCTATTTATTCTGTCATTTGCTGTGTTTGGGGCTGGTGGTCCTTCGGTGCCGTTTCCGGCGTGGTGGGGGAATAATATTAATGGGAATTATGACTTTTGTCCGACGAGTGATTAGATGCTTGCCATGTCATCGAATGTTGCAATTAAAAGAAGTAAGATTGTGCATGTGTCGATTGATATGTGTGACAGTTTGAAATTCCTTTCTACATCTAGGTAGTCTAGCTCAAGTGCAGCGTTTGGAATACGAATACATCTTCTAGTATTATTTGCTTAATATATGTGTATATAGCACATAATGATTGTAATGGTTGCGTATATCTAAGCAGTTTATTCCCTACTCTTTACAGAAAAGATACAAAAAATCCTATCTCTCAATTTCCTCTTGACTTCCGAAATCTGAAATTGCCGCAAAATCGACATGACAAGTCGAAATCAGCGATTTTAATGGCAGATATGTCGGCGGGTAGATGTGTCTACCTTTGCTTGCGTAGATACTGGGATTCTGTTCATGAAATGAGGAAAATACCACGTTTTCAAAGGTCATGAGGATATTATCAAGCTTCAAACCTACATAATCTATACAAGTTATGGTTAGTTGGGGGTCTCCAATATTCTCTGCAATATCACGCTCATGACGTATATTGTAACAACCAACAGGTTTGGGGGTCTCACTATTCCAAGAAATGCGCTTGTGATGTCTCAAGTTGAGTTTCAGCTACACTAGGTGAAGGTTCAGGTGTTCGAGGATGGTTTCGGCTCCCTCAGACTCCACCTCAGCAGTTGGAGCTCAGAAAAGGGAGATCTGGTATGAGCCGTATGTCTATAAAGATAGCAGATGTTCCAGGACAGCAGAAGATAGGTTTCAGTACATTGACATTCCCTACCCTACCTTGTGTGCTTGCCTTCAGTGATTCCTCTGAATGTAATTATACACATCCCTCGTAACATTGTTATATATATCAACAACGCTGCGGTTGTTGGTAATTCGAGACTTAGAAAGCGCCCAGACATAAATACCTGAATCCATGACTGGTCACAGAGGCGTTAGACGTGTTGTACATTCGTTGTTGTATCTCCCACAAGCCATGCTGTCCTCTGCGTTCCCAGCCAATTCTAAACAGAAATTGGTGATTGAAGGCCAGAGTAGTGAAGACAATTCGATGTTGGATAGGTCTGCAGAAGCCGCGTTTTATCCCATGGGGGATTGGCTGCATTCATTACGTGGCAATCTGGATTTTCCAGCGCAGAATAGTCATGAAAGAGCATGTCCGGGCATCAGCTATATGGATAGTAAAGTATACATAGTAAGATGACACCATTCTGGTCGGACTTGGTGGGCACCTAGGGCTTCGCAACATATTTTCAATTTTAAGGGTTGTGGAAAGCAATCCATGAAGCATGAAGACTGCGCACTGAATCCGGGGACACAAAACTAGACTCGTGACAGATCCACAGATCTTTAGATCAATGGTAATAAAAATAGATGATCATGAAGTGTTATTCAAGAGGATCGGGGGCTTTTTTGAGGTGGAGCAAGTGCGGCTGAGTGCCTGAGGCCGTAGCTGTGGCTGTAGTACATTGTCTTGGCTAATTGGATCCACTTAGAACCTGACAAAGCCAATCACAGCCACGCGGGCGGCACATGGAGCCTAATCAGGTTAAGCCCATGTCATAGACAAAATGTAGGACTCCGTCCATATATAAGAGACGATATCACAAGAATGATTTTAGATGAAGTAGGATATTGATCAAGAGCAAATCAAGAGCAGATTACACTATACATTACTTTCAGGCACCAAAATCAATACACACAATGGATGGCCTTTCGTCAAAGAAGCTCGAGGTATGCCACTATCAAGTCTTGATATACGATCAGCATACTGACAAGGATCAGCATGAGCAAGAGACTTATAGACAAACGGCAGACTTGTCCGGACCTCCTCCTCCAGCTTACTCCACAGTGGATGCACAAGATGAGACCATGAATACCTCAAAATACCCCCCACAGTCATACCACCAACAAGCCCCAACCCTCACGCTGCAAACCGAAAATACCAAATTCCTCGGTCAAGCAATGCGCATCTACGACCTCTCCAACCCTTTTCAAAATATATACGAAATAAAAATCAAGACTCTCGGAATGGATCTCTATTTCTATCGACCCGGTGCAAACCAGAAGGGGCAGGAATTCGCGACGGTGAAATTTCATAAATTATCCCTAAAGATGGATATTACGTTACCGGATACTCCCATGTTTACTCTTAAATGTAAGCAGGGATGGAATTATAAGGTTTCATACCCTTCGCCGTCTTTTCAAGGGGAGATGGTGAGCTGGAAGACGAACTACCATTTCAAGACTATGGATTTTGAGTTAAGGGACGCGAAAGGAATAATGCTTGCGAGACTCAAAGCGAGCAATTGGAACTGGAAGAAGACGAGTCAGATTGAAATATTTGGGGGCCATGTAAGCGGTAATCAAAAGCTTATGGATGAAATTGTGGTTACCGGATTCGGGTTACTGGAGTATGTGATCGTGATGAATGCCGTTACTATCACAGCTTCTTAATATCTGTTTGCCGATGGGTTTTGTGATTTTTCGATGTTTTTGTTATGATGTACTTTGATATACCTGTAGTTATATGATATGATGTTGAGTTCCCCGTTGTGAATTCCCGCTCTTAGCGGCTCGTAATATAAAATCAGCGACAATCTCAGGCACAACCATGAAACTACTATGTCCAGCATCTACTTCCTCTACTCTTTCCATGCCATCTCTGACCACTCTTATACACTCTCTTTGAAACGCTTCTGGTAAGATATTATCATTTTTACAAAGGAGATACCATCCTGGAATCTCGTCGTATGCCATAGATCCAACAGAGCCCTTTAGCGGTGTTGTCAATACCCTATTTGCTAACATCAGTATAATTGTCGGTTCTAAAAGATGAACATGACAGGAGACAGACGCTGCTGATTGGGTGCTTAGACTTGCTATTAAAGAGGCCTGCTGATCTTCAGGAAGTCCATTGTAAAATACGTCTGCGGCACCGGTAAACTTCAATATCCCGTTGTCCTGTCCATCAACAAAGATTCAAGGTCAGCATCAATGCTTGAAGAAGGAAATACTTCACAACATACGAGTGGCTCAAGAGGCAGATCAGCCGATAACCCTCTCTCTGCAATCCATGCAGTCAGCTGACCGACATGACTGTCCCCTGCCTTGGGAATATTACACGATAGATACACCATCTTCACTACCGCTGTATTACCAACTCCTCTTTCACTCCGACCTAGACCCCGAAGAGCCTCGGCTGCCGGGACCGCGCCGTATGAGTGCATGACCACCACACAATCCGATCCTCCTCGCGGCCCATTGGTAACAGTAGGACCGTCCAAGACTTTCAACACCTCAGCTCGCAGAACGTCAATATCTTGTTGTAAACTGCTCGAGGAATTCAGTTCTGCGCTTGGAAGCTTCAAGTTATTTTTTATCGAACCAAAATAATCGGCTGCTTTGAGAGGAGAGATTAGCGCGTCGAAACAATCTGGTCCGTGGAAAGCGCCGTGGACGAATAAAACTGTCGGTTTATTTGATGAAGCCATTATGAGTCTTGTAGAGTTTATTTGATAAGAGACTCAAGGCCAATAAATCAAAATCCGACAGTCAAGAGTGGTTTTAAAGACACCGCAAAGCTTACCGCTAATCTTGGTCCAGATAAATCTCTTTTTTGGGAACCTCGATATGTCATCATTAAAACTGTTCGGATAAAATCATGCTGCTTTATTAACTTCATGACAAATCAGCTTATAACTAGCGTTTAAGTATATCCCAAATGAAGTTAGGTATTGCAAGCCACGATGGAAAGACCCATAGAAGATGTATGTACGTACGAACTTTCTTTTCCCAGCTCGGTGAGATCTGAGTCATCTGACTAAGACTTGAATTCTAACACGAATCAGCTGAAGAGTTGATCTATCTCATTTGTTATAGTCGGGTGGATACCGTCAGTTTTATATAGTTACAGTACAGAGCACGGAGTTACTTAATTTCGATTTGGACCCTCGGAGATAAACGGGCCAAACTCTGGATGCAGTAATACTGAGAGAAGATATTGTAGAAATATTGCTCGAATCTGTCAAGGATGCAGATAATGTTGTCGAAGGCGAAGTTCATTCTGTGAGGCCGGTAATTTCAGTGGTAACAAAAAGGGACTGAGATACACTAATCAGAGTATTTGCAGGTCTTTCCTGAATTCGAAGCTGAAGTTCCGAATACCGATATTCCCAGAATAGTCGCTGGGCCCTTGTGCCCATGAAAATTTTGGTTCAGTCTCCCACCTCAACACATCGCCCTCTAATCCAATAGGTCTTACAAACAATCCAAGATCCTTTTCTTGGTAGGGTTCGACGATCACAGTGTCATTCTGTATTTCTGCTCTTAGTTATCACTTCACTTAGGAAATACATCTCGCAGTGCAACGAAAGATAGTAGCTCGGCTCACATTCTCAACATAGCACCAACCCCTTCTTTGTTCTCGAGGGTGATCGTTATAATACCATGTCCAGGCTTCAATATTACATCATAGCTTTTGGACCAACTGCCGAGAGGTTTTGATATAATCCTCACATTTCTGAACAAAGAAATGATTCATCCATGTTTTCTTGCTCTGTTTCCGGTCTCGGGAAGTATGGGGATAGAAGCCTTTTTAACTGCTCTCTGGTAGAAGACATGGAATCAGGTGTCTCGGAGTATGCATCCAAACGTGTCGAGGCTTTGCAGGGTCCTGATTTCCGTCCGTTACGACGAGGATACGCTGAAAGACAGCGCCACAAGCCGGACTACAAGGAAGAAAAATGGAATGTCAGCCTGCCCTAGTGAATCCCTCTTTCCATCTTTTTACCCAGCGCATGACATACCATTGAATTGCTGATTGTGTGGACCCTGGGCAAGTTGTCTTGCAAGTTGGTCAAAAGTTGTTCTGAGTTTCCTCTAGTGTGAAAACCATAGACATTGCAACAGCCTGGTCCTTTGTCTATCGTATCGGCAGCAGGTCCGTAGTTTCGAAAGTTCGCCTTGAGAACAGCAGTAAGTGCCTCTTAGAATCAGTTGTAAGAGGATACGATAGATCAGACGTGCAAGTAAAATGACGGACCTCTGCTGACCGAATTACAAGCTCGGGTGGAAAATTTCCTTTCGTGCTCCTCTGGCGTGATCTCCTCAACGTACTGATCACTTTGCTCTGTAGCCCGAAAATTAGCACTATTAGCACTGGCTAGACCACATTGCAAACCTTCTTTACTTGTAGGAAGCCGGTATTCCAGGAACGCATTAGTGGCAGCTGCAGCAGCATAGTTTTACCACTGTTTATTCTTATGACTGTCTGTGTAATTACATACGCCTTCAATGATGATGCATGTCATGTTGTCCCAGATTCCGGCACCCTCCATCTCAAACCCTATAACTCTTTCTCTTTTGGCTATTCTATCACGGTGCTCTCCTGATTTCATAATTGTATTAGCTGATGCTATTTTCCTAATGTGGATTGTGGGATTGGGAGTTCCTGTATCGTGTCAAGTACGTTTTATCAGCTTCCCAGCACACCCTAAGCTATGACAGTCCTTTTTCAATGCATCATCACATACAGTATTTCGTCCGAAACAAAATAAACGTGGTATTTGGATCCCGCATATAGTGCTTGTGGTGATAAAGAAGCTTCAAAAAGAAAATCATGCTGAGCACCTGGGTATTTCCACAATGCTACTGGGTCCTCCTGTAAGGCCTGGAGGTGCTGTATACCCGTATCTGTAGTTCCCTTTGAATATAGCGACCATGCAGTCCGGCAAGAAAAGCCCAAGGATTTCTTGACTGGGTTGCCCAAGTGTATTTTTCACATCGCTTTTGCGCCGGAACCCGTTAGGGCATTGCCTACCAAAAGCAAATTCAATGGCACTATCACTAGTGATAATATTGCCCAGTATAATCTCAGTTCCTCCGGATAATGAAGGGAAAGGGACACCTTCACAGATGCCAACCAACAGGGTGAGTTGTATAGAGCAATAACTAACTCTTAGATTAGCTGTGACTGATGCCGCACTTCTTTTCCCCATCCCCGGCAAATAACATAACATTGTGTTGACCAATCCGACCGATAGCATGGGCATTATTATCTCCGTGTCGCTTGCCAGACTTTGCTTATCGGTCCATACGTTCCATCGAATAGCGTTTTGACAGCATCTCCTTCAAGCGCGAGAGCACAGATAATCGCGATATGGAAGTCATTGCGACTTTTGGGGCGCATAATTTGACTCAAAGTAACGAAATTAGCTGCTTGACTAAGAAAATATCTCCTTTCATAAGCCGGAACTTTTCTATTCTTGATGATTCAAGTGATGCCAAAACTTGCTAAAGAAGTCGTTGAGTATCCAAATCAGTCTCGTTGAGGGGCTGACATCCACAGTAATCCGCTAATGTAGAGGCATGGGCGCTCAAATGTGTAACAAGAGGAAGAAATTTGATTTACTATGGGCTTCAAGTTCTGATAGAAATTACAATGTGGCTGTGAGAAATAGATCTTGCTGCCTAGTTTGTCTCTTGACTTGACACAAAGCACTCAATGAGTGTGTAATACGGCCACACCTTTTCAAGCAGTAGCTGGGCATTGGAGCCATATTTTCTTCTTAAGCAACAGTGATAGTCTATAGACTGGAAATGCTAAGACAAAATGAACTAGGGTCTCAAAGTTCTCCTTTGTCCAAAAATGATACCATATTCGGATAATATACTTCCAACGTTGTCCCAGCCACACGTAGATACCTAACTACCTGGGTACCTTTTAGCAAGCCTAGCAGGTGTCCTCGGGAACGAAAGCATCTATGGATATCAATAGCGAAGTGAAAGAAACCTTGGAATACAAAAACACTTAATGTTCCGGTGAAGTCAGATGGTGTTGGAAATGTCTGTCGTACGAATAATTTTGAAATATATCATTTTTTTCTATCACCTTCGAAGTAAGACAATGGGGATATTTGGTAAACTAGTACGTCCTCTCTATCAGCGTGATGGTCGACTGAGTCGTGCGAATCCATACCATATACTCAACAATTCAAGCGTAGAGATACAGTGCAAAGATGACTTGAGGAGAAGACGTGAAAATGATACAACTTCACGGTTTTTGATTTCTACTGCATATGCCAGGCCAATTGATGCGGTTGTAGAACTGGCAAGTTGTATACAAGTGATTGGGGTTTGGTGAGATCCTGCCCTAATTCTGCAGTGTCTTGCCTATCTAGGTAGGTAGACTCCATACGCAAAAAGACCAATCTCGAAAATGTTATGCGCCTAGTCCATAGTTACAAATTAATATATTCTAAATCACTTTTCCTCTCTAAATGTCCATCCCATGCCAACTGATATCAGATGTCAGCCATATGTATATAAAACTCGTTAATGCATCCATCACTCCGCATCTAGAGGCTTTTGGGCGTACACGACGTGGCTTTTCTCTTCAAGTTAGCGACACTGCGATATCTCTACGATCAATCATTTTATGCAGAGGAATTCGACTCACAAATTGTGCTGTGCTTGAAGTCGTGGATTTTTGAGATCTTTCCTCAGCCCCATGAGGAAAAGCTGGACTTCTTCAGGTTTCCATCCTTCTGAAGCTGTGAAGATGTGCATGGATATTCCTTCTAGACCCTCAAGAAATTGGTGGTAATCCAATGCACCAATCTCTTTCTATACGGAGAGCAATTTGTTAGCAAACAGCAGAGAAAAGGAAGACAAGAATTGGGTAGGGGGACACTTACAAGTTTCTTATCCTTCGGCCATACGCCTACAGGTATAGGGAGCAATTTATGGTGGACGTTTGTAAATCCAGCCTCTTTCACCCATCCTTCTAGTTTTGGTCCAGGCTCCGGTTCAACACCTACCTTTTTGAGTCCGTTGATTACAATTTTCGTCCATTCGTCCAAGGGACAGCCGGGGGTAAACTCTCCCTTCACGGTGTAGAATCGCATATCAAAATCTTGGAATTCCACCCACCCACCGGGCTTCGTGAATCTGTTGTACATTAGCGATTATCGCCCTATAAATAGATGTTCAGCTTGTCCTACTTAAAGGCTTGTCGCATTAATCTAGGCCAGTCCTTGACGGCGCCTGCAAGGTAACGGCCGTGGATAAAGTCGAACTTTGAACCATATACCCAATCATTCTCTATATCATCCACTTCAAAGCGTACATTGGGAGGCACTCTGCAAGCCGGTAAGCGACGTCATGCTAATAGAGTGGATGAATCATACATTGTCGGTTGAATAGGACTGAGATCATTTCCCAAGACCTTTGATTTACCGCCACGATGTTAGTACTTGATTTCAGGTCACAAGCCAAAGTATCTCAATCTCACCGATGCGGATGGAAACTTATCTCCTGTCTACAGTATTAGAACTATCGTCCAAGCCTGCCTTGGCGTTGTAGACAGAATGGTGAACACACTTACCCATATCAATAGCCCAAATGCCAGTGCCGGTTCCCAAGTCCAGAATTCGTTGCGGATCAGGGCCGAGGGGAGCCAGATACAGCTCCCCATCACATCGACGGGTTAATATTTCATGGAAAAGATCCAGGCGGTCGCTTTCAATCTGACAATTGCAACCGATTAATTAACTGCTCTACTTGAGATCTTTAAACGGATCATGAAGAGGGACATACCTCGTCGTTTGGTAAGAAATAAGCTGGTACACGAAGAATGTCAGTACGCTCCCCAAAGCCTAAAATATCAGAACTCACCCTCGTCTCGGAATGCATGATAACGACGGCCATTCTCATATCTATAGTTTCTAATGCTGGACTTCAGGCTTGTCGTATAGCTTTCACTATGCATACTCTATCAGGACACCGTCCCAGCAACGTTAAGCTAACCATAAAACACTTACGTCTCATCACCATATGCCGATTCAGATGCATCGGTGTCTATCTGGAAGATTCATAATGGCAGAGAGTGAGTATGATGTATCAGGTAGTTGGGAACAAATAAGGGCTAAGGCGGATAAGTAGAACCCCTACCTCTGATGCCTCGATGAATGCGTGGTCTGGTGTACGCTCCGACGAGTCAGCGGGATCATGACTTGCATCTCTAGAGGCAGTAGCCATGACGAACTAGCTAAGTAAGCTTGTACTGAACTGGGAAATAATATCTTATTATTAGACCCAATTTTGAAGATATCATGGATATGAAGACCGTTGAGAAAATCCTATGAGAAACGAGTAGGGACAAGGCTCTGGTTATCAATGCCTTCAAGCCAACCACGTCCCCGCCCAGCCTCTTAGTTGAGGATATTATTTGTCCGGAATGGATGGAACTAGTTACCGCGGGAAGCGGGCCCTAATGATAGATTGAGTCAAGGCTTTAGTTGGCTTTCAAGTGTGTGCTATCCCCGCTATCCAAGCTAACAATGTAAGTGTCTTTGATACATCACATGGTACACACCGCTCAGGTCTGTGCGATGCCAAATTCAGTAATTTATGATAAGTGTTTCTATAACAGTCCCACAATGCACTAGGGAAGTGCTTTCTAGCGTCCGTTAGCGTAGCTTATCGCCTGACAAATGAATGAATGGGTGATTTTGATCCCTGTCTGTTACGACCCCGGTAAGTCTGTCAGACAAAGAATCAACACCACAATCACGAGTCGTGGTCCTCTGTGCCACATTCTTCGAGGTTTTTTGTGTGACCACACTTGACAATGATTACATCGGCATTGGACAGAAACCCCTGGTTCATCGGGGCTGTCAGCCTCTTTCTGTGGCTGGTGTCGCTCGCCATCTATCGGCTGTATCTGCACGCATTGGCCAGGGCAGGGGTTCCTGGCCCTAAGCTGGCTGCCCTGACAACATGGTATGAGGCCTATTACGATGTCATTTTGAAGGGACAGTACATTTTCGAGATTGAGCGCATGCATCGGAAATATGGTATTTGCTTTCTGCTGTTAAAAATGCTGAAGAAGACGTTTTGCAATCGCTCAATGGACAAACTAAAGAAAGACGGTCGTGTTGACAATCAATTTTCGAAATAGGACCGATTGTGCGTATTGGCCCAAATGAAGTTCACATCCTGGATCACGAATACTACGACAAGTTGTATAACATGTCGAACCGCCTCGATAAATCCGCCTACTTTTACTGCATGCTGGGTAACCCCAAGGCGTCGTTCGGAACCATTGCAGCCGACTTACATCGCATTCGCCGCGGAGCTCTGAATCCGTTCTTCTCCCAACAGGCCGTTGCGAAATTCTCGGGTCATGTGCAGGCTATCGTGGATCGATTTGTGGATCGTATCAAGTCATGCGCGGAGCGTGGGGAGACTATCCCGTTGTTTTATGCCTACCGGTGCGTCACCGTAGATATTATCACCGAATATATATTTGGCCATCAATTCAATCTCTTGGATCGTGCCGACTGGGGTCGGGATTTTTATTCAGCATGGCGGAGTCTATGGGAGCTATCTCCCACCATTCGCCAGTTTCCCTGGATGATGGACGCTTTCATGGCGATGCCTCGTTGGTTCACAGCATTGACAAATCCCAAAGCACTGGAAGTCGTAGATTTGTTCTCCGACGTGGATGAACAGACAAAAATACTTCTATCCTCAGATCTCAAACAAATCGAATCAAAGCCATATCCGATTGTAGTCTGGGGACTTTCCAAGTCTGATTTGTTACCGGCAAGCGAAAAGACTTTTACTAGGCTTGCCGTGGAGGCAAACGGATTGCTGGCTGCCGGATTTGAGACAACTGGTGCTGTTTTGACTCACACCACATATCATATCCTTGCCAATCCTGAGGTTCATCGCAAACTATTAGCGGAGCTGGCGGAAGCAATCCCTGACCTGGATCATATACCGGGGTTTCAGCAACTTGAACAACTTTCTTATTTACGGGCAGTTGTTAAGGAGGGTCTTCGGTTTGGTTTTCCCACTTTCCTGCTTTCTGCTTCTCGAAATTAACCATTAGTAGTCTCGCTGTGGGAGCATACTCTCGTCTTCCCCGTGTTAACCCTTCCGGAGATATGCAGTACGGAAATTGGGTTATTCCCGCTGGCGTAAGTAGATCACTGTCTTAGGTTGATAGTGTAGATCGACAGTGTCTTAAAATATCAAACAGACCGCAATCGGCATGTCCGCTCTCTTCATCGCTAAAAGCCCCCTTCTCTTCCCGGACCCAGATACCTTCAATCCCGAACGATGGATTATTAACGATCAAAGTCCCGGAAGCGAGCGTCTAGAACAATATATCTTGGCTTTTGGCAAAGGAACGCGATCATGTGTGGGCACTAACCTGGCCCATGCGGAAATGTATACGATTCTCGCCACGATTTTCCGAAAGTTTCCGCATATTAAGTTGCACAATACCACGCCTAGGGATGTTGAGCTTGCTCATGATTATTTTGCGGGAATGACGAGGGCTGATACCCAGGGACTGCAAGTTATTGTGGACCGAACAAACAGATCGGAAAAACAGTAAATTGATTAACGAGAAAAATGGTTATCGGAAGAGGATGAATTGACGGGGGTGTTTGGCTACTTATGCACAAGAATATCCCTGCAAGTACACGAGAAATTATCAAGGAATTCTCCCTTGTCTGTGTAACAAAGACGATAGCCTTTGCATTGGAGCGGGAATGTCACCCTCTGATATGTTTTGTCCTGAAATATTCTTTATTACAAGTCCAAAACACAAGCCATACAACCTATGCTTTCACAGTGACTCTATTCCCAATTATTTTTCTACAAAGTGCATCGCTTGTGTCTATAGGCCAGATCACTCGCGGAATTGATAGGATGCTCTTCATGACTGCAGATGCAAGCTCCCCCATAGCTATAAATCCGCTTTTCTTTTACCAGAATTGTTCAATTCCATAGTCACTCCAAAAAATTCAACTCGAAATGTTGGATGTGCGGGTAGAGCTCCGAAACGAATATGAATAATATTCATATTCATGAATATTTGCGAATATGAATAATATGAATATGAATTAAATGAATATGAATATGACCCGTATTCATATTCACTAAATTCATGAATATATGAATATTCATGAATATCCACAAAAGATGAGGGAGGCAGCTGAATCTTGAACTCGCTCCTAAGATCAATTTTGAATAGTTACTTACAGAAAAACTATATACAAACAGCAAGCTTACTAAAATTCGATGAAAACCCCGTTTCCTAAATCCTAAACATTTTTATGCCGAGTCCCGGCGTTCTTTACCATATTGTCCCTTAAGGAACATCAGCCATCTAAACGTCTTAGAATTCAAGCAGTGTCTCCGAATACCCAGAACATCTCGTGCGTTACTAAACAATCTCTTAACGCCTACTTCAGCAGACGGAATAGGAAGATAGTCTTGTACAGCTTTCGACATTAGAGGATAGTTAAAGGCATTTGCTTTCCACCATTTCAATATCCAGTCAGGATCCCCATCTTCTATCATACCATGAGACCACATCTCAGGGCTTAAATCTAGGTACCGATCAATGTCTGATATTATGTCTGCAGATTGCAGAGGCTAGATTTTTTTGAGCTTTTTCCATAATGTCCCTGGTATACCTGGTGGACGCTCTGCGCTAGAGGAAGAGATAGGGCTTGCAGGATATTGTTTCTTAAGATATTCACGTATATCAGAAACAATCACATCTGCATCAGACTTGCTCATTTGAGCTCGGATGAAGGAGGTCTTAACCCGTGGATCAAGAATGGCAGCCACGTAATAGATAATATTGGAATCCATCTTCTTGATGAATTTATCCATTTTCCGGATTCCTCCTTTAACAGCATTTTGAACCTCCTTAGTAATCTCTTGAAAGTCACCTTCGTTATTTTTGATATTGTCAAGAATATCATCAAGACTCCAGTATATTGGAAGGCTTTTAGTGATGCTTGGGCAATGTTTCGAGACAGAGTTGGTATGGTCCCAGAATGGCTTCAGGACCTTCTGAATTTGTCTTAGTGTTGACCAGTCACTATCTGTTGGTTGCATTTCTCGAATGTCTGGATGTTCACAAATAAATTGAGTGACTTCTTTTCAAAGTCGAAGAGCTTCAGAGACCATATTGTATGTTGAATTCCAGCGAGTGTCGATATCATAATTGATTTACTTGCAGGGAGAGATATCCTTCCATGCCTGCCTTCGCTGGGGGCTGTTACTAATCCATAAGGCCAAAAGATGGATCTTAACAATAGCACCTTTCGTTGAAATCAATGTTTCAGGTGAATGATCCTTCTGTGATGGCATCTCATCAAGTATAATATGTGCATCACGGACTGTACCGGTCTTTAAGGATACCAGAATATCCTTACAGATAAGATTCAGTATATGTGCAAGACATCCAATGAAGCTATTCCGACCCCGGAACCGCATAAGTGGTTTTATACAGAATGGACTATCTTCCTTGTCAAAATCTTTTAATAGGTCTGCATGGAGATAATCGCAGAGTGTTAGGTTGTTTCCAGCATTATCTCCGGTGATTGTTAGAAGCTTATGTTCGATTTGAAATACTTCAAGTACACTTTTGATAATTGTAGACAGATTTTCGCCAGAGTGCAATCCATCAATCTCTTTAAACTCAAGAAGATCTTCTTAAAGCTTAAACTCTGGAGTGAGCCAATGGCCGACAACAGCAAGAAATGATATCTGGTTATCTGACATCCAGATGTCAAGTGAAAGTAAATCGATCGGCAGGTATCAGCTAAGTCCTGCTTTAACTGGTTCCTCCAACTCGAATATTCACTCTGAACTCAATTTCAAAGAGTATCTGCAGTTTTAATAGGACAGTTGGCATTTAGACTCTTAAGGAGTTCTTTCCATGTAGGATGTTCAACAACTGTAAAAGGCTGCTGTGTTTCAATCACCCAGCGAAGAAGAGCCTGCATGGGATTAAGTCCAGACTTAGCTGGTTCTATGAACATATCAAGAGGCCCAGCTGGAGGTGTAATTGTGTTCTGTTTAATATAGTGTTCTTTGTAAAGGTGTGTAGCTAAATTAGTCGTAGCACCCTGTCGAGTAGAGTCCTTTGATAACCAATTGCATTGCTTACACAAAAGAAGTCTATCATTTCTGTGACGGCCTCCTTTAGGACACCATATAGTCTCAAGGCCTATAGCATCAAAATAGTCGGCAGTCCAGCTAGTACGTGATCTCTTTCTTTTTTTCGTTGGAGTCTCGTCGAACTCACTCTCTTGGTCCAATTGAGAAGAATTGTCTGAATTCTGTTGAGGAGACTTCAATCCTTGTGAAGCTGATTCAGATAGTACCAAACTTAGTTCGTCGGAAGATATGTTTTGATGAGGTGCAGGCACAGGCTCATTAGATAGAGTAGACATATCAGAAGGTAGAGATTCAGGGGAGGAAGAGTCAAGAGTATCTGCTTCATCGCGCCATGGAAAAGCGTCAGAAACTATGCCATTATTCAAGGCATTATAATCGCGACGAGGTCTCTTTCGAGTTATTCGAGGAGATGAATCATGAGAAAAAGCCATGAGAAGAGGATATAAACAAAGCTCTGTAATAAATAAGGAACAAGAAGAAATATTAAGTGAAATACTTGGAGACAGATATTTGGAAAAGAGAATTAGGAATCTGGAAGAGCCTAATTCTCCCAATTTATATACTAAACAATATTTAGCTTTATCCGTCACGTAGCTACTTAGTCTAATCCATTCCTAGCTATGATGTAAACAAAAAAGGTAAACATTATGTTAAAGTTGAATACATGAAATGTAATAGTGCTAGTCATACGTGTTATACGTGACAAATGGGTGGAGGAATCATTCTAGAGAATTTCAAGTAGACTTGCCACTTACAAAGTAAGAAAGCGTTTCCTAGAATGCTCTATCTAAACTACACACCATGATTATATAGGCCATGTACTGAATTAATGATTGAACTTGAGAACTTCATATATATATCTTCTCCTTGAGCCAAGATTCTCGTTATTTTAAGAAAAGGACCTCATACTACTAGTACTATATCCATACTTAAGAGTGATTAGTACCCTTATGGCTAATATAAGATAAACTGAAGAAGCTCGCATCAAATTTGCTGATTCTGTGGCGGTTAATATGTATCTATGTAGGGCACGGCTGTTTGCCGGCGCGGAAAAATAGTCCACCCGGAAATATTCATGAATATGAATATGAATATGAATATGGTCCATATTCATATGAATAATATTCATTTTAATCATATTCATAAGTCATGAATATGAATATGGTCAATAATCATATTCATTTATTCATTTCGGAGCTCTATGTGCGGGTGCAGTCGAGAGCTTGGTCATGTGATATCACTCACGTGACGCAGGCTACACGAAGGGATGATCTACCGCGTCGAGGTCAAAGAGCTAAGAGACAGACAATCAGAATAATATGACTTTACCAATTGGTTACTAAGCTACTTGTGTGCACATGTGCAGAAGCGAACCCACACGAAAACCGCTTGTCATGGATACTCAAGTTTTGGTATGAAAAGCGAGTAAGCTGGACTTTTACTGAAGCATTACTAGACAGTTACACATTAGCCTCGCGGCTCGTTTCTACATTTATCGGGAGACGACGATCCTGCATATTTCTGTATAGAAAATGTCCCATAGTGTCGAAATAATGGGTCAAGTGCTGAAATCATGCTGGATCCTTTGTTCCTGGGATGGTACTTTGATATCTAGGATCTAGGTATACTACGCGGAAGCCAAGCTAGATACAACCACCATCTTTACCAAGGTATGGTCTAGTACCTATATACTTGAATATTAGGTCACCGGCTGGAAGTATGCAGCGTTGCTAGGTACGTGAAGCAACAATCTACCTGGATACTGGATTGAAACATCTTCCTTTCCTTATGTATGTTATCTACTCGAGAATGAATCTATAGTAATTCATAAGCGGGACTGGCCCGTAACAGGCCTTTTGGGAAATGACGAAATGGAACATGCAGGCAATGAAGGAATCGGAGAAATGGATGGCAATTCTACAAAATTTCGGTATAAGCATATTGATCATTTTCATTATGTTAGCTATTTGTATAACTGTATTGCAATGCCAAATCAAGAATCTCTGTAGGGGTAGCAGACGATTGATCTGTATATCTGTCGGATTGGTCGGTTAACTCCAGGCCAATCCTTAATAATTGTTTATGAGGATGGTAAAAGAAGAAGTGACTAGCAAGATTCTATTTTTTCCGTTCTCTGTCTGTCTTTCAAGTCTTTAAAGCCGGGTCCTTTATAGACACCTTTGGCGGGGTGATTTGTGAGCTATCAGGAGGGGTAAATATTGGGTTGAAATCTAGGCGCCCAGAGATATGCTTAAAGGTGCCTTTTAGACCTGTAAGATTGAACCGTCGATCTCTCTGCCTCGTTTGAAAACCAGATTATCTGACAATATCAGGCCCTAACCCTAGCCCTAACTCGCAGTTTCGGGCCAGCTTATAAGGCGCTATACCTTTTCAGGATTAGTCTATGGCGGATGGTCGGGTGGTCGGAAATAATGTCCTCTCCAACTCTTTGGCCAACAAATCTCCAGGAACTCGCGAAGGAGAAGGCTACATGCTGAGTTCCGATGATGGTGATTATGTATTCGCACCAATCCTTAATAGGTTGATATCATGGCTTCATCGCCAGCTACATCTGCTCTTCCGCCAACGAGCCGTCGAAGGGACAAGCCACAGTTGTCCTGTAATCTTTGTCGACGACGAAAGTATGTAAAATCCGAGCTATTGTACCGCATCAGAATCAATTTGACAAGAGTACAATACAGGCTAAAATGCGATCGTGGTCTACCATGTGAGACATGTGCTCGTCGTGGTCTTTCCTTGTCCTGCACTTATCCAGCTTCAACGCCTCTTCAGAGCGGGAAAAGACTGATTGACCCGTCATCCACTGCCCTCCACAAGAGGATTGCTCAACTAGAAAAACTAGTAGTATCAATGACGAGTCAGAACAACAGTCTCGCTGGCAAGGAAAGCAAGAGTAAAGCTGACTTTGATGTCACTGATGACTCGACCGAACTGCATCCAAGATTTGGGAGAATCGGCCTTGAAAATACTGAAACCAGCTATGTTGAGAACTCACATTGGACGGCGGTCCTGGATGGAGTGCGTAATCTCACGACATGATAATGTTAGTCACTGACCATGTCATAGATTGCCGAGCTAAAAGATTGCTTTGACAATGATCCAGAGGCTTTCGAACAAGTCCCTACCAGTCGTAGAATATCAACACCCGGTCCGGCTCTTCTTCTGGGAAACTTTAGAATGCTCGATCAACAACAGATCCTAGCCAGTATTCCAGGAAAGCAGGAAGTCGATGGCCTTGTTTCAACATTTTTTAATACGACGTCTGTATATCTGCGTACGTTTCCAGAATTTGTTTGCAATATCTTTCGAACTAATAGCCTCAAAAGTGTGTATTCATGGTCCGACTTTCCTAGAAGAGGTAAGATTCGAAAGGTGCAGTGATGCAGTCAGGATTACTTACAATCGTCTTAGTATGATCGATTTTGGAAATGTCCCGAAAAAACATCCATTATGTGGGTCGGCTTGCTGTTCTCGATTATGTGCATGGCTTCCGTCTATCAAAGAAGTTCTGCTTCAGCCGAAGCAACTCGGCAAGCAGAGCAACGAATACACATCTTTCGGGAGAGGATAGTTCAGTGTCTACGGTTAGCTGATTATACCAAGTGTGGGCCGTACACGATCGAGACAATGTTATGCTATCTTTCGGTAGAGTATACACAAGCTACAGACAATCAAACGGGACTGTGGCTCCTGTTAGGCATTATCGTCCGGTTGGCGGTTCGAATGGGCTACCATCGAGATGCCTCGAACTCATCGTGTCTATCACCATTCCAAGCAGAAATGCGACGTCGTATTTGGGCGGTTCTGTACATGCTCGACTCAGCAGCGGCCGATCAATATGGTATTCCGCGCATGGTGAATGAGTCACTCGCAGATGCACGTGAACCACTTAACCTTCTAGACGGGGACCTCGATCCCCGTATGGAGAGCTTGCCTCGTTCGCGGCCAGATCATGAACCAACCCTCATAGGATTCCTAGCCATCAAAAATCGACTTCTGTCAACCCGAAATATAATCACCGACCTTACCGGTTATCCAAACAAATTTGTCTCCTACAAGGAGATCCTGAAACTGGATAAAATCATCAAGGAGCAATTCGAGAATCTCCCGGCGCCCCTCAAGATGCGCCCTATAAATAAATCTCTCACCGATAGTACGGGTGTGATTGCGAATCGTATATTTTTAGCACTGATTAGTTATAAATCCCGCTGTATGCTTCACCAGCACTATCTACTCACAGCACGAACAGATGATCGATATCGCTATTCTCGGAAAGCATGCATCGAATCTGCTCTGGACATCTTGCACATACAGGAAAGTATCCGCGAAGAGTCCCAAATCGGAAGACGACTGTATACAGAACAATGGAAATTCGAAACAACGGTTAATCATGTCTTCTTCCTGGCATGCACCATTCTATCCGTCGATCTGAATTGTGACCTGTCCGAAACGCCTGCTAAACGTCTACTTGGGAAGGAGATTTTCACCAAAATCATAAGTGCGTTGCAAAGTTGTTATAATATTTGGGTCGAATCAACGGATACTTCTCGCGAGGTGCAAAAAGCTGTGGCAATGTTGCGATTTATCCTTATGAAGGCCCGGAGATTAAGGAGAATCAGTCTGATATCGATAAACGACGTTGGTTTTGGCTATGATGGGCTGTCAACGCTATCGAATCAAATAGGTATGTGAGGATACTTGGCTTTTATGACCAAATCAATATCCCTCGGCTGATGACGAGGTGATATTCACAGATCCTGCGCTATTCAATCATGACATCGCTCCTTCATCTTGGGAGAACTACAATATAGACATGTCTCAATTTGATGTGAATGGCTTTGATACAATTTTGGACTCTACGCACGATAACAACCAAATGAACACAGTATGTCATGCCTGAAAGACTGGTGAAAAGATATCGTTGGCTAATTATGGGGTGCAGAATGATTGGGATTTCGACTTTTGCACAACTTTAGCGAACAAGGCAGTTTCGAATAATCTAAATCCAAGACCTGATTGGTGTGCTACGTTTGATTCATCATCCATTGGCTGAGGAGATCACTTGTTTATGGCCTGCTTCTGCCTGCCTAGCTATGGTTGCTGAGCTACCACAACTCGAGGTCGGAGCCAAATCAGTTTGGTTAATAAACATTGTATGAGATGTCATGGTTCTGAAACCTAGCTCTCTCTACCAGATAAGTAGTGTCTATATACATGATGGCATCGCAGTTACTAGCTCAAGCCTATTTGTCTTCGCGACACGTATCTTCGAACAATACAATGACAATCTGTATTTACATGAATTTCGGTTACTGTTAGCAACATTTGAAGCCCTTCCTTTGCGTCTGTCATCCCCAAGATGTTCTTCTCACTATCAACCAAGTTGCGCTGTTGCAGGGAGAGTATGAGGCTATATGGGGTTTGAAAGGCTTAGGAACTTCTTATTAACAAAAGGCCAGTTGATAGGATAAGAGTCGTTGATGGGGGAATATGGATGGCCTCAGCCTTTCGGGTATGAAACAACTGCGAAGTATCATGGATGGGGTCGGGGGAGATTGAAAATTTCCAAATTTCCGGTATGGTAACACCATGGAATACTCGACAGAGTACCGTGCTGCTTGAGGCACTCTCTAATATGCGGCCATTTAGTTTCCACCATGGCAAGATGTATTTTTCTTGTATCGGATACACAGTTCACATTAGCGCCGGCCTCGACTAATAATTTAACGATTCAGAAGTGGCCGTTTGAAGCAGTCCAATGTTGGCATATCTTGGAGATTTTATATTAGCATTGATTCATGACACAAAATAGTTCTACCGGGCATCATGTAGCAGTGGCTGCCATTCTAAAGGGCGTATGGATGGATGGTTTACATTGTGGTGAAGTAGAAGTCGTACACTATTCACATGGCCGGTGGCTGCGTCCTTGTGAAGGGGGGTTAGAATCACCGACAGATACATGCTTATCGGCATCAGCCTTGATCAAGATATGCGAGATCCTCTCATACTACTCAAAGCAGCAAACCAAAGCCCAAATTTTCTGGCCATCGTTGCGTCTTGCATTGACATCTGTGTTACGATTGATCAAGATGGAAACAATGTCAATGTTGTAATGAGCAGCAATATGGAAACGGGTCTGGCCTTTGCTGTTGCGAGTGTTGGTGATGTCCACTTTGGACGAGAACAACGCTTCTGCCGCGCTAATACAGTCTGTTGCCGAAGAAATAAACATTCCCAGACAAATAATATCGGATGCTACGTTAGCGGGTAGCGGAGGCCGTTGATGCCCAAAACCTGCCGAATCATTGTTGTATGTCGAGTAGAGAATTTCGAACGGAGCGATAGGAAGCAAGCGAGGGTAACTGGGTGTGATGTCTCGTCCCAGGTATTTGTGACGATTCTCTCAGCGATCGTATTGTAGGAGTGGATGATGTTCTCTTGGTTCATAGAGAGACCCATCTCGGTCCATGTTGAGATGAAGGAGCCACAATCTTCCATGAGTGTTGCTAGAATTTTCTGATCCCTTACACATCTCCACCCAAGGCTGAGTGAGCAGGAGGAGACAATGCTTCTGGCGTGTTACCCATTTGGGAGTCCAATCCGCATTCCGACGGCGTCACGATCATGAACCCCTCAGGAGTATCCGTGGACGCAACTAGGCGTTATTAGTATACCAGAATGAGTGCTATCCTTGATAGACTGACCTGCTGCTTGTACTTTATATGAGGAGGGCCCTATTTTTGACACTTGCTAACACGATCATTATCTAGATGACGCGAATCCAATACTCTTGAATGTAACTGGAGAGGTTGCACATATCCAGGAACATTCTTACACGATGCAAAGCTCTGGAGACATATTAAATCCGAACACATTTCTCCAAATGCATTTAATGTCCTATTAAGCAATGTGATCGGTCGTTTGGTCGCAGCGGCAAACTCCAGTGACACATGCGATCTTACCATAAGATCGAGGAGCGTTGACTTCCACAATAGTCTTAAAAACTGAAAGGGGATGCGTAATTCACGGGTTTCTTTCTCTGCTGATTGAAGGGCCGTTGATGTGGATGAAATATCAACACGTCACCTGTTTATATTTAAATGTTTTAAGCAGATATTGTATCCTTTTCGTTATGAGATTGTTTTCGACGAAGGCAACATGTATCTTATGGCCGACCAAGGCTAATGACCAGGTATTATATGCCACTATCTTTGACTATTATTACCTAGTGCCAAAATAGATTTACATTTCCCAATAGAGAGCAAAACATTACCTACTGGATGCAAAGAGGCGACCATAGGGGTAACTCATTGCCCAGGTGGTTAACCCGCACTTGTTTAGGGTTACCTCCTGCTTGCCCTAGCACGTCCTCGACTTTGATAGTTAATGCATCCTTTCAAGCTACCGTATTTAATTGGAGATCCATATAATGTCTACAGTATAATAAGAAAAAAGGAACGATCCAAAGTTCACACGCATCTCCTCACCTATTATTGTAAGCTTGTAGAAGAACTTCCGGGTAGTATTATCGCAAGCCAAGGCCACAGAGTCAGCATCAATATTCCAAAACATCGATCTACCATTGTATAAGCTATCATTAATGTTATATATTTGCAGATGTGAACGTCAACACGAACTTTCGTTGTCCATCTTCTGTGAGTCTTCGGTCCGTTTCCTTCTGAACAAAATACCCTGGGATTTATCTACCAGCCTGTGGATCAAATACCCGAGTAATAACCAGTCTGAAGGCGTCGGCGAGCTGCTAGGACCATCAGCACCAAGCTCTTCTCCTCTTTCCCTCCAATAATGATTATCGTTCTCCATGTCTTGCACTAGTCTCTTTCTCCAGTAGCGATACAATTTTTGAACGAGCCCAGCAATGTTGTCAAGATTGAAGGATATAAACAATGTAACAAATCCAACAATCACTGAAGTGATGATGAAAGGATTCCGGGTATCCGATTCTGTGATATTGGGGATGGCCCAAATCGCCTTAACAATGTCCTTATGTTAGTAGACTACACGCTGATATGATAAAAATGAAGTCTTGGGTATACTCACCGCGCAAAACGCTAGTGGCAAGTAGAAGATGCTGACATATGTAAATAACATAACATTTTGACCCAACCTCGTTGAGACCCTGCTCTCATTGATTGAGGCCCAGGCAAATTCCTATATCGGGATTAGTTGATATTGAGGATTGGACTGCCAAGGTAACCCATAACTCAGGTGAGTAAAAACTTACGAATTGAAGAAGATCACGGATAGTTTGATCTAAATGACTGATTCGGTGGCCGATCTTAACCTTGAGCTCATCCACCGACTGCTGTAGTTCATCTGGGACGTGATTTGCATTATAACGTTCACAGTATTCCACAATGAAGTTCTGAGCGACATCTGCCTGGTTTTGAAGTATGGAGCGAAGCTCAGTCCACTTTTGTGCATCCTTTGCAAGTCGACGCATCAGTTCAGGCTTTCTCCCTTCTGAACGGAGTTGGTCGAGACGCTGTTTTGGTGGATTTCAGCTAACTTAGCTAACCTAGGAGGAGTCTATGGTCTATTTCAGGGAAACTTACTGATCTTTTCAAATATTCGTCGGCGGTATCACATACCCTTGACCATCTACTTTCCATATGCTGGATAAATTGTAAGAGAAAGTCGGCACCGCCCTGTGGAATCCAGGCATTTCGTAATGTGCTGAAATAATTCAGCGATTTCCAAGGACGGCTATGTGGACTTGCAGGTGATTGTATTGTCCATGATATTCTTGATTTGCCCCAGTCAGGCATATCGAAACAATGCTGTCGGATTTGGCTTTGACCAGCAGGAAACCACAACGAAACACACACCTTGGGGGAGCCATTAATGTTCTCATATAAGATTTGTAACTCGTTCGGCCTTATTTGCTTCATTTCATCGGATAGCAGCTTCTTTGGCCAATACTTGTAGTCCGGATATACACTGGGAGACATCAGTAAGGCAGGATTGTGTGATAAGGGATCAACGGTAACATACATCAGTTGTGGATTAGGATTTGCAGAGTGCCCGGTGCTTTCCGCTTTGTCTTTTGAAATAAAGTTAACCCACTGCTTTGCATAAGTGTCTTCCTCAAGGTGTATGATATCCGTTCGTGGTCGCCCATACGCAGCAAGCCAATCGCTCGCCCTGATGCCTTTTGTCTGCGCGCCGTATCGGAGTAAAAAGTCGATGGTCTCACGGTTTTTGAGCTGAAAGGCCAGGCGGAGTGCAGTCTGACGGCTGGCGTCGCAACGATCGACATCATATCCACAATCAAGAAGACGCTCTGCCATTATCAGATCTCCGTCCCGAACTAGACCATGCAGTGTGACCATGTCCCTGCTAATAAGCGAGCGGATGACTCTATGGTGCCCATTGTGCATAGCCCACAACAACGGCGTTCGGCCACAAGCATCCGTAAAGTTAAGGTTAACCCCCTCCCTTGTCAGTAGTATCTCGACAACAGTGTTGTGACCATTCATTGCTGCCCACAATAGCGGCGTCCGATTAAACTCATCCTTGGAGTCTGGACGGACATTCGATCTTCTGAGGAGAAGCTCTACGACAGCACTGTGGCCACTCCCAGCCGCCCAGGATAATGCTGTCCTGCCATTAATGTCTGGGGAATCGGCACTTAACCCTTCTTTTGCCAAGAGAAGTTTTACCACTCTATCAGTCCCATTTTCTGCTGCTTTTGACAGCAATGTTCGAGAATCCAAAGTTGCATAGTTAAGATCAATTTTCTCATTTTGCAGAAGTATTTCCATCACTTCATAACGACCCTTCTCCGCTGCCAACCAGATCAGCGGTATCCCATCCTTGTTGATCGAATTTGGATTGACATCCGCCCTCTTTAGTAGCAATTGCACTACTTCGCTATGTCCCTTCATTGCCGCCCACGACAACGGAGTCATGCCATGATCATCCATAGAATCGGAATTGATATTGTGGTTTTTGAGAAGTGACTCGACAACCAGATATTGGCCATTTTCTGCAGCCCATGACAAGGGAGTCTTGCCATAACTATCCTGGGAATTAGGGTTCACATCTTCTCTCTCCAGTAGCCTGTTCACTGGGCCAGCATGAAAGTTTCCTGAGGCCCAAGATAATGGTGTCCTTCCATACTTGTCTTTGGCATCAGGGTTGATATTGGGTCTCTTAAGAAGTAATTCTACTACCATACCCTTCTCATTTCCTGCGGCCCAAGACAGCGGAGTTCTACCATCAAGGTCTTCGAAATCCGGGTGGACATCGGACCTTTCAAGCAAAAGTTCTATCGAACCTAAGCTCTCTCCACTCCCTGCAGCCCACGATAATGGTGTTCTACCATTGTCATCAGTTGAGTCAGCATCGATACCATCTATCGCAAGAAGCTGTCGCACAACAGAACTGTGACCGCTCCCCGCAGCTAATGACAGTGGTGTTCGTCCATGTGGATTTCTTGTTCCGACATTGCTGCTGTTGATGTCGGCACGGCCTTCCAATAACAACTCAAGGATCACGTCGCGTCCTAGGTGCCCCGCAGCCTGAATCGCACTTCCATATTCACCACCCTTAGCATTGACATCTGCGCCTGAGCGAAGAAGCTCAGATACGCCCCTTGAGTTCAGGCGAATGGTTTCTTCCTGAATATCCATCAAGTATCAGCCTCCACGTTTGCGAACATCCAAGTAACTTTTTCATTTCACGACACTTACACGTCTAGGTACTTAAAGGTGGCTGAGTTGTGGAAAGGCAAACACCAAAATACGAGAAGGCCTCTGCGTGGCTTGGCACATCACAAATTAATTAACCCTAACCCCGTTGATGGTCCCAATGAGCAAAAATAGTGTTACGCGTACATCATCATGTTTTTGATTGATCTCGATGAACTCTATCTTTCAGAGAGCATTGGGTAGGGCTGATGCGAATACAAATATCGGCCTAATCTAGGTGGTCACTGGTCACATCCGTATACGAGACAGAAATACTCTGTAGTTGATTTTGATATGCCACATTTGCTAAGATAGTGTTATGGGTTAGTCCCGCCTAATGCTCACTTATAAGGGCATACTTGAATAGAAAATATAACATGAGGAAAGGAAGAGGAAAGGACAACATGATTTCATCGTACATGCAAGTTTATATAGAAAAGTGGAACGCTCACACTGGGTTGGGTTCGGCGCCGATTATCCATAGCCATACACACCACGTGAGTGCCAAGGCATGAAGTCATTTATTATGCATTCTAATTTGGTAATAAATTCACTCTCCCCGTTAGAAGGCAAATCAGCCAATCAGAATGAATCTTCAACGTCTGCGAATAACTTCAAACTGCCAGGCTGCGCTCCAGCGTCCTGGGTGCAGAAGCGAATGAAAACGATACAGATTCTCTGATGAGGCTTTCGCCCGAACCACATCAGTATGAGGTCAGCTCATAACAATAGCGAAGGTCCAGGGCATTCAATGAATTCCGAAACAATGAGGATGTTGATGTTGATGGATAGTGTATATGGGAAACAGCTCACTGTCAATTTAATAAGTGATATAGGACCTAAATAATCCAACGATTGATTAATCTACGGACTGTTTCAAATTAACCACCATACTTATAGATTATAGATAGTAGATACTTCGTAACTAACTGTCAGATAATCTGGCTTTCAAACGAAGCAGAGAGATCGGCTGTTCGATCTTACAGGTCTAAAAGGCACCTTAGGGCACCTAGGTTTCAGCCCAATGTTTACCCCTCATGATAGCTCACAAATCACCCCGCCAAAGATGTTTATAAAAACCCAGCTTTGAAACCTGCTGGATAGAGAGAGACAGAGAACTGAATACATACAATCTTGCTAGTCACTTCTTTTCTTTTCATCCTAGTAAAACATTCTTCAGGATTGGCCTGGAATAAATCTACTAATCCGACACCAACCACAGCTTTCGATATATATATCTCAATATATATCTGTTGGTTTTACTACGGTCCGTATCACGAAGCATAGACGGTAGTAAGGCGCGAACACGAAGCGGCCTAACGAGCCTGACAATATGAAGCTATCTTGATTCCTAATATTGTGACTAGTCCCCAAGAGCGAGGGGGTGTGTGTGTGTGTGTGTGTGTGTGTGTGTGTCATTATTTTACGGCCGTAGGCCGTGATGAATCACTGCCTACCCATTCCCTAGTGGGACAAAGGCCGCCAGGGGGTAAGCCCTGGGTGTCAAGAATTATATACAAGGTGTGACTCTTTGGCGCGCTTACATGGCTGCCGCGGTCAGATAGATAACCTCTGCATGTAGAGGGTGAATGTTTCTGCCAACTGCAGTGGTCCACCTACTCCCCGTGACCGAATCTAACATGTTCAACACCGATGCAGCTTTAAAGAGAGAAAAGGAAAGACAAGGAAAAACAAAAGAAATATATAGCTATAAGTCTCTTAGCTTATGTGCTAAGAGGGGGCCTTCGAGGGCAGATATCCTCGAAGAATCGGGTCTCCGTGAGCCATTTGGCTAGTTTGGTGGCGCCCTTTGGGGTGCCCAGGAGGAAAGGAATGACTTCCGAAGGATGTCCAGGGAATCTAGGAGCCTTCCTCTTTGCGATCTGGCAGAAGATAAAGTGGATTGGGGACTTTCTTGCGCCGCATCGGCACGTGAGATGGGCATCTGTGTGGTTGAACCGTTCATGGTAGTCTGCGAAGTCTCCATGTTTTGTGCGTGCTGCAAGGATTCGTCCTAAGATATGGCGGGGAAGCTGGAGTTCTGGTGGGCGTCTTGAAAAGGTGGTGATTTCAAGATCTTGATAGGCCTGCGGAGCCGCTGCCTGCCAATATGTCTGTGCTCTTGAGGCAGCTTGTGATTTGGTATGTCGCTTAAATGCTGCATATGACCATGGGTGGGAGGTAGGGACAGTTTTTCCCGCGCCCTCTTTGGCAGCGCAGTCTGCTGCTTCATTTCCAGGGATGTTGGCATGTCCTGGGACCCAGCGGATTCGGACTGCCCCGCTCTCAATTTGGAGGAGTCTCCTTCTTGATGGCCAGGTAGCGGCAAGTGTGTTGAATGACTTGAAGACGGCTTGAGAGGAGCCTATAGATGAGGAGAGGAGTTGGATAGTGACCTCAAGGTTGTCAAGGCATATCCACAGGTTTGGTGAGCATTGGGCAGTAGAGTGTGTCATCGCAGCTTTTAACCCAGCAAGAGCCGCTTCTGCTTCTGCGTCAAAGACTTCTTTATTATGCCCGAGGGGTATTGAGCCGCGCAGGAATTGGGAGCCAGCTTGGAAACCAACATAACCACCACCTGTTTGGCCATTTTCTAATTTGGATCCATCTGAGTAGATTATAATATCGTTATTGGGGATGGATTGCAGGAGTATTTGGAAGTTGTCCGCCGCTTCTTCTCTTGTGCGTCCTGACGGGGCACCGACCCGTCTTAAGGCTGCTTCTCTGGGTTCTTTTGTACTCTAGGGTGGATGAAGCAGTGGGTTGATCTTTTCCATGTTGGGGAGTGCGAGCACTCAGCGCGCGAAGCGGCTAGTTGGGTGGCCTGTTCGGGCTATGGCTCTGGCTCGTCTTCGAAGAGGGTGATATAGGTCTAGGCGGCTTAGGCGTGTGGATGCAGTGAGGGCGATTTGATCAAGCTTAATCTCAGGAGGGTAAAACCCTGACTCTCGGTGTAGGACAGGTAACTGGATAGTGCGGAAAACAGGCAGAATTGCCCTTGCCCCTGTTAGAATGACAGTAGATAGGTCCGTTAGATGTTTATTCACTAGGTTTGAGATTGGGGGAGTGTCTGCCTGAGGGCGGGAACGAGGTCGGGTGCGGCCTGGCCACCACGTCTCTGCGCCGAAGTAGGCTTTACGGAGGACACAGGCCGATATGGCCTGTTGGAGGAGGTGTGGCCTCATTCCGTGGACTGTGTTTCCAAGCGAGCGGAGGGCACTAGCTATAGTGAGCGCTTTGGATGTCATTTCTTAAACATGCCAGTGGAAGGAGAGCTTTTTGTCAAAGAGGATCCCTAGCCAGCGTAGATATGGACGGTCAGTTGCTTCAGTAACTGTGACTGAGCCCGTTGAGACTGAGGGGGTTGTTGCAGGATCTTGATCTGCTCGATGCCGAGAGAAATGCATAAGTTTATATTTATTTGGTGCAAAAGTAATTCCTTCCGCAGTGCCCCATTCAATTGCGTCCTGTAGAGATTCGCTCAGTGTCTAGCAATTAGTTAAGAGGGATGGAGAGATTGCTAGGGTCGCTCTATTATCTGCGTATCCAAATCTAGTTCTAGGGTTACCCATGTGGAAGAGCGGTGCAATGTAAAGCATAAAGAGAATAGGGGAGATAGGGGAGCCTTGGGGAAGGCCACATGATATATCTGTATGAGGGCCAAGTTCATTATCAAATCGGATCTGTATGGTTCTTTCTGTGATGAAAGAGCTGATCCAGAGTATTAGATTGTTTGGCCATCCTTGTGTCCGGAGCCGGTAGGTGAGTCTCCCTGGGAGGACATTATCGAATGCTCCTTCCACATCAAAGGTTAGTAGAGATGCTGTTTTCCCTTGGTTTAGGGCTTGTTCTATGTCGTGTGTTAGACATGTGGTAAGGTCGATTGCTGATCTTAGAGGAAGGGCTCCAAATTGTTGGCTTGCCAGGACCTTGTAGTAGATTGCTATCCAGGCCATATTCCGTGCCACTAGACATTCAAGACCCTTTCCTAGGACAGAGAGGAGAGCGATGGGCCGGTAGGACCTAGGGTTGGTCCAGTCTTCTTTACTGGGCTTTTGCAGAATAGTGAGAATTGCATGTCTGAAATATTTTGGATGATATCCTAATCGTAGGCAGCCTTGGAATAGGAATAAGATCTTGTCTTTGATCAGTGGCCAAGCTGTCTTTAGGATGTTAGTTTGGAGTTCGTCTTCTCCTGGAGCGGTGTTTCTGGCCTTTAAGATAGACTTTTCCACTTGTGCCATGGTGATCTCAGGGAACGGAAGGGTAGTGGTAGGGACAGCTGGGCAGTCTAGCGGGATATCTCCTGCCTCTGTTGTGTTTTGCAGGAGGTTGCGAACTAGTAGGTCTCGCTTCTCCTGAACAGAGACTGCAGGTGGATTATCCGGCCGTAATGGATCCTTGAGAGGAGGGCTGCGATATGACCCCCTCGATTTGTGCCATTTGCTGATATCGAAGACCTCTTTCGTTTGTGAGGCAGTTATTAGCTTATTGCGCCAGAACTCTCTTTGTGTTTTCCTAATTGTGCTGCGAAACTCCTCTTTGGGTAGTAATTCTGATCGGTAGGCTTGTAAGGCTTCTTTGCATTCTGGATTCCACCATGGTTGTCCTTTTTTATGGGGGAGGGACCTCTTGGCAGAGCCTTCGTACGCACTGTGTATTGCCGAGGTCAGCCCTTGGGCTAGTGACTCTAGGTTGGCCTTTAAGGAGTCCAGCGGTTGGATCTGTGAGAGGTTAGTGGAGAGGAGAGATAGAAAGAGGGGTTGGTCGAGTATATCGAATCTTATTTTTTGGGTAGGTAGTGTGTGTCTTTGGTCCCACGGGATAGTGGTTAGCAGTGGTGTATGATCGGAGGTTGAGTCTAGGTGAGGGGCGGTGCTGGTGTGTAGTCCGCTCAGCGCTAGTAAGCTAGTAGCATAGGTGAGGTCTAGAACATTGCCTCTTGTATGGGTTGGACAGTCTATTTCTAATGTGAGGATAAAGCCTAGATGATCTAACCATTCAATAAAGGGGTCCGCTGATACAGCAGGACGGTAAGTCAGGGAGGGTTGCCATCTAATATGTAGAAGATTGAAGTCTCCAGCGAGGAGAGTGGGTTGTAGGAATAATGTCTCTGGAAGGGATATAAGGGTCTCCATAGCTTTACCAGCTCTGGTGGAGCCAGCTGGGGCGTTATAGGCGTTGATAGTGAGGACTGATTGTCCAGTTGAGGAGGAAATTTGCAGAAAGAGTAGGTCGGATAGGGTTGCTGGATCTGTAATGATAGGCCGAAGCTGGGATGCTTGTAGGCCTGCATTTTTCCAGACATAGGTAAGGACACAGGGCCGTCTAGTTACTGTCCAGCTATCTGTTGGAGAGAAACATTCATATGAAGGATGTCTCTTGGTGATTTTTTGGCTTAGGTTTGAAAATATGTATGGTTCCTGTATGAGTAGGACGTCAATATTGTTGGTATATGCGAGTGAGAGGGCGATAGTGTGGGAATCAGCACCCCGTCCAACATTTAGTTGGAGTATTGTGAGGGGTTCTTTTGAAGTGGACCGCCAATAGATCATAGGTGTTCTTTGAGAAGTGAGTTGAACCGGTTTTATGGTTTGGGGGTTGCAAAGCGCACCACGCTAGCTGTGACAGGAGGTTCCTGAGAGGGCGCCGGAGGTGGGGGAGTGGTTGGTCGGAAAGGTGAGGCGACCTGGATTTGTGTAGGTGGAGTATCTATGACCATGTGCTGTTCTTGTGTGGTAGCAGATGACTCTGAGGAGCAGCCTTGTTCTGTACGGGCCTTTGCTAGGTTGATGGCGCATGTTTTGCGGATTTCTGCTCGTTGGGCTTTGGTGCGAGTGGTGCCAGCTTTAGGGCGGAGTGGGCAGTCAGTGAAGTCCGCTGGATGGGGTCCATGGCAGTAAAAGCATCTTGGAGGATAGCAGTAAGGATTTGGAGTAGAACAGCTATTGTTATGTTCTTCTTCTATATGTTCTGATAAGCCGCAGAGTCGACATCTTGGGGATCGTGCGCAGGACCGTGCATTATGCCATTTCCAGCAGCGGTTACATTGGATGATTGTTACCTTCCTAGTAAGGAAGCGAGCATTGGTGATAGTGCCGAAAAGGCGGAGCCAGGTTGAGAGAGAGGCTTTTGAGTCTTCTGAGAAATTGATAAACCAGCTTGAAGATGGTGAGTTGACATTAGCAGCACTAGCGGTAGTCTCACTGACAGATATGGGTCTATAGCCTGTTTGCTCGGCAATTTCAGTAGATAGTGTCGCAGGGTCGACTGGGATCATGGAGTATTGGCCATTGGTGATTTGGCCAATCTTTCTTGGCAGGTTTGTAACTCTATATGAGATCCATCGTGCGCTGCGTTCAACTTGGCAGTTGCCAAAGTACGTCGATATGACTTCCTTTTGAGCCTCAAGGGTTGAAAGGGCCTCCATAGTTGCAGGATAGAGAGCGAACCTGGTCTTTGTAGTTTGTACTTCTTTCAAGGCGTTGCTGTTAATACCTAGTTGGGCCCGGAGGCTAGTATAGATCGCGTAAGAGTCCATCATTTTTGCGGCATGGTCTATTGGGAGACGTACGAAGAGGCGGTAGTCAGGGAGAGATTGTTTCACGTCAGGTGTAGGCTTTTTCGTAGGTGGCTTTGTTTGTTTTATAGCAGTACCTGATCTGGCTGGGTTGGACTTGGTGATTGTTGTGTAGGAGGACTGCGCGAGGCCGGAGGGGGGATAAGAGGGAGGGGGCGTAGGGGGAAGGGGACTGGGGATAGGGGAAAGGGCTGGGGCAGGGGAATGGGTAGAGGGAGTAGGAGTGATGCCACTTATATAGGCATTAAAATGGTGTTGAGCCACGGTGGCTAGATCATCACTTAGAGCGGCAAGAGCTCCTTGTAGATAAGGGCTGAGGCCAGCCGTCTGGTTGCGGTGTTTATCAAGAAAAGCAGCTATTGGGCTGAAGATTTTCTGACCCTCGGCTGCTCTGGTGGTAGCAGCAGTGGTTATCTCTTGCAGAACATTTTGTAGAGACCTCTTGTCGGGTTCAGAGCGATTCCGTGCCATGGCGTTGCGGAACGCGTTTTAGCGCGTCTGGGCCGCGTCGCCTGGGACTGGAAGCGGGAGAAAGAGAGAAAATATAGGCAGGAATAGAGCGTCTGTCCAAACCAATGTGTGTAGAGCAAGGGGGTGTGTGTGTGTGTGTGTATTTAACGGCCGTGGTTCGTCCTTTGTCTTTTTGGGGGTGTGTGTGTGTGTGTGTGTGTGTGTATATTTAACGGCCGTGGTTCGTGACTCGCACGCTTCCCACCGATCCCTACTGGGACATAGGCCGCCGAGGGGTAAGCCTCGGGTTTCGGGTCCTATCAGATTTATGTACAAATAAGAGACTCTTTGGCGCATTTCCATAGCTGCCGTGGTCTTACAGGGAGGTCCACTTTGAGTGGGTTTTAGGTATTTGCCAGCTGCAATGGTCCGCCTACACTCCATGACCTATTACTCCACCACTATTATAACTGAACAGTAAGTTTTGCAGAGAGGGAAAGAAAGAAGAGAAGAGAAAGAAAGAAGGAGAAGAGAAATATAAAGGAAGAGTAGGGCTGTCCTAGCTAGGTGCTAAGGAGAGGTTGGCGAGGGCAGATATCCTCAAAGAAGTGGGTCTCTGCTAGCCATGTGGCTAGCTTTTGTGCTCCTTTAGCAGTGCCTAAGAGAAAAGAGATGACCTCAGAAGGGGGCCCAGGAGGCCGAGGGGCTCGTCTCTTAGCTATATGACAGAAGAAGAAGTGCAGAGGTGCTTTTCGTGCTCCGCATTGGCAGAGAAGATAAGCATCATCATGGTTGAAGTGTTCATGGTAGTCTGCAAAGTCTCCATGACCAGTACGGGCCGCAATAACATGGCCGAGGTCAAGTCGGTTGAGTTGAAGCTCCCCAGGGCGCTTAGGGGAAGTGGTTATTTCTAGATCTTGATAGCTCTGTGGTGCCACCTTCTCCCATTGTGACTGAGCAGCGGATAGGGATTGAGTCTTGGCGTATCTCTTTAGCGAGGCGTATGAGGATTTGTGAGGAGCAGGAGGGATTGAGGCAGCTCCCTCTTTGGCAGCGAGATCAGCCGCTTCGTTCTCAGGGATTTTGGCGTGTCCAGGGACCCATCGGATTTGGATAGATCCGCTTTTGGTGTGAGGAAGCCTTTTGCGAAGTGGCCATGCGGCTGCAAGGGTGCGGAAGGATTCAAAGATTTCTTGGGAAGATCCTGTAGAGGGAGATAGAAGGCGTATGGCAACTTCCAGGTTGTCAAGGCAGATCCATAGGTTGGTAGCAAATTGAGCTGTTGGGTACGCTATTGCTGCTTCTGCTTCTGCGTCGAAGACCTCTTTCCCGTGTCCGTATGAGAGTGAGGAGCGGAGGAACTGATGGTGTGCTTGAAGTCCAATATAGCCACCCCCTGCACGTCCGTCTGCTAGCCTAGATCCATCTGAAAAGATTACAATATCTGAGCTAGGGATGGTACGTTGAAAAGCCATGAAATTAGCCGCTGCCTGTTCCTTAGTGCGTCCCATGGGAGCTCCTATTCGAGCTTGAGCATTCCCACGAGGCTCGCGAGGGTGCCAGGGAGCGTATTGGAGAGGGTTTATCTGTTCAGAGTTTGGGAGGGCCAGTGTACGGCGGGCAAATCGGCTGATTTGTCGGCCATTACTAGCGATCTGTTCTGCGCGTCTTCGAAGTGGGTGATAAGGGTCGAGACGCCGTAGGCGGACAGTTGCAAGGAGGGCTATTCGATCTAGTTCGATTTCTGGTGGAGAGAATCCAGACTCTCGATAAAGGACTGGCTTTGGGGTTGTGCGGAAGACTGGAAGGACTGCTCTTGCGCCTGTCAAGAGCGAGGGGGACGGGGGGTAGCTAGCTAGATATATACGCGGTACACACGTGCCACGTCAGACTAACTAATCCGGTGCCGAAACGCGTAGGGTTTGATATTCACGTTCCGACAATGTCAGATGGGATTGATTGCTTGGATAGCCAGAGTTTGCCGGCTGACCCTACCTAGTTATATTATTGATTGTGCTACACTTTTCATCCAGGTAGACAACTTATAGAACTAGTTACGAGAGCAATTTCTGGGCTAATAATTATGGTCTTGCGGCTCTTGGCTGAGCACTGGCACGATCATGTGTGGTTTCATCTCTCTCCATATGATTGAATATATGGCGGATAACTCGAATATCGGCGCGGTATGGCAGATATCGTATCCGCCGGTATGACTACCAGTCGAATAATATTCGATATTCGCATCCGCCGTGAAAAGAACAGCGATTATCGTATCCGCCGCCAATATCCGATCGAATAATATCCGCCGAGGCGGATATCGTCAACAGCTCTAGCATTGGGCTCCGGCTTCACTCTGTCGCTGTTCCACTGCATAAGAAACAGTCTGTATAAATGCTGATTTTATGACCGCTTAAATCCGTCGTAATGCTGGGCATACAAAGACAGCTCAAGGGGTCGGAGAATAGGAGAATGAGACCATTTCTGTAGTGTGACGTGTTCAGAAGTATTTTCAATGCCATGGATATTATTGCTCATTTATAAGAAGGCCTCATGTAACCTGGAAAGTTATGGGTTATAGATTAATAGTTACAACTCCTACTTATGAATCAAACTATCAGACAGCTGCTATACCCAATCATGCCCTATATCCAGCCGAACTTTGCTCGTTATTGGAGGCTCTTCAAGAACAAGATTTGGCGTCGCGAAGCTTGCCCTAGCCGAAGGCATGAAGGTAGCGATCGCTTCATCCAATGCGGAACGAGTAGAGAATGCAGTGGAAAGACTCTAAAAATCATCAAACGTCCCTGACAGAACGCTTTTGGGATATTTGATTGACCTAAGCCAGCCGGACGTCGAGTCCCGACTGGAAAAGCTTCTCCCTGACGTAACAACTGCCTTTGAAGGGGGAGACGGCCAGGAGTTACTCGATCATCTCATTTTTATGGCCGGAGACGCACTCGAATATCGATCATTGCAGATATCGACCCCGACTTTATTCAACGATGCGGCCAGATACGATTCACCGCCCCCCTATTGATCGGAAAGCTCTCTTTAAGGTTCTTCAAGTCCCACTGGAAATCGTCTATACATTCACGAGCGGCAAGGTCGCCGAGCGGTCATTGCCTCAATACGCAGTCTTCGCTGCTTATGCGGCAGGTATGGGAGGTGCCACACGGAACTTAGCTCTGGACTTGAAACCCATTCGTATCAATCAGGTAAACCCGGAGAGAGTTCTTACGCAACCCTGGGGAGTGGGAGCGGAAGCTCGAGTTGAGGAGGCCGCAAAGAATGCACTCTTGGGGAAATTGGGTAGACCGGAGGACACGACCGAAACGTATATTTGTCTGATGAAAGACACCACGGCGACTGGGGTTGTCATCAACAACAGTGGAGGAGAGTTTTTGGTTGAGATCCGCACCAATGCTTCTCACGGTGTATAGAGTTCGATGGTCATGATATTTTGCTGTTTCTTTGTATGAGTTATTTATCCCAAGAAGGTTCCAAATTTCGCAAAATCTTGATGCTTCTTCAACCTTTCCATATCGTCACGTCTTAGGCAAATCCCAACCACGATCTCACCATCCGGTGCTTTTGGCAGAAAGTAAACGAGACCTTCTCTAGAACCATCAGTGAACCGTGGCCTACGAACAGCCAAAGGCAATCCAAACCCAAAGTCAAGATTGTAGCAGTTTTCCTTTGCCCAAGAACTCAAACGAACATCCAGTTCGGGGTTACCTTTGGGGACGATCGTTGCATTTGCGCTATTCTTATCCCTCCTAATTCTAGTTGCTAGTTCGCGTGTACGCTGATTTAATGACTCGGGACTAAGAGCAGAGCGCAATTGACTGGAGAGGTACCCCAATAAATGGTTTGCTACTTCGTCCAATGCAAATGTATGTAGAGTTGTATTGGTAACAAATCCGGGATATGAAGCGGGGATCTGAAGGTGTTGACGGACATTGACATTCCGTGACAGGGTCGTTTTCAATTTGATACGCTCCCATTCGTTTGAGTATATCGCTGTAGTCGAACACTGCTAGACACTGCCATATAAACGCACTAAGGACATCGTCTGTGGAGACAAAGCCATTCGTTTCTCGGGGCAGAGTGGCTGTTGCCTGAGATTTGAGTGATGCTAACTTAGAACGACAGAAGCTGAAATAGGTCCAAGTACAGTCATTCGAAGACGACTGTAGCTTCTTTGATTGAGATTCTTTTGCTCTATCCCTTTGAGATGACGGACTATTTTTAATGCGTGGAGGGTCAGGAGCTGCCGTCTCTTGAAGTTGAACATGATCGTCGAGTAACTGAACGACGTTCCTCCGATCTATGTTACCAATAGATATTTCCTCCTCACTGAAAGGTTCATGTCGACAGGCTTTTGCAAACAGATACATCACCTGCCCCTGGCCAGCCATGTCCATGGACCCATGCTGACCATTCAAGGTGAGCAGTAGTCCGCCACGGACAAAGTTGGCCTGAACAATGAATACAAAGAGATTGTCTGATGAGGGTTCTAGCGTCTTTCATGGTGCAAATACAGATTCGTCTAGCATCCTAAACGGGAAACCAGCTTGTTGTGACGTGCTCCATGTAGGTACTGACGGGTCTTTGGTATAGTCCTTCACAATGACTTGTGGCCTACCGCTATCGGGCTTGATCTTGAATGTGCCATTCTCGTTCACTATCTTGCCAGATATCCATGGAAAGCTCCCGATAGTCGTTGAAAACCCGCTATCGAGTGTCCTTGTGATTTCTGACTTTCAGTGTAACTCGTTGTCTTCTGGCAACGAGTAGCACAATGTGATTTGTGTGTAGAGCCTATTTCTACGAGGTTGTTGCCCGAAAATATCTAGAGGAAAATCCGCCAAACTCGGCCGATTCGATCCGCCCTGCATACTGGCACTTCTCATCTGATATTATTTACAAACCGTGCATTGCATTTAGACAACGTCTTTGAAGGTCCGGAATGACGTCAAAACGGCCCCCTAGGTCATAGAATCAATTAGCCCTAACCCTACATTGATAGGATCGAAGTGCAGTAACTATTTCACAATAGTCGAATATAGACAAACTGAGTCCTTGAGTAGCGCCTTGGACGGGATACTTTTGGTTGCACACCCAATACATGGTTATTAACTTTAACACGCGATCATCTAGACCAGTCCATCCAACAAAACGCGATGGCTGCTCCGAGTTCAGTGAAACCTCACTTTTACCATCTTAAGTTATGTTACAATTGAGGTCAAATATATAGATAAATTTAGCGACAAAAAGCCTATGACTTACATTTCGTATCTTGTACCGGGATCTTGGTCCATAACTATGTTCATTGTAGGCCAAATCCGAGCGGTCAATATCATACATAAGCCTTGTATAATTTTTGCATACTTCTTGGAGATTCACGCCTGTCTTAAGATGTATCCTTATTTAGCAATTTCTTCACGGCGCAGCCATTGCCGATGAGCTCTGACGTGACTCAGTTGGCCCTTGACTGTGCGCTTATTAAATGTTGAAGCAGGTGTACTGGCACCTATGCTGCCCTATGAATCGGTACTGGTGGCCTGATGATCTGGCAACCATGCCAGAAATAGGAAAGACATTCAGCTGGAAGAGATGGACAGCTGGGATGGTTTGCGGAGCTTATAAATAGCCTGTGTTCCGAGACGACCGACCGTCTATACCAATCAATCCCGGGACATTGGAAAAGCGGAGTGGCTTGCAGATCATGTTGCTTATTCTTATGGTTGGTGTTGTTTTCTGGAAACATGCGATAGCAAATTGCCGATATGTTTTGATTGCTATTGTCTCAGTCCAAAAACCGGAAATATTGGTTATCGAGTGTCGGAGTGAGAAAGCCGGGTACTGAATTTTGACATTTTAATTGTGAACAAAGTGCCGGTCCAAAAGAAACGATGAACCGGAACTTATCCTCTTAAGCAATGTATTAATCATTGGCTCATCTAGTCACGGTCTCTTGATTCCGAATGGCCCATGATCGCAATTCCTCCACAATTGTTCCCGTATTGTATGGAGAAAAACGCTGGGCATGTCTCAAATCGATTCTCCTGCAAGGACGATCCTTGCCGGGTCAACTGTCAACACGTCATTTATGGAGAATCGCTTCGAAAGTAAAAAAGAAAAGTCTAGGGAATACAAGACACGAATAGACATACGAAAAAGCAGCGCGTGAGGCATTAGATTTGTTCATTAGGCGTCCTCTTTGTTATTTTGTCTTAAACTGTCTCATTTACTCTCTCCTTTTATTGGCTCAAAGTGGGTCAGCATGAAGATCTTGGCAAAAGCAATGATTCAACGCCCCTGAGGCAATTCGCATACTGCTCGAAATCAAGTATAAATACCAATATATAGCCACTTTTGTTGGATTCATTCTGATGGTATCAAGCAACACGTTTTAACCATTGTATCTCAATTCCAAGCATACAAAAAATCCTGACATTCACAAAACAACTGGAGAAACTTTGATAACGAAATACAAGGGAACCAACGATCCTATATCCACCAAAATGTACAAGTCTGTCTTGTCACTCGGTCTCATCGCCAGCACTGCGCTTGCACAGTCAGTTTCAATTGGATTGCCAGCAGCAGGAGCTCAATTGTCCACCGGAACCCCAACAACATTCCAGATTCAGCGTCCCGTAAGTCAAGCTCTCGACAAGATAAAATACTCTTCTCTGGTACATTGGCTTACTCAATGGTATAGGACACCTTGACTGGCTCTCAGGAGATTGCCGTTGTCATTGGTATTAGCAAGTGCAACTCCGGTGGTAGATGTGCTTCTCCTGATGAAAGCATGGGCACCGTCCTGTACAATGGACCGTTCAACCCTCAATTCCATGAAACCGCTCTACCTCCATATCAGAACTTCACCTTGGAGATTCCAGAGTCAGCTGCAACTGACAATGGACTTGTCACTGTAGCCCACTTCTCTCTTGTAGGAGTAAGTCAAACAATGTCCCTTGCACTCTTTACCTATTGGATCCGTCTTCAGTTCATGCTAACATAACCATTACCTTGGAAAAGGCAAGTGCATGGCCTATGGTCGAGTACCTTAACCAGAGTATTACCGTTGCGTAAAGAAATTATCGCACATAACCCTGCTATACGGCATATATTTACTTTTGATTCATAATATCTTCGATTGCATTCAGTTATCATTGGTGGATCCGAAATTTTAGCTACAATTTTGTGTCAAGGTGTTTTGGGTTGGTTCGAATAAATTTGATTGTTAGTATTAATTGACCAGGGTAGCAATAAAAACTTTTGCACATTATGAATATATATCATTTCGTATGCTAAAAAGTTCTTGTCTCGCTTATAAGATCGTTTTTTTAAGATGTCCCTTAGCGTAAGTAGGTGCGAGACTGATTCTCCTAAGTTCTCAGAGAGTCAGCAAACTTCCAAGGCCCAACCTGTACGACTAAGAGTAATATCCGAACGTACACCTGGGCTAGCACGTACATAGGTAAGTAGTTATGTGCTGAGCTGCTAGCAGAGCATCCCTTCAGAGCTATGATGATAACATGTTTAGTTTATTCTTACGTAGGTAGTTTCTTCGACCGGACCCTGAAAGAGCTATGATTTGAGGCTAGGGTTTAGGGTTCGGGATAATCGTTGAAGATAGTGTCGGATTGGTGGGTTAACTCCAGGCCAATCCTGAATAATTGTTACAAGGATGGTAAAAATAAAGAAGTGGGTAGCAAGATTTTTTTATCTCTTCTCTTCTCTCTCCGAGGACATCAGGTTCCAAAGCCGGGTTTATATAGATATTTTGCCAAGATGTGTAACAACTAACAGACTTGGGGATCTCACTGTTCCAAGGAATACGGCCATGACGTCTCAAGTCGAGTTTCAGGTGCACCAGGTGAAGGTTTATATGTTTGAGGATGCCTTTTTTGATTCTATACCTCGTTGCAAATGCGGATTATCTGACAGATAGTTACCTATGGGTTAGGGTTAAAGCCAACGGCGAACAATTCTGTAAACGAACCCTTGATTAGCCTGTACTCTGGAATGTATATCTCTGCATAATCTCGAGACATAGCTTGTAGAAGAGTCTACACCTTGATTAGCCAAAGGCAGGTAAATTTGATTACTCATTATTTCTGCCTAAGGTTCTTGTTGCTGGCAACAGCTGATTGGATGGCTGAAGGATAATCTGGCGCTATTCCTAACTAATTATTGCCATCACGAGCTACAGCACTCAGATTGGTCCGAGTGATTCCTTACGTGAGCACATGCGCCTCCTTTTTTTGTAACTAACTTAGAGACGGCCTTCATATCAACAGAAGAGCAAGGGGAGTGATATATTGATAGTTTCATCAAAAACGCACTAATTGCGATACTTGCAAATTCACCATGTTCGGAAGAACCAATTTTGACCCTCTCGGTCAGGTTAGCAGCTATCCGTCCTTAAGTACCAAGGAACGATTGTTAGATGTTCGCTGACTGGTATAAAGTCTGTGATCATTGCTGGTGGCTCTAAAGGGCTTGGTCGAGAATTAGCATTGCAATTGGCAGACCGAGGTGAGGGAACATGCAGGCCGATCATACATGATTGATTATTACTAATGGTAAAAAGGTGCCAATGTCGCTATCTTGGGTAGAACTCCTAAGGCCTTGGAAGAAACCCTTCAGGATCTCCAACAGAAAATCAAAGGCCCGGACCAAAAGCACAGCTCTACAGTATTGGATTTAACAGATGCGGCGCAAGTAAGAGGACCTTCCGTCGGATATCTTTGTTCCCCGGATTTTAACCTTTTCACATCAGGTAACAAATTATATTGACTCGCTCCCAGAACCTCCATCTATCCTGTTTTGTGTTGCGGGTGGGACGGCAAGCGAAATTGGATTCTTCGCAGACATCGCAGCAGAGGATATCAGAAGCTGTATGGAACGCAATTATTTTGCCGCTGCGTTCATTGCGCATGCCGTGTTAAAGCAATGGCTTGCCAGACCCCCTCCTTTTAAACAACGGCGCCATATAGTATTCACAGCTTCTACAGCAGCTTTTGTTGGTCTTCCGGGTTATACTGCGTATACACCAACCAAGACCGCCACACGAGCTCTAGCCGACACTCTCCGCCAGGAAGTACTATTGTATCGGTCTCAACAGGACATCCGCGTTCACTGTAGCTTCCCTGGAACGATTTACACCGATGCATTCTACGAAGAGCAAACCCGGAAGCCGGACCTCCTGAAAGAGCTAGAGGGCTCCAATAAGGAAAATAGCGGGTTGACGGCAGCCAGAGCAGCTGAACTCACGATTGAGGGGCTCAAGCAAGGCAGGTTCTTTATCACTATGGATATGGAGACGGAGCTTCTGCTGAATAATATGCGCGGGCCAAGTCCCCGATATTGGTCGGTGTGGGATTGGATTCTTGGGCTTTTGGCTTCGCTTGTCTGGCCCGTCTTTCGTATCATGCACGATCGCAAGACGAGCCAGTATAGAAGAGAGCAGCGTAAGAATGAGTGATTGTATTACTATAATGGTACATACATGTTATTATTGGACGGTCACATACACAATGGGGAGTTGCATGGCAGAATATCTGGAAGTAGCGAGACATGCTGCGTTATTGGAGAGGTAATGGTCGAGAGCATTGTGATCCATGCATGGCATTTCCTCAAATCCCGATAAGCTTAGATAAATCACGCCATTTACTTACATACCATACCATGTGCCATGTCCAATTAACGTTAAATACTCCATGATAATATTTCGTACTCGTATTTCGATGTCCATTATTTGTCTAATTTAAAAGGACATCTTAACCGAAGCGACAAACGCAATGATGTCACGATAAACGGCCGAAAAGCGTGATAATGAGTGGATTCGTACCACTTTTCATGAGATTCTGGATAGTAAGCTTCCAAGAGGGGAAAAATGCGTTGGATCGATTAGCTGATGGAGCTGCTGTGGTATTAGCTGCTGGACCTCTAACTTCAGCATGGGTTTCGACGGTTGGCATATATTTCTGTCTCAACATCATCAATTTTGGACAAGCTCAAAAGCGAACTAGAAAAAACTATGGACAACCCAGATGCTCGTGTCTCTGACCACTATCAAGCCTCTACCTTATCTACGTGCGTGTGTATAAGAAGCCATCAGACTGGGCTATGGTGCTCCTGGTCGCGTAAACCAGCTTGCTCTGGATTAGCTTATGGTTTTGAAATCGTCAAGCAAAGGGCGACCGACCCGGGTCATCTCTCCTAATACCCCTACAAGCATGATTGTGTATTTAGCTCATCCCCTTGAAGAAATCTTCCCCAACTCCATGACATACCGTCCTGAGCAATGGATCCAAAACCCTCGTCTAGACGAATATCTCTTCGGATTTGAAAACGGGTCTCGTGGCTGTGCAGGCATCGATTTGGCCTATGCTGAGTCGTATATTACTATTGTTCGGACTTTAAGAAGTTATGGATCAGCTGATTGCCGCCACCAGGACGATAAAGGTGTGTTTGAGCTGCATAACTCTAGCTACCATGATGTAGAGTGTGTTGGAGCTTTGATGCTACTTAAAGTATAGAGTGGGGATAAGACTGATTGATTAGGCACTTTACCTCTAATACAAGATGGACGAAAATGGGCATCTATTTGCGTACATTCAATTAGTAGGAATATCAATTAGTAGGAATAGGCATGTGCCACTAGGCCTTCCGCTTGCGACAAGTATCAAAATCAATTATCAATGGAGAGAACAGAACCCGAGCAATTTATCTAGGTAGATGGAGTATGGTACTCTTACTGACTAACTGCCCGCCAGCATCACTGCTTATTTTTCATTAAAGCGCAATTATTCAAGGGCAAGTTTACTAACGTTATTGTTATATCAATCGCCAGCTGAACCTTCACACACTACCTATATAACAGAACATCAGATCTTCTCCGCCACTTCAACGTGCTCAATCTTACTAATCTTTTCCTCTGATTGCGACTGGGCGGCAAATGGATCGACAACTGTAGTTTTGAATTTGCGAGCGGGTACTTTTTGCTCAAAAAGCAGATCCAGTTCAGCGTATGTGCGGCCTTTGGGCTCTGGCAAGCGGAAGTACGTCCAGACCAAGCAGAGCAAACACGAGCCCGCCCAGAAGAAACCCGTTTTGGCCCTCCAGTTCCATGCAGTTGGATTCAACATTCGTGGCGTCAAGATGTTGGTAACGATGCCCACGATATTGTACGTATTGCGTGCCAGAACAACCGTCTTCTGTCGTAGCCGCGTCGATGGCAACTCCGAGACCAGTGAGTAACAAACAGGACCTACAGTCGCGTCATATACGAATGTGTACACCAACAGCATGCTGCCAATTGCCCACTGCGCTCCGGAGTTGTTGGGCGAAACAAGTCCTAGTAGGCCGATGATGAAAAGTAGCAGAGCCATTGTTGCTTGGCCAGACAGGTACATGGTCCGTCGGCCCAATTTCCCCATCAGTAGCCACGATGTCACCGTACCAATTGCGCCCATCACGTACATAACGATCGACATAGTAAAAGAATTACTAGTTGCAAGTCCAGCCTGCTCGTAAAAGTAGGTAGAGTAGCCCATGAAGGTACTGCCGCACAGCGTTTGGATAGACCATGTTACGCAGACGATCTCGAGCCGCCGCAGGTCTACCCCCTTAAAGCAGTCCCAGTACGAGACACCTTCAGACCATTGTTTCTCCATCTCGTTTGTGCTCCGTATCATCGCAATGGTCTCGTCCGCGTTGAAGTCCGGATCACGCTCGGGCACTGTCAGGCGTTGCAGCGCCTTTCGCGCATCTTCATGACGGCCCTTGCGTACCAGCCACCAGGGAGATTCTGGAGCGAGTGCAATCCCAATAATAAGGGGCACTGGCCACATCCACTGCAGCGCGAAAGGAATCTTGTAGCCCCATTCGTCGGTTCTGGCCTGCATTGCTTTCAAAACACCCTATTAAATTATTAGAAAGAAGCAACAGATAAAAGCTGCCATCACTTACCGAGGCGATCAATTGCCCAAACACCCAACACAAGTTGACATACGTCGTCAGGTATGGTCGCAAGACAACGGGGCAGACTTCGGCCGCATAGGTGGTGGTGATGGTTTGAAAGACACCCCAAGGAATGCCGATGAAGATTTCGCCGACAAGAAGTACTGGTAAGGAGGCGGAGAAGAAAATGATAAAGGTGAATGCGATACAGAGCATCAAGGCACCAATGAGACTTTTGCGGTAACCGAAGCGCTCCGCGATGATACCGTTGAGCATCAAACCAAGGATTTCGCCTACTAGGGCTCCATTACTCAGGCCTGACTGCCACGCTGCTGTCAGCTGGTACTTGCCGTCGGCCCCTTTGACACCATACGTGCGTTGAAATGACTCGTACGCGTACAGGTTGCTGATCAGAGTCGTGTCGTATCCCTCCATGACGATTGCCGTCGAAAGCAAGATTGACCAGCCGGCAGCGTGCGGATAGGTTTTCAGACTCTGCCACAGACTCATCTTATGCTCTGCCTCTACGGCGCGGTGAGCGTCGTGTTCCAGCTGAGCTGTGAGCTCCTTGCTAGGCACACATCCCTGTTCAAGGTTCGACATTCTGAGAATAGTGAAGTAGTTTGAGAGATAAGATGTAGGCAGACTTGTTGTCTTTCCAAGGGATGTCCAAGTCCTGAACCCCGGGGGATGTGACATGCTTTATAGACGCTCGCATCACATGGCCGCGTAACTATACCTGAATGTAAACCTCTTCTATGCGACATCGCTACTTCGGTTGAATATTTTTTTTTTACCTTTACTCTCCTCAAATTCATCCAATTGAAGTCCTTCTCGGACAAAGAGCGTGCGACGTGCGGTCCGACATTGGACAAATCAGATTACCTTCAGTGAATATTGGATGTGGTATCACGTGGTACATTCGGCCTAGAAGCATTCCCCAGTAGCTTTCCCCATGGGGAGGTGGCGCTGCCCGCAAGAGCCATGTTGGATCTCATTGGGTTTGTAACCCTAATGGCTTTTTTCCCCAAGTTTTAGTCTACGGGCCCATATACGGTTTAACCAATAGCGCAAGCGAGTTATTCCAACGAATTGACCAATAAATACTTCGTATTAAAGCCAATATTCTCGGCCCGACATGCACCCAATTGGAGGCTGGCGCTGAGAGGGGTAAAAGCGAGCTGCCAAAAAGGGTCGTTCGTGATATCGGACCGACGTTGGGCCAATGGCCTCGTAGTCAGGGAACAACGAGTGTGCTCAGCGCATGGGATATGCCATGATAAAGAGGCGAGAAGCAGCACTGCTGCAGTCTCGTTACTCTTTTTCTTTTGTTCGTATTTTCCATTTTTCGCTTTTTCTTTTTCGTTGATTTAATTCACCTTCTCCTCGCCTTTTCTATTCGATATTGATATAGACTGTGCCCCAAGGAGCAACCATGTCGTGGTGGAAAAATGCAACCGTTTACCAAATCTATCCTGCGAGTTTCAAAGACTCGAACGGCGATGGAATTGGCGACATTCCTGGTATCCATGCGCAGCTGGACTACATTGAGTCGCTGGGTGTTGATGCCATTTGGCTGTGTCCCATGTATGACAGTCCGCAGCATGATATGGGATATGATATCTCCAACTATGAGGCCGTCTATCCCCCCTACGGCACCGTGAAGGACGTGGAAGCTCTCATTGAGGCTTGCCACGAGCGGGGTATGAAGATATTGCTTGATCTTGTGATCAATCATACCTCGCACGAACATGCATGGTTTAAAGAGTCACGCTCATCCAAAAACAGTCCCAAGCGCGACTGGTATATCTGGCGGCCAGCCAAGTATGACGCGGACGGGACTCGACGGCCTCCCAACAATTGGCGTAGTTGTTTCGGTGGTAGTGTGTGGGAATGGGATGAGGAGACTCAAGAGTACTACTTGCATTTGTTTGCTCCGCAGCAACCAGATCTTAATTGGGAAAATCCTGCCACTCGTGCCGCCATCTACGAGTCCGCAATGGAGTTCTGGTTGCGCAAGGGCATAGACGGTTTCCGTGTCGACACAGTCAATATGTACAGCAAGCCGTCAGACTTTCCAGACGCTCCCGTGACCGACGCGAGCCTGCAATGGCAGTCAGCCCATCATCTATTTTGCAATGGCCCACGAATCCACGAGTACATTCGTGAGATGGGCCAAGTGCTACTCAAATATAACGCCATGACTGTCGGAGAGCTTCCACATTGCCCTGAGGTGGGGGATGTACTGAGATACGTCTCAGCGAAGGAGAAGCAGTTGAGCATGGTTTTTCAATTTGAGATTGTTGACCTGGGTGCCGGCCAGCCTCTGCGATATGACACGGTGCCGCGCAACTGGAAACTACCGCAGTTGCGACAGCGCACACTTGTCACGCAGCGGTTGATGGATGGAACAACCGATGGCTGGAGCACGGCCTTTCTTGAGAACCACGATCAGGCGCGGTCAGTCTCACGCTGGGGTGACGATACAACACCTGAGCTCTGGGCGAGAAGCGCAAAAATGCTATCCATGTTCGTGGCGAGCCTATCCGGGACTTTGTACCTTTATCAGGGTCAGGAGATTGGGATGGTGAACGCGCCATCATCTTGGCCGATTAACGAGTACAAGGATGTGGAGAGTATCAACTTCTATCGTTTTGTGCGCGAGACAACAAATGACGACCCAATCGCGCTGGCTAAGGCTAAGGTTGCTTTGCAACACCTGGCGCGCGATCATGCCCGGTTGCCAATGCAGTGGGATGGTACGGCCAATGCCGGATTCACCACCCCAGAGGCCACGCCATGGATGCGCGTACACGATAACCATCAGTCTCTGAATGTGAAGAGGCAGAATCTCGATGGACAATCGGTATTGGCATTCTGGAGACAGATGCTGAGATTGCGGCGGAACTATCCAGATGTGTTTGCCTGCGGAGTTTTCCAGGATACTGATCCTCAGGGCGAGTCCGTCTTTCTATTTGAGAAGGTAGGAGAGGGTAACAGAAAGCTGGTTGTGGCGCTAAACTTCACATCCAAGACACAGAAAGTTGATCTGGTCAATCGGCTAGGAAGGGACTACAAGCTTCTCATTCAGAATGGAGATGGGGAGAGTTTGGAGGAGCTCCAGGCGTACGAGGGTCGGGTGTACTTGTTGACTTTGAGTATGAGTTAGGATAGAGTATATAGAGGTTGAGGAGAACTTTAGCAAAAGTATCCGAATAGTTTGTTGGTCTGTCAAATGCTCACAGCATAGAACCATGAGAAGTGGGGAGTTTTCGTTGACTCATTTGTATCTGTACAAAGTGTACAGCCATATATAAATTGCAAATGTTAGCAAACGCTCTATCCATCGTCATACTTCTCGATACATCACTTATCTGGTCCATAAGAAATGCTATACTCAAGGTTCGTGGTGTGCTTTCTCTGTTGAGGAACTCAAATTAATGGAGAAAGGAGGGGGAAAGAAGAAAAGGCTGGTCAATGATGCGGGCCCCATACTTACTATTAGCTCTTCCCCCTCAATTTATCTCCGCAACTCTCCATTGAGCCCACCACTGACACCACTCATTGACTCACATCATATGCAACGCACTTCTCAAGCCTGTGAGCCGTGCAAGCGGCGTAAAGTGCGTTGCAACGGCCAACCGCGCTGTCAGCAATGCACCCACACGGGGATTCCTTGCATCTACGCTGCTAGCCCGGCCCGACGTTCGCGAAAGAAGACTGTCGGTCGAGGGCGAATCATTGCTGAATGTAGGGAATTGCATGCTCCCAATAACGGCACAAAAGTAAGAAATGGCCTTGCGCCGCGACTGAATGAAGATGGTGTGATCACTTCCCATTCAACCCCGACTTTCTTCCTGGAACAACTCGATAAATATGATCGATACGTCTACCCGATGAGTCCTGTCGTGACGGCCGCTGAGATTCGCGAAATGATTTTTCAAATAGATACGCACCGTGATATGGCCTCATTTGTGTATGTCTTTGCGGCAGTGACGCTTAACCTGACATGCAGTGAGCCAGTGCAACGTGCTCCCGAGACAAGTGAACGGATCGCAACGCTACTGACTCGCTCGTTGGAGCTACGGAGTCCTTTTGAATTCAACTCTAAGCCCTCAATCGTGACTGTGATGCGCTCGTTGTTTACGCAGATGTGCTTCGTAGGATTGCGCAAACTTGACCTCGGGTTTTTGTACCTCCGGGAAGCCATTTCGTTGGTCTATATGCTACGCATTCACGAAAAGGACGGGATGCGAGATTTGGAAGACAAAGAGAGATGCCGTCGACAGCGTGCATATTGGGAATGCTTCATTCATGAACGTTTTACGGCTCTGACCTATTATCGTCCCCCATGTTTGCCACCTTTGTCAGCTCTCCCGGATCATGACCCATCCATCGACGCTGAGTTGGAAGAGGGTTTCAATAAGACCATCAAAAACTTCAGCATTGTTGACCCACAATTCCTTGATTTCTGGCTCGGAGATCGCTCGACTGTGACGCCCGACTGGGTTGCGAATAAGCAGCAGCAATTGGACAATCCTGAGTGGATCACGGAAGTGTCGCGATTACCCATGATATGGCAGGCTGATCTGATTATCACGCGACATTGGCTGCGTACCTTGACGTGGCAAATTGCTCTCTCCAACATTCTACTATCATCCTCAGCAACACCCTCGATGTTGCTCTCGCTTTCCTTCCCCTTGCAGCTGTCGAACCAGCTCCGCCAATTCCTGGTAACGATTCCCAGAGAATCGGTAGGCATTCACGGCTCTGGTTTATTGGAAAAGCTTTTTGAGATTGCAAATACAATCACCGATGTTGTCCTGCATCTCTGTCATGCACTGGGAGATGACACGGTGCAATACATCCATGATATCCTCTTCCTCAAGCACTTCGTCTTCTCGTTCCCAGGGTTTGCGAATCTAGGACCCATTAGCCTCACGCAAAAGTTTGAGATGATACGTGACAAATACCCGGAAATCAAAGATATTGAGTTATTAGTTTAGTGTCGACGGCGGCGCAACCAAAAGATATAACAATGCCCGGTTTGCATTAGCTGCTCCTAAGTCTGCCCAGGTGATTGTTGCCACTCTTCCAGAATCCTTATATCCTTGGCAATCATGGGAGATTTTGTATACCATACGACTCAATGTCCATGAATATATTAAGATATCTGACCTCATGAATTTTGGAAGACCTTTCCAGACTGGTCACATACTACCAGACTCCAGTAGATCATCTAGTAAGCGCGAACCTGAAGCTGTTTGGCCGAGTTGGTTAGCCCTAACATAATAAACAGGCATTTTATATATTCCGAAGGGTGACCTTGGAGTCTGATTAGAAGTCAGCGACAACCATTTGCATTTTGCACCTAAGATGACCCCAGACAAACCTCACCCCTTACCCAGCCTCTAGGGACCTGACTAGGTGGTAGTTCATAGAGCAGCAAGTCGTAATGGACGTGGATTTGCATTGGTTGAACACTTATTGTGTGCTTGATAGTGTTCAGAATGGACAATCTTTTTACAATGAATAGACGGCCTAGAAGTTCGGTTTAGCGATACAGAGAAACCCAACAACTACTACTTAGTAGTAATCGGAATGTTCTAACTATAACCTACTCTGAAAGCATTAGTCTTATTTAAGATGAAGAAAACGAGACATCCTCTGTTTGACAACCATTCCCTAAGAAGGCTTCCTCTTGAAGGACCAACATGGGCGTCAGCCCAGGTGTTCTGTAAACTTAACTGTCGGTATCTTATTCCCTAACTAGGCAACACCTCGGCAGCGGAATGGGATATAGTTTATCCGTGCGCACTAGCGCATCCCCCTAGTTCTTAAGATCAGTCACAGTATTAGGAGTTCAGTATTTCTGGCTCGGTAAGCTTGTTGGATTAGCTGTCCTTATTAGATTTTGCCATCTAATAAAAGGTAAGCCAATACTAACCCAACGCTCGAATTGGCCATGTAGCATGAACACTGATTCTGCCTTCATCAAGCCCCTGGGCAATCACTCTTCTTTAATTGGCGGAATCTGACACTAGCTCTGTACTTCATACAAAGCTCTAACGCAAAACGATTGTGGCGTTCATGTTTTGACATCTTTAGTGCCTGAAGGACAGACTGGAGACTGGTGGGCGGGATTATGATGACTATAGAATCGAGTTTAGTAAGAGCTTGTTGGGGTCCAGAACTCTCACCCGTCTAACCCAAGTTCAGCAGTTCGTGTTGGAGATAAAATGATTTTCTGGCCTAGTTTCCCTATGGTTCCGGTAAGAAATATATTATTGATTCAATTAATTGTGTCTAATATACCACAGGACTCAGCCAGACATGCGTGCTCACTTGATTTGTCACCTGATAGATGGATGTTTGCAAGCCGAAAATTTGTCACCATTGCGAATCCCGTTGGGATATTTGGAATCTACTTATCGTCATGACTTTGACAGAGTTATGGATAATTCTTTTGTGATTACGACTAATGAACCGAGATTGAAAGATACTCGGCAATTTCAAATTCTGTAAAGAATCAGCAAACATACGAGAATGCATTCTCCCGAGGCTTCCGAGCCTACCTCACCGTCCGAAGGCAGCCACGGTTATAGTATTGACGAGAAATCAGCCAATGCTTTCAGTACTCTAGAAGTGGTCCCTCCGAGCAATCTTGAACACTATAGAAGAGTGTCGGAGGTTCGGAGGTCATTCTATCCTAATTGGATGTCTTCGGGACATGGTAAGCCCACCCAGTGCGCTGCAATACGCAGACTTTGTTTGATAGACGAAACCACAATTGACAATACTCTAGGTTCAAATAGCGAAACCATCCATCCCACGACAGGTTCAGGATCCGAGGCCCCGACCGCTACGGCCAATGAGAATAAAAGAGCGCCGACCCGAATAACAATATGTGGCATGCCGCAGAGAGCTTTTTGGATTGTATTTGGAGTCATAGCCAGTCTTCTGGCCGTTGGTATCATTGTCGGGGGTGCTGTTGGCGGAACTCATAAAGCAGCAGTAGTGGTGCCTACAGTAACAGCAGTCGTTACGGTCACATACACGCAGACAAAAACCACATCCGCACAGTCCGAGACGTTTGCAGCGGCTGTTGCAACTACTACGGTTTGTGTCAGAGGTATAGGGCAAGGAAATTATGTCGGGTTGTGTAACTTTGCTTGCAGTTATGGATACTGTCCTCCCGGGCCTTGCACGTGTACTTCATCAGGTACCCCGGTCCCAACGCCTCCGACCTATGGTATCAATGGCATACCTCTTTCGAGTGAGGATGATTCGTACTTGGGGCTCTGCAGTTTCTGCTGTAACCATGGTTATTGCCCTTCAAGCGCATGTACCACTTCTTCATGATATACCCAGCTCGACTTTATGAGATTCCTTAAAACGCCTTGGAATTTGTTGTATATACGCTATTTATAAAATCCGATAGGCTACGATATAATGATAGACATTTCTTTCAGTAAGAATAGCGCCTTTTCTTGTAATTTTCAAGGTCCTCTTAGTAGTAAAGCACGCCAGGAGACCGTGGCATTGGGGAAATCCATGCATTGTATACATAAATTCTACATAATGCATGAATGATAAAGAGCCTGGAATGAACAAGCAGTCTGGCTTCGAACTTTTACCCATCCGGGGAGATTCTATCAGGTCTCTCGAGGTCTTCATGCTGACTATGTTTGCACTCAAACGTCTGCTTGTTTTATAGTACAGATGATTGCAGGTTTGTCCCACGTTGGATCTATGCACGTATTCCTTGCCCCTTGAAGTTCAAATGTGTGGATGAATTGCCTTGCCTCCGAATTTCCAGGAGGATTATTATTCCGAAGACATTGGATGTGTCAACTACAAATATGCAAAGAACTCCAGGTAATCAAGGAATCAGCCCTCCCTAGCCCTTACTCTAAGCGAAGCATGCACTACCCAGGTACCTTATAGACACTATAGGAACAACGATGTCATAGAAATCCGAATGCTTTTTGGCTTTTGTTTTTTTATACAAAATTTTGTTGTTTTATCTACATGTCTACCTAGGTAATAAAGAATAGACCGTTCTTTGGTCCGATTTGATCTTTACAGTAGCCACCTAATACCAGACTAATCCTTGATAATATAAAATAACCAATGTATATATGTCCCAATTGGGGTCACACAAATCTTGCATTAAATACACTCTCATTGGATTAATACCTTCGGCCCGGTCATGGTGGTTCGCGACACAATCCTGGCATGTTTCGTTCACCGACGATGCCCTCCTATTCATTCTTGTAACAAGCGACACAAAACATTCCTCCTAAAACAAAAGAGTATTTATGTTTAACTGAGAACCGCTTGCTGCGCATTATCTTGTTTACTGAGCAAATCATAAATCAACGATTATCGGAATCTCTGCGAGGCCTAGCAATGTCTGCCTTCAAATACCCCGTTGATATACCCATCGACAGTCCGTTTGGATTATACAATATTCCTTTCGGAATATACAGTACTGATAGCAAGGTCCGTTATTTCACCCTGTGCTCTAAATACCTGCGTAGTAGTCACTGATTGTCTGCCAATTGAATTCAGACGCCACGAGCAGCCACAGCAGTGCAAAATTGGATCATCGACCTTGATGCGCTGCTTCGATACGGTATCTTCAAAGACGAAGGTTATGCAAATTTGCTCCAAGGGGTTTTCCTGCAGGTGAGCTATCATCAACCTTCCGTTAGAAACGCTTTCTAGCGGTGAATGTCAGAGATCTTTAACTGAAGACTGTCGTATGAATAGCCAGTCCTCAATGAATTCGCCGCGTTACCAATTGCAGTCCGCCATCACGTCCGACAAAGTATTATCGACAATTTGAGCGACCCTGAGTCCCTCATTTTCACAGACCATACTTTACAATCGGAAGCATTACTTCCCATAGACGAGGGGAAGATGCATTTGCCGATGAGATTAACTGACTATACAGATTTCTATACGTCGGTAGTGCACGCTGAAACTGTGAGCCTCTAGTCGATGATATCAATGCATCGTATCCACTAAAACACATCAATGAATCAACAGGCCGGCAAAGGACTGAATGTACCCATTCCGCCAGCATTCTGGGAGTATCCGATGGCTTACAACGGTCGTATATCATCCGTAACGGTGTCCGGCACCGACGTGATTCGTCCCAAGGGATTCTTTCTCCCACCTGAATCGAGTGATGGTCATGTCAAATTGCAGCCGTCACAGAAACTTGATTTTGAGATGGAACTTGGTTGTTTTATCTCCCATCCTGTAGCACCCGGGCATGTAGTCCCTGCCAAAGATGCTTGGAAACATGTCTTTGGCTACGTCCTTCTCAATGATTGGTCGGCACGGGATACTCAGCGCTACGAAATGCATCCATTTGGACCATTTCATTCCAAAAGTTTCCTAACAAGTGTTTCTCCTTGGGTGGTGACTCCTGAGGCGCTTCAAGGTAGCCTAATCAGCCCAGTTGCTGCGAATAAGTTGCCCATTGAGAGCCATCTCCAAAGCGATCCAAATAAGCACGCTGGATATGATATCGAGTTTTCGGTATTTTTGTCCCGTAAGTGAAATTGAACAACTGAAATTATGTGAAGTTCTTAATGAATCACAGGAAATTCCTTCGCCCCTGTCAAAATTTCAAGATCATATCTCAGGGACTCTCACTGGGATTCCCTTCAAATGATTGCCTACCAGTCTTCAAGCGGCTGTGGCCTAAATACAGGCGATCTGCTGGGTTCTGGTACCAACTCTTCACCTGTAAGCACTGTATATACAACAACATATCAAGATTTGTGATATGGCGATATTCCAAATGCTAACAACTGATAGACACCAGTCGTACGGGATCCATTATCACCGGTAGGGTGTGGATGCCTTTTTGAGGCCGTTTCTGCAGGTATTGATCTTCCCCCAGTGGCAGGTCAGAAAGTCGTCTGGTTGGAGGATGGGGATCGTGTAATTATGGAAGGCTGGTTTACTACACCGGATGGTAAACGAGCTGGTTTCGGGCCCTTGTCTCACTTAGTGGTACCTGCAAGGATGTAGATGGAATATGTGTTGCGAAACACTCGTACTCGCTGGGCAATACTCTGGATGCCTTCGTCTGCCCTCATGCCACTCAGGGATGTATGTAGATACTGACATGATGATTTGGAGTGTTTGTTACGGAAAGTGCCGATCATGGAAAGCTGAGTATGTATGGTTCAATCTCAATATAAAATTGCTAGTTGCATATCTATTACACCTAGGATTTACTCAAATTCAGAAATTGTTGGTGCAAAGATCTAGGTCATGGCCGGACGCCGACTCTTGTATGCTAACTGATCATGAATTGCCTCTACCTTGATTTCAACGCGCTAGCCAATAGGTCGCAGACACAGTGAGAACCGGCTCATAGCAAAAATAGTTTTATGACTTGTAACAATGAAGAAATGGACCTTGCACAAGCTAGGATTTACCCCGTGGTGGTTGAATGCGGGATTCTCCAGGTTCAATATTTTTCCACCAATCAAGTTGATCCTCAATCATATACCATATCAATGACTTGTTTTTCAACCACAGAGATCAGTATCGCAGACACGTTGCTAATTACCACACACGAGTCATATCACGTTGGAGGACAAGATCCAAGGAAGGAAGGTCGGAAGTTCAATTGTCCCTAGATTTAATACCAAAATATCAATCAATTATGCCAACTACGGCGGTTCTTTAGTTTATCTCCAACCTGTCAGCACCCGGTAGGCTATATGAATGCCAGTGTATCGTAACAAAGGAAGTATTTAGGAGAGCTTACTGTTGTTTCATAGCAAGCGACTACCTTGGTGGGCTTTTTTCAGACCCGAATTGGAAACGTTGATACTTTTGCAAGGGTGGCTATGGCCCCTTGTTCGCAATTGTGCTCTTTTCTCGAGATAAACAACACAATTAGCGCCCTTGGACTAGGCTCGCAAGATGTACGGAATGAAAAATCAACTCCGGAGTATCTAGATAACTCCCCATAATCTAAGAAAAGCGAAGCATAGGAATGCAACCCTTACGTATGGCTGGATAATTATTGCATGTTGAGATTTGGCCAGAAGGCAAACCGATAAGCAGCTCCTATCACTCCATAGTTATCAATTAGCTAAGTTTCCCCGCATACTGGAGTTTTTGCGGAGGTGATCTGACAAAAACCCTAATCCGGGGAATCGTTGTGAGTGGTGGAAAAAATTGATATCAAACAAGCCATAGTCCAGAAAAGTGAAGTGAAATATTACCTTGGCACGTGTTTACTTATCACAATAATATGCATGATATTATGGTATATAGTATTGATAAATACCTTTGTTCTGACCACAGATCTCGAACCTCTTGCAATCGAGGCATCGTTCCATGAGAGAGGATCGAGACTGAGACAAGACCTCAAAAATAACAAGATTCCTTGTGAAATAGGAAATCATCGTGCGAAGAATGGCGGTCACTCCATTCCACTCAAAACGCGTGTACAATTGGTATGTATGATATCCATATCTCATCTATCAGTGGACTCATTGTCGATTTCTTCAGGTACATCTCATGCATTGCCGCAGCATGCATGGTCTTGTACGGTTACGATGCCTCCGTCTTCAACTCAGTCCAAGGCTCTGCCAGGTGGAAAGCATGGTTCAACCACCCGAGTTCCAGCCTCATTGGCACAATAAACACCGTTTACTCGGTGGGAGCCATTGTGGGAGGTTTCTTTTTTGGAGGCCCTCTTTCCGATTATCTAGGCCGTAAAGTTGGTATGGGCATTGGTTGTATGTTTGTCATCGTCGCGACTTTCATGCAAGCTTTCGCTCCGTATCATAGCATTGGATGTTTCTTGGCTGGGCGATGTCTTATTGGTATCGGTCAGGGTATTGCGTTGAGTAGGTGACTCCTCGCATCACCATGGAAGAGAGGCTGTTAACATTTTATTTGTAGCTTCCGGTCCAATCTATATTGGCGAGCTTGCGCCCCCTCATATTCGCGGTAAGATTATGACTCTGTGGCAGACATTCTACTCTGTTGGGTCGTTTATCTGCTTCTGGGTGAATTATGGATGCACAAAACACACTTCACGCCTCGGTGAATGGGACTGGAAAATGGTTGTTATTTTTCAGCTCCTTGTCCCTGTCATCATCCTCACTCTATTACCCACAATTCCTGGAACACCGCGATGGTACATCCAAAAGAATAATAATATCGACAAAGCCCGGGCAGCCTTACGACGTGTACGTGAGACCGAAGAGGAAGTCGAAGAAGAACTAACACAAATCCGCGGAGCGCTGGAATATGAAAAGGAGGCTATTTCGAGCTCATACAGTGCCCTCTGGAAGGATCACTCCATTCGCAAGCGTCTGCTTCTGGCATTGGTGATCAACGCTGGACAGCAACTGACTGGACAGGGATCGTTGAACTCTTATTCAACCATCATCTACCAAAAGGTGTTCTCTTCGGCTAGTCAAATTGCGTTGATCAATGCTTTGAATGCCACTTTCGGTATCCTGTTTACGCTCAATGCAATCTGGATGGTTGATCGATTTGGTCGCAAGTTTCTTCTAATTGTTGGTGGTATTGGAATGGGTTTAGTCATGATCATGGTGGCAGCAGTCGAAACTGAAACCCCGACTTTACCTAACGGCGCTAAGACACAATCTGTCGGTATTGCGCTGGTGTTTTTGCTGTTCTTTTTCATCTTCTTCTGTGAGTCTACATAACTCTTCATGGCTTTTGGGAAAACATAAAGGACTAACAATCGAACCCAGACAAACCTTCCTGGGGAGCCACGGTCTGGATCTGGACATCAGAAGTATTTTCCATGAACGTCCGTGCTCAGGCAGTAGGAATGGCCTCACAGACCCAAAATGTCGCCAACACTATCTTCCAGCAATTCTTCCCAACTTTCCTTAAGCATGATGGATTTTATGCGTTTTATTTCTTTGCTGGAATCAACATGCTTCTCGCCGCTTTTGTGTACTTCTTCATCCCGGAAACCAAGAATGTGTCACTGGAAGAGATTGATGTTTTATTTGGCGGTGCAAATCATTCCGCTCAAGGAGAAAACATGCTGGCAGAGAGCAAGCTGCATGGAGCGGCTCACATTGAGCACATACCGGCAGGCAAACCGAATGAATAGGCTCATGTTCGAGATTCGGAGGTCAAGAATGTGTAATTTAGGATGACGAGCTACGCTAAAGTGTAAGACCTGTATCAAGGCATGATTCCTCATATAGGTGGAATATTAATAGTCTTGGGCTACCCAGGTAAATTTGGTAATTTGACAAGTACTACGGTATGCACTGTGCTATCTGCAGCATCATCACAGAATCTGTGAGTAAATTACCACTAGCTACTGAAATAAATATGGCTGAGCTACTAGCTAGCTGATGAGACATGATAACAAACCCATGCCGTTAGTACCTAGGTAGACTTGGGCAACTATTTTCGTGTCAATGTTTCAGCCTAATGCATAAATCATGCCTGTTTTGGCAGAATTTGATGCTACCCATTATTCCACTTCTATTGTCTCCATTGAATTCTTAGAGACTTGATCTTGTTGGTACTATCATCATTACTGGTTAAATTACCAGGACAGATTTACCACGGGCTATTAGCCGGTGGTAGGTGAATATTTGTATTGCAGGGGGTCTTTTTGCAATTAGTAAACTAAAGATTTTTGAATGCTGCTTACGAGGACGACTTTTCTATTCTTAACATTAACTACCATTCATGAAGTACCTAGACACTCAAAATGTACTGGATCCACCAAATGGGGCTCTAGCCAACAATTGAGTTGCCGACAGTGCTACATCTGAATGGTGTTTCGGATTCAGCGTAACCATAAGGATAATGACATGTGTCAATTATCTGTTGAACAACCTTGATGGCAATTAACCCGAAGGGAATCCTAATGTCCAAAATCTTTTTTTTTTTGAATATTATGCGGATATCCAGGGGCATCGACTCGGCCACGTCCAGAAGATGTCTTCATCATCAGACCCATAATTGGAGGTGTTAAGGTGGCTGTTATAATGGATGTTTATACCTTTGCCATCGTAAACAGTGCCTTCGCAGCCTTTGCCTTGATCGCCACACTAGGAACTTTGCTCGTCGTCCTGGCCATCACGGGCTGTGGAGGAACGGTGTCATTGTTCCTAATCTCCGCTTCCCATTTAGCAGGATCACCATCAGAACCAGTTGCTTGCAATTCTGATATCTTCCATGCTCGCACAAACAAGAGGGAAATAGCTGCTCCCATGTACATACAGCCCGTAAATACCTGGGCATGAAGGAAATTGGTTCCGTTGTCGGTTCGTAACCAAAGGGCGATTGGTTCAGCAAACGTGCTTGGTATGACCACTGAAAGCCAGAAAATAGACAATGCAGACGGTAGGAGTTTCAGTCCAACCACCTCAGCGCCCACCGGAGCAACCGTAGTCGTGTAGGTTGCGGAAACAGCGCCGCCAATCAGACCATAGAAGACGAGGACACCAAAGCTTTTGCCAAAGATCCAGATTACAAAAGCGAAAAGGCCAGCCAGGAAGGTACAAACGAGTGCGGTGTTTATACGGCCAAAAATATCGCTAACGTACCCCATAACGGGTCGGCCAAGGCCTCCTCCAAGGTTAAACATTGCACCGAGAATCGAACCTTGGGAAACAGTGAGGCCCACGGCGTTTGCGTAGCCGGGCAATGAGAAAAGAAGGAGCACATATCCCAGCACGCTAAAACAGCCCCAAGCTAAAGTGAGCAGAAACTCCGGTCTTTTCAAAAGACTGGCATGGAAGGCAATCTGAACAGCCCCAATTGCCTTATTCCGATCCCTTATAATGACGGTGGAGAAGCCCGAGGCAGCAGCTGATACAATAGCCAGGATTCGGAAAGCCCAGCCAGTACCCCACCTCTGAATGATGGTATCTGCAGCCAACGAATAGATCAGGCCTCCAATCCCTGATCCCGCTGTCGCAATACCGTTTGCAAGAGAGCGTCGGCGGCCGAACCATTGTGGGATGATACCAACAGTAGCACTGAATTGCATTCCCATCCCGAATCCAAAACACACGCCCTGACTTAAAAACAATTGCCAAATCTTGGTCGACCATGACGCTCCTAGTAATGCTGCGGTTTGAAGTATGATTCCCAACACCAAGGTAGTCTTTGTCCCCGATTTTCGAGTAGTGATTGTTGCGACCGGAGCGATGAATTGGGCCATGCTAAGGGAAAGGCCTCCGATAAAGGCAAAGTCTAGGTCTGATGCCTTCGGAAAGGTATTTGTGGCCAGATAATGTGCCAAAAATACACCATATGCCAGGTTGCAACCAAAATTAGCAAGTCAAACATTGCATGAAGGCCACGGAGCCCTACACTATTGATTCCCCACGTGTGGGTATTGACCAAGAAGACACACATTACACAGACCCAGCCATAACCACCGTCCAGGGGAGGTTCTACTTGTATTCTTGTCGACGGTCCAGCTTGCTCAGGGTCAGTAATGACTGGTTCGTTGTCGACCGGATCGTCGCCAGCATTTTCGGCCGAGGTCTTCTCTGAAGGTTCAGTAGGAGGGCGAATGGCGTCGTAGCTAACTGTTACTGCGTGACTGGGGTCATCATTCTTCGCCAACTGCGTTTTTTCGTCCATTATCAGAAGATGGGTTTAGGAAGACTTTTGCGATCCGAAACCGGGGGTGTGGGCTCCAGAGCCTATACAATATAAGGAGATGAGTCTAAGAAATATTGGCAAACCTTATTGAGAGAATTTGGAAGAGTGTCGCTGGATACTCGGGGTAACTATATTAGATTTCGTTATATGAGTCATACTAGGTAAAGATATATTTCTTTATCCTAGATCTTACTAACCGTGGAACGGTGGCAGTGGATGCGAATGGCTGTCAAGGATTACGGAGGCTAAACATACAGTACCTAACGGGCAAGGGTGAGTTGGGTCCATCTTTTGTTTCTGATGTTAGTTACTACGTACACCTTAACAAGGCTTGAAGGCTGATTGCATGAGTTTCGCTATCTGCCCTGCAGGGTCCCTGGTGAGAAGTAAAAAGTGGGTTAATCTAATCCTCCAATAATTGATATGTTCGAGACATATCATGTTGGGGCTAACCAAAGTCTAGTCCGAATGGGACATTGATTGCATGGCTGCAGGTAGGAGGCACATTGAGGGGAATAATGTGGTGCTATGATAATCAGGTAACAGATTTGACTTATTACTATGATTAATACTTAGTTATGTATGGTTTAATCATTGCTGTCTGTTTACAACTAGATGTCCTTGAAAGCCTTGTCTTCGTTTTACCATTAGTTTGAGCTGCTACGTCTTCAATCATTTTAGTATACTTTATGTGTAATGGCAATTTGCATATGAACATCCGTAGGGCTATTTATCACAGTTGATGAGGTAAAAGTAAAAAGGGTTACTAACTATCATGAATGACAAAGTGAATGAGACCAAGCGATTCCTGGAATGTCTCTGTAGGTTATTCGTCAAACAGTCAACGCCAAAGATGCTCACGCTTGGACACTCCTTCACAGAGCTGCACAGTATGAGCACTCATGTGAGGAGATGCTCGCGATCAGTGAAAAATTGATAAGGACGAGTCGAATTCTGATTCCCACGGACTGGATTCTCCGCCCATAGACTGCGCCTTTAATACTTATTCCGACCCCGGACGAGAAAAACTATCGGTTTACGAATACTTCTCAATACCATCTAAAGACTCTCGAAGAATATGAACAGAGAGAGAAAGCACGGACATCCAAGAGCACCATTAATAATTTAAGGTCCCATCCAAATCCGACTCGGGAGGGACTCAGGCAGCTTGATCAACCAACCATGAGCAGTATACAAAACAAGGCTGGAAAAGGTGAGGATATCTCACGGAAAGGGAATGCCAATGCCAATATACCACCCGTATAAATCGACAAGAATAACAAGCATGGAGAAGGAAAGGAAGGAAACAGCGGCTCTCGCGCAGCTTGACTGCCATATATGTGCGCCGCAGCCCTTTGTTATCCCAATACAACGCCGCTAGGGCTCCTCGTAGAAACGCTATTACCGATTATGGTAATAGGTGAAGCTTCTGGCCGGAGCTACCTAGGGCTGTTGCGAATACGAATATTCGCAGTAATCAGCAATATTCGTTATTCGCATTCGCAATTCACAAACATTGCGAATAATATTCGCTCTTTTTATTCGCAAGTCTTCATTGTGCGAATAATTCTTCGCAATATATCACGTGCAACAATCAGGTGACACACAAAGGAGATCAAACAGCTGAAGATAGCTTCGTCTCTTACTCTTCTTCCCTTCCCTTTCTTATGCTTGGTATTTGCGCTACATAGTACCAATATGATCAATCCTGCTTCATATCGACAGGCTCTTGACATCTCACAGTCTTCTCGTTGAAATACCTCTATTATTTTCCCTTCCATAGATTTGCCGACAGATCTCGATCTTTTCCGCTGGTAATGCAGACTCGTGGAAATCGTCCGAACTATCTCGCTCTAAACGATGGCTATCGGAGCGATGGACCTCCTGAAGACTTGACATCTAGGCTATCTAGGAGTCCAACAGCCCAAGATCCAGGAATAGGCCCATCATTTCCATCTCAAACTCCTGATCCGACTCCATCAGCAGCCAGTGCTCGACTAGATTCTTGTATTGAATCTCTAGATGATGAAGTTTTGCCTACAGACTCAGCATCTCAGCTTCCAACTAATACCGCAAGTTCCCAAATTTCGCATGTGAATCTATAAAAAAATGAATGATTATGGGGTTATTTTCATACAAGAGAGTTCCCTAATGCATAGATTGAGAATAGGAACAAAAAAAGGCAGCTTATAGATTGAGAAATACATTATAGTATTATTAGCAAAGACATTGGGAAGCAATGCAACTGGTTTACAATAGACTTAAAAAGATAGACCTCTACCACCAACATGAGGCTTTATTTAAAGGAGAAGCATAGAATTCTACCACCTATTACTTCTTAGCCAGTTATTGTTATACCAAAGTCTACTATCCTTGAACTCTAGGGCAGTACAGGCATACTTACAGTTCAAGAACTTCTTGAAAGGAATCTTTATCGCTGGGTTGTTAGTAGCAAGCAGCCCTTTATAATCATTGAATTACCAGCCTTTTAGCAAATGTTCAAGGATATACTAGGAGTTTCACTTCTATTTACCTCTTATCACACACTTTGATGGCGTCTTTTAGAAGACTTTGACTTACAATATGTCAAACTAAAAGAAGAGCTTACAGCAACGTGTAAAATAATCGCTCTATTCCTTGATGTCTGGACCAGCAAGAATCACCTCCTAATCCTCAGTATTATTGGCCACTGGCTCACAGAAGAATTTAAATATTGAGAGAAAGTCCTAGAGTTCACAGAGCTCCATGGACCACATAGTGGTGAGAACTTGGCTGTAGCTGTTAAAGCTTTACTTATTAAACTAAATCTTGAGTATAAATTGCCTTTAATCACTAGCAACAATGCTAGCAACAATGAGTAGATAATCTTACAATTATTTCAAAACTTGCAGAAGAAGTTAGGAGCTAGTCCTTTATTTTATGATCTAGGAAGTTATGTGCGGTATTTAGTGCATATTATTAACCTTATGTCGGAAACTTCGGTCAAACTACCGTCGAGTATATCTCGGATAGCTTATAACACGCTGAAGTTATAAGGCTTCTAAGTACGAAAGGCTTCTTGAAAGCAAAGTCTTAATAAGAGGATGAATATCCGGTTCGATAGAAGAACGTATACTCAAGTTGTCAAAGCTAAGGGGTACTTAGCACGGTTAATTCAAGACGATAGAATAAAACTAAATACATGCTGTAATGAGCGTCCTTATATATTCCATCATCAACATAGAAATCATAGACTTTCTCTGATTTCTCTGATGCTTAGATCATATCCATCATAGAATATCTCTGATATCTCTGATACCCTAACCCTACTGGTTACGGATAATCCTCGCTTCCATAGTGCAGTAGTGTAACACTATCTAGTCAATCCATTGACTGCGGATTCTTATTTCTTCTGACAATCCCCTCTTCTGAAGGCTGACGTCCCGACAGCGCAATAAATAGTCTGCGTTTCCCATCTGTGCCATAGGTACGTTCTAATTCTCAAAATGCTCGTGTTGTGGTACTGAGCTAACCATGTCGTCAAAGAAGACAATTCTGAAAAACACGCTCTTGTCGCGAATCGAACAGTTTAGTGTCGCCTGCGTACTTCCTTGCAAACGTTGCAGTGAATTAGGAAAGACGTGTATTCGTGCGGAGTTCTCAAAACGTTGTAACGAGTGTATTCGCGCAACAAACTGTCGCTGTGTTGAAATGCCTGTTTCCAAGCTAGCGTGGAAGCGTCTTACTGAGGCGCAAGAATATCTTCAGGAAGAAGAGGAACAGGCCTTAACCAAAATCCTTCAACTTTGGAAACAGCAAAAATTGTTAAAGAAACGGGCTGGTGAATTCCTTCAGAGGGATATTAAAGACGTTGAGGAGTTGGAAAAATTGGAGGAGAAGGAAGAGGAAGAGAGGAAAAAGTGGGAGGCAGAGAAACGAAAAGAGGCTGAGGCTTCTAGAGCTCGTCAAAACTTGGCTGCCGCGCTCAAGTTCCCTTCTTCTGCCGATATCGAGGCTTTCGATCCTTCTATCTTGGATGATTCTTTCCTTGACTAACTGATTGCTGGAATTCCCGAATCTTCTTAGGGTAATTCAAATTCCTGATAGGTTCCCATGTGTCGTCTTCTGGTCTGTATCCTTTCCATCTAACTAAATAATAGATTTATCCCTTTTCTAACTTTCTTTTGAGTAGTTTCTTGACTTTATATTCTTTTCCATCTGCTTCTTCATCACTGTTTTCTGGGTTTCTTATGGGTTCCAATAATGAGATATGAAATATCGGGTGTATGCGCATTCTTGTTGGTAACTGGAGTTTGTAGTTGTTGTTAGCGAGTTTTTCTTTGATCGTGAACGGTCTAAATTTAACTGTGTTGAGCTTGTTGCTTGGTCGTTTACTCTTAATGTTGAAAGTTTTTGATCCTGGTGTTCGTCGTAATAAGTAAACTCTCTCTCCCACTTGTAAGGTTGGTGCGTCCTCGCGCTTATTATCGTAGTATCGTTTCATTCTCTGTTCTGCCCATATAATATCTCTTGACATTATCTTATACATCAATTGCATATAAGCTGATTGAATCATTGCTTCTTCTGATATTCCTTCTCTTTTGACTGTTTCCCAACTCATTCTTGGTATTCTTCCGAGGTTGGCGAAGTGAGGTATTTGTCCTGTTGATGCGTTTGTAGCATTGTTTATTGCAAACTATGCTAACAGTAGTAGTTTGATCCAATTTTCTTAGTTCCAATCAAGGTAATGTCTGAGATATTGTTCAACTGCTTGAATCATTCTTTCAGTCTGTCCATCAGTCTGTTGATGATTTGCGGTTGTTAGATTGTGTGTCATTCCACATGTTCTTATGATTATCTGCCAGTAGTTCGATGTAAACAGTTTGTCTCTATCAGATGTGATCTCATCTGGTAGTCCGGTCCATGCAAATACTTCTCGTATCATCAGTATTGCGCATTGTTGTGCTGTGAGGTTCTTCTGTACTAGTCTTATAATGACATATTTGGTGAGTCTGTCAACAATAACAATTACATCCGTGTATGTAAGTCCTGTAATTGGATCTTTCAATGCCAGTAAACCTTGTATAAAGTTGACTATGATCTTTTGCCATGGTTTCTCTGGTATTTCTGGAATCTGCATTTTTCCATAGGGTTTGTAGTTAATTGGCTTGTTCCTGTTGCAATGTTCGCATTTTCTTATGTAGTCCTCAATCTGTTTTCTCATCCTTGGGAAATAGTAGGATTGCTGTATCTTTTCCATTGTTTAGTTGATTCCTTAGTGTCCATGTGCTAGTAGATTGTGGTGCATCTTGATGATTTCAGTAATCATTGTTGATGGTACTAGTATTGATCCTTGCCATAAGGCTAATCCATTCTGTTTTTATGCTTCTTTATTCGTGATTGCCATTGTAAGTATCTTGTCTTGTTGGATTGCTTGGATCATGTGGTTGTAGAAGTCGTGGTGGTTGACTATAATTGTTGCTGCTAGTATTACTTTAACATTGTAGCGTATTCCGTCTTCATCTTCTTTTAGGATATTCGTTTTTGGCTATTCAATCCTAATAGCGTAGTCTGGTCTTCTGCTAAGTGCGTCTACAATAACATTCTCTTTTCCTTTAATATGTTCAATCCGAAATTTAAATCTTGATAGATATTCGGCCCATCGTATTTGTCGTCCAGTAAGTTCCTTTGTCATTGTGAAGTATTTTAGATTGTGGTGGTCACTTTTCACAATTGTTTCTTCCTTAACTCCTTGCAGATAGTGTCTCCATTGCTTGAATGCTTCCACTATTACGAGTAGTTCTCTGTCATGAACATCATAGTTCCTTTCTGCTGCTATGAATTGTCTTGAGTAGAAGGCAACAATTTGCACAATGCCGTCACTTCCTACTTGTTCGAGTGCAATTCCGAGTGTGTATCCTGATGTGTCTAGTCTGATAATCTTTCGTTTTTCTGGGTCATCCAGTGCTAGGATTGGTGCTTCGGTAACTAGTTGTTTTAGCTTGTCGAATGCTTTTTATTGTCTGTCGTTCCATACAAATTCTTCATCTTTCTTCAGGAGTTCTGTCATGGGTCGGCTATGTTCAGAGTAATTCCGAATGTAGCGTCTGACATATCCAGTAGCTCCTAAAAATCCTTGTACTTCCTTGATGTTGGCTGGCGTTGGCCAATTCGTAATAGCATCCACTTTTTCTGGTTGAATCTTTAATCCTTCCGGTGTGTAAATCATTCCTAAGTAGTTGACTGTTGTCGTGTCAAATTCACATTTCTTAATCTTGAGCATAAGTCCAGCTTCCATAAGTTTTGTCATAACTTGTCGTACGTGTCCTTCATGTTCGTTGGGGTCCTTGGAGTATACAATGATGTCGTTGAAGTATACTACAACAAATTTGTTGAGGTATTGTATCAAAACATATGTCATAAATTGTGCGAATTCTACTGGTAGTCTTTTTAGTCCCATTAGAGTAACTGCCCATTCATACAGACTTTTATCTATAAGAAATGCGGTTTTCCAAATATCTTTTTCAGCCATTCAGAGGTTGTAATAACCCCATTGGATGTCAAAGACCGTCATGATTTTTGCTCCTTGGAGTAAATCTCGTTTCTGCTCCTGATGTGGTGCCTTGTTTGTGTCATCTTCAGTTCTGTTGTTGAGTGCTCTATAGTCAATAACCATTCGCTTGGTTCTATCTTTCTTTAGCACAAATAATGGTCTTGCTGAGGCTGATCCTCGTCCTTCGCGGATGTATCCTGCGGCGAGAAATTCCTCAATGAATTTATCTTCCATCTCTAGTTTGTCTCGTGATTTGCAATGTTGTTTGACTGAGAGTACCTTGAATCCTGGTTTCAAGGGTATTCGTACTTTGTATTCTTTTGGGTGGTTTGGTAGTCGGTATTCCTTTTTTACAAATAGTTCAATGTAGTTGTAGTATTTTTCTGGTAGTTTCGCTTTGACTTTGGCCAGTTCTTTTTCGTAAAGCTCCTTAGGCTTTGGTCGTACTGTTGCAATCTGTCTTGCCTGTGCTTCAATTTCCCTTTTGTTTTCTTGTTGTTCTACTTCTTGAGTCCACGTCACCTTCCGTGTCTTTCTTAGGGTATCAGCTTGCCCTTTCTCTGAGGATGTCCCTGATTCCTTATGAAGATTCAATATCTTCTCGATGTCTTTGGTTTCTATCTTTGTTTTTAGCATGCTGGAGTTGACTGCCACTGTTCCGGAGGCCCAGTCAATTATCGGGTTTTGTTCTTTCAGCCATGCCATTCCTAATACTGCGTCGTAATACTGAGTGTCCATTGGTGCAATATCGAACGTGATTGTTGTAGTATATTTCCCTAATCTCATGAGTATTCCACTGGTTTTCTTTTTGTATCCTTTGGTGATTGTCTCTCCATCAATTCCAACGATTTTTATCCATTTGTTAGTCATTTTGACGGGTATTTTGTTGAGGTGTACAAACTTTTGACTTATATAGTTACCTGTTACTCCTAAATCCAGTAAGATGCGTATATCTTTTCCTTGGATTTTTGTGAGTATTGTAATCGTCTTATAGTTGGTATTAGTTTCAGTTGCTATAGCGATCATAACTTTTAGTTCTTCTTAATGTTGGTTGTAGTAGTTTCGTAGTCTGACGTTTCGTAGCATCCAATCTGATTCGTCTCGGTTTTCGTCATGGTGTAAACATCCTGGTACTCGACATCTATCTGCCTTGATTATTGAATAGTATGGGTGAGCTTCTTCTTCGTAAACACATTCACATCCTGGCTTTTCAGTAGGGCATTTGAGTTGCGGTAACTCAACTGTCTTAGGTTTTCTGGGAAACCATTAATACTTTCTTTTTTCTGCTATGTGTTGCTCACATCCTTTGTTATAGCATACCATCCAATGTATCTCGTGATGATGCGTTCCTCCTAAACTTGGGTAATGGCTGCAGGTGCAGTTTCGTACATGTCCAAGTATTCCATTGCATAACCAATGTCCTTGCTTTCTTGATACTTGCTCATACAGGTGAGATAGTATAATGTTGACATGTCCATGTTGGTCACATTTGTGAAATATCCATTCTTGGCATTTCCAGCAGTCGTGTATGTGGTCTATCCACGTATCTTGAGAATCTTCCCAGCAGGTTGCTCTAGCAGGCGTGCAACTGCAAGGTTTTTCTCCCTGAGGTTCCCAACCTTCTTTTAGTCTGACTTCGTCGTCACTGTCTGGATATTGTCGTTAGTAGAATCATAGGTCTAGATTCTTTCTCTAGTTTCGTAGGAATGGTTCTTCATGTTCCTACTCATGTTCATTTGTTGCCCATTCTTGTGGCTGTTTTTCTTGGTTTGGGGTTTTAACTAACTTCTTGATTTCTTTCCTCAGCAGGGTTTGTTCTAGTTGTTCACGGTTCAGGTCCCTATGGGTTATCGCCCTTCGTCTATCGTCCTGAAACGTCGGTAGAGTTTGAAGCGACTCATCTGAAGAGGAATAACTGTCGATAAGATCTTCGTTGTTATCATTTATTCTTATAGGTGATCTAGTGCGCCGTCCTACTCTGGGTGCGTCTTCTTCTTGCGTGGCTCGTTCCTCTCGAGCGTATGGTGAACATCTTCCCAACACGTCAAGGATTTCTCTTCGTCGCTAATGTCTTTCTTGAATCCATTTTTCTCGGGTTTTCTTGTATTTGTCGGTTTCTTCATGATCGATCTCGTTACTGTTTTGTTGTTTTTCCTTCTGTTCTATTAATACTGTAATTATTGTTGCAATTTGGTTTTTCTGCCTCTATGGATGGCCAGTCCCGTGAGCTTTTTTCTGTCTGCACTTATTCGCAAAGTGTCCTGGTTTTCCGCAATTATAGTATTCTTTGTTTTTTCATCTTTTCTCTTTTTCTTCCTTGGATAGCGCTGCATTCAGTTGCATAACCACATCTCTGTCTTGGTCTCTCTGTGGTCCATGTAATCTTCCTTCATTCATTTGGGGCATTCCGCCGTGTTTCTTCCATATCTAGAATTCCTGTTTCTTTCATTTGATCTCGAACAATTTATTGTCCATCTTGACTGCCATTTTGATGAATTTGCCGAGCTTGTCAGGTCGATCTATTTTGATTAATTCAGTCTGGAGTTCTTCCTTAAGTATATTCTCAAACAGTCCTATGAGAACGTCATCATCGTAATGCAGTGGCAATATAATTTGTTTGAATTTGATCGCTAGTTGTTGTGCAGATCTGGTTTGTCGTAGAAATTATAATTTTCTTTCAGTGGTATGGATTTCGTCGATGTTGCTAAACGATTCTTCAAGCTTGATCCAGAAATTCTTGTAGCTTCTGAAGATGGTTTTGGTTAATTCGTCCCATTCATTGGCGTCACTGTTGTAGTAATCGTCAAGCATTGGTTGCATCCAGTCTACTGCTTCATCTGTGAGGCAGGAGGCTACAAAGATTACCTTTTCCTTGTCACTGGTGATCTTGTTGGCGTTGAGATGCATATCCATATTAACAAGAAATGACTTGAGCTTGGATTGGGTGCTATCAAAGTTTATTGGTTTTGGCATCTTGACTTTGTTTGATCCAGCAGTTGGTTTGCCATCATTCTTATTTCCCAATGCGAGTACTTGCGCTTCGAGCTGTTCAACCTGGTCGTCTTTTTCGGTCAGCTTATCCTTGAGTTCTTCAACATACCTAGTGAGCTTTTCCACATGTGTTCCAATCATGTCGATCTTTTCATTCTGCTCGTTGCTCTGAGTAGGTTGGCTTTGGACAGCAGGCCGTTGGGTTGAAGGTGCAGCTGAGGCCATGGTTGAGTCAGGTCTTAAGACTTCTCTTTCATATGAGGGTCTTGAATTGTCGGAAACTTCGGTCAAACTACCGTCGAGTATATCTCGGATAGCTTATAACACGCTGAAGTTATAAGGCTTCTAAGTACGAAAGGCTTCTTGAAAGCAAAGTCTTAATAAGAGGATGAATATCCGGTTCGATAGAAGAACGTATACTCAAGTTGTCAAAGCTAAGGGGTACTTAGCACGGTTAATTCAAGACGATAGAATAAAACTAAATACATGCTGTAATGAGCGTCCTTATATATTCCATCATTAACATAGAAATCATAGACTTTCTCTGATTTCTCTGATGCTTAGATCATATCCATCATAGAATATCTCTGATATCTCTGATACCCTAACCCTACTGGTTACGGATAATCCTCGCTTCCGTAGTGCAGTAGTGTAACACTATCTAGTCAATCCATTGGCTGCGGATTCTTGTTTCTTCTGACACCTTATTATAAAAGACATCCTTTCTGCTCTCAAGTCTGGCAGTACAGAAGAAGCTACTTCTTTCTATGATACTGTTGATGAAGGAAGACATCACTCATACTATATACTTGAGCCACTTGCAAAACTTTGTATTTTAGTTCTCTAGATCTATAGAAGTCCTTAATGGAGGCAGACATGAAACAGCAGTTGCAAGTATATAAATCTATCTAATAAATTCATTAAGTATAATTGTGGGTGCACTAAGGTGCATATACGTACGTACGAAGCACTTGAGTCAATCTCAATAGGTGATTCTTCGGTTCTGTGTTCTGTTGTGTCTATCTGTCTTAATGAGGCCCCGACGCGGTCTATATAGTCCTTGCTTGACGAGGTCACGTGTAAGCCATACGTGACCTCTCCTTGCTGCATACCAGTGCCAGGCATCTCGATTGCACGAAGTAACCAACAACAATATTGATATGCATGGAATTCTACTTTCAGAATGCTTAGTGACGCCTTGAAGGTAAGCTACTAGCTTCACACGCTCGCGTAATATGAAACTAATACTTCAAAGTCAAGGACCCAGCTTGAGAAATTTATTCACTATAAGATAGATTTCTCTCCCTTCTCATAGAAATATTAGACTGGACTCTCCCAAATTCACACTGTTCTCTCTAAGTTCAATAAGTTTACCTTGTTTATCTTGGGGGGGAAACCATAGATTGGTCTTGCGGTTCTGGTGTGCTGTGAGCTCTATGATTTGCTGCATGATACTGCTGAGCGTAAAGAAGATTTTGCAGATATTGATGAGGATGTTACAAGCGCTGTCAGAGAAAGTATCAAGAAGTATATAAAATACTATACTTTCATGGATATCTCCAACACGTATTATACTGCCCTGATCCTAGATCCTCGTGTAAAGGGGGATCTCCTCCTATACGAATTAGACGACGAGGATACTAGCAGGAAGATTCTCCAAGCCCTCCATGGCAACCTTTATAAAAAATATCCTGATACTACAAATCAGCGTACTATGGCAGAGCCCACAGATTATAGCCATAAGAAGCAGAAAGTAGGCAGCTGGATGTTACGAAGGCTACAGCCTCAGGACAAGCCTCAATCTTCTAATATTGATAGGTATTTTGACAATATCTGGGTTGATGCCATTGACATGGAAGATCTGAATTGGCTATTTGAATTGTGGAGAGTCCATAGGAAGGATTATCCTTGGATGGCTGCTGCTGCTAGAGATTACTTAGCAATCCTAGCCTCTGAAGTATCAGTTGAGAGGTTATTTAACTCAGAAAGAGATGTACTTGGTGTATAGAGATACTCTATGAAGGGAGAAACTATGAGAATGCTAATGCTGTTGGATGATGTATATTGTTGTAACAACCAGCAGGCTTTAGGGTCTAACTATTCCAAGAAATGCGCCCAATACGTCTCAAGTTGAGTTTCAGCTACACCAGGTGAAGGCTTATATGTTCGAGGATGGTTTCAGCTCCCTCGGACTGCACCTTGACTACTGGAGCTATTCAGAGAAGGGAGATCTGGTACACATTGTATATCTATAAAGATGGCAGATGCTCCAGGATAGCAAAAGATAGGTTTCAGTACATTGACATTCCATACCCTACCTTGTATACTCAATTCTTGTGATCCCTCTTGAATCCCTATACGTATCCCTTGTAACGTTGTTACAATTGTTAAGCAGTAGATGATTATTGATTAACTCAGAACAGATATAGCTTAATCTTGCGTTACTCTGTAGTAGAACTTTTAAGGGAGAGCCAAAAAAAATAATTTGCGAATTGCGAATATTCGCAACAGCCCTATTTTCGCATGATTCGCTATATGAATCCTTATCAGAAATATCAATTTGGAAGTGCGCCTCTTCTATAAGTCTTGAGATATTAAACTAGCCAAGTTATTGGTGTAAATTCAATGACAGAGGGTTCTTAATATTTTTAGGGTTTTTAAATCCAGATATATATTATGATACCTATATTATAAGATATATTCAACTTTTAGATACAGTTTATATATAAATCTGTTGAGAAATCAAGCTGTTAAAGAAGGGTGACCGAATGACCCGTGTGGCCGAATGACCCGTGTAGTACTATTGGTTGCTTCGTGCAATCGAGATGCCTGGCACTGGTATGCAGCAAGGAGAGGTCACGTATGGCTTACACGTGACCTCGTCAAGCAAGGACTATATAGACCGCGTCAGGGCCTCATTAAGACAGATAGACACAACAGAACACAGAACCCAAGAATCACCTATTGAGATTGACTCAAGTGCTTCGTACGTACGCATATGCACCTTAGTGCACCCACAAGTACGTTAACCAGATTCTGTATATTCTCCGTCAGCTCAGGGGGACCCAGCCACATTAGCCTCCCACTAATACAACGTCAGTAAGACCCTTGGATGCGGAGGTTCGACATCGGATCCTGACAAATTACTCACTTGTATGCGATCAAAGGACTTGCAAGATATCCGGAATGCAATACCAGTTAGCAGGGGAATCGCAAGCGTTACGGGCCTCTTCGATCCTACCATTGACAACATCACCGCTTCGGCGATTATGTTGCAGGCTCTGCTTGCCACCAGGAACTTCATCCCACGACCACTAGTTTTGGGGAGTAATAACCACGAAAGAGGACTTCCGCCCAATTTTCGACACGAGAATGTAACATTCACCGAAGCTCAGTGGGATTACCTATATATTGTCATTTATACGTGCCCTACAAGTTACCGTGCCGCAGCTTCTGTGAGCAATAACGTTCCCACATGGCGATATAGATACTTTGGCGAATTTCCTAACCTGTTGGATGCGAGGATGCAGTCGAGATCCGGATAACTGACGTCACGTGATTTCAATCACGTGACGAAGGCTACACCAGGAATCCCTTACGCGTCGGGGTCAAAGATAGAAAAGAGAGACAACTTAAGACTACTCAATTGAACCCATATTCCACGTTAGGAATCCTATCGTACTAGTACTAGTGCAGATGCACCCACATAACCTGAGATTGACAAGTCTTTCGGGTTCTGGCGCATGGCATGGCAGCGAAGTTCCTCTATCTTAATATTCCATATTTACTGAGCGCAGAGTTAAATTTGTAGGCGCTCATCTCTAGTTAGCTAAAAATAATGAGGCGTAGACGGAGCCATATTACTACACAGACATGTAATAGATTGATGTTGATGGTCTAACGTAATCGGTAAGCGAAGCGACAATGTAAGCGAGCCGACAGTTTCTCTCCGAACGCGTACGCAATATTGAATTCAAATCTCAATTTCTAACCCAAAATTATAATTATACACAAAAAATTAATTACTAGTAAGATTAGGGCCTTGAGGTCTTCTATGCCCGAGAATATTACACTCACTACACCGAAATTGGCGACGTACTGGTGGATGAGAGACTGGGAGCTCAGGCTCGGCCGGAGCAGTGGTAACAGCTTGAGATGCCTCAATCTGACCTTGTAAAAGTGCCTGAGCTTCCTCTCTGGTAATTCCTTGATCATGGGATATTTGCTTTTTAGATTTTTGACGTTTTTGCTTCTCCTTCTCATGTGCAGCCCGTAGATCATGGAGTTCCTTCTGGGCAATTGTAAGCTTATTAATACTCATCTCATAAGCCTTTGATGCCCGTGTAAACACTTCACCAATAGCTTCAGATGAACTTCTTGTATGCCGGCTTATCCTCTTTTTCGTTGTAGTCATTTGGCGCTTAAATTGACGTGGGTTTTGAGGGGTTTGCAAGCAGGATGATTGTGTATCACTTGATCGACTTGGAGGGGGTGTTGGAGTCTTCAATCGAACAGTAAGCTGTTGATAAACTCGATCTGGATTGAATGGTACTAATCCAGTTGCTGTAAAGCTATTCCGAACAGTTTGGGCTTTATATGCCATTGTACGAGCCTTTGGGAATGCAGTAAGAAAGTCAAGTTTATCAATATGATTGAATCCAAGCCTCATTCGCTGCTCAACAAGCTATCCATAATGTCGCTTTAAAACAGCAAAACAGCCAACATCAAGAGGCTGTAAAAGATGTGAAGAATGAGGAGGCATACAGACTGGAATAATATTATTCTCAGTGCATGTACGGTCAAATTCAGCAGTCAAATGACTTCCATGGCCATCAAGAATTAACATGCGATAATTTCCCATTGCACGGCCATTAGTAAGAGGAATAAAATGGGTTTTAAGCCATTCTAACCCAATCTTATCTGTAGTCCATCCATTATCACTGATATTGATTCTCCAGTCATCAGGAAGATCCTCAAACCAGCCTAACCGAGTATATTTCTTTGCCTTGAAAATGATGTATGAAAGCAGGGCCCATCCAGTTGAATTAATTGCCTCAATTGCAGTCACCCATTCTCAATTTCCAGGCTGTAATAGCTTTGGCCGAGCATATCGATCGCTTCCAGTAATAACCTTTGCGGTTGCACAGAGTCCCATAGCAAAGCCAGTCTCATCAAAATTGTAGATATCTTCTGGTAAGATTCCGTACTTTGATATAACCTCTCGTACGCGATCAAAATATTCTTGGATTAACTTCGGATCTTCGCATTTAGCACGCTCGTAGTTATATTTCCGTGAAAATTTTGATTCAATCTCTGGGCGACGTTTGACGAGATTATAGACCCATTTCTCTCCAACCTATTGATTTCCACATTGTGAAAGAAGGTAATTAGCCATCTCTCGTACAAGAGAGTGCCGAGGGGGTAATCCACGTTTGTCTAGATCGAGTACCCATTTGACAAGTGATTCCTCTTCAAATTGAGACAATTTATGTCTGTTGGCACGTATTATAGATCTTTGTTGAATTCCGTTTAACCTGTCATATAGCGTCGTCCGAGGAATATTGTAAATGATTGCAGCTTGATACACACTTGAGATTTTTCCATTTTTTAAGTCGGAAATAGCTAACAAGATCCGCCCCTCTTACTCTGCTAAATTCTTTTCGTTTTTATTGCGAATTGGTGGCATGTTGACGCGTTGAATAGTATGGAATCAATATTGAGTACGCGTTCGGAAAGAAACTGTCGGCTCGGTTACATTGTCGCTTCGCTTACCGATTACGTTATAAGATAAGATCATCTATATCCGTGGATAATCCGTGTATCGATAATCCGACCTCGACCTCTGGATGACGCATGCAAAAACTGACTACATCAGGTTACATCTCTGTGCCTTTTTTCTATTCAATGATATATGGATTTCCAATCGGCGGTGGCTAAATCATGAAGGGTTATTGTTCAAGGCTGGTGTAACTTAACAAAAGTTGATTTATAATACATGTCGATTAAAGCGGGGATTCAGTGAGCACCCGTGTCAATTTGATGGCGAAATGGCGTTTTGATTTGGAACTATAAAGAGCACTCCCTGGCCAAAACAACTCCTCTCCTTTCATAAATTTTCTTCTTCGCGATCTATGATCGTCCTGTTCGAAATCGCTCAACGACTAGTTAGACTCATTGTTGTCAAATTCACTGCATCGCATAGTGGCGGCTTGATCGCCATTGCTCCCTATTCTTCCCGATCCTCACGGTCTAACGCAATCAATCCTCCAGGGGCTTGGAAGTCAACAAAATGGATTCAATTAACGCCTCGAATATTGGAGTCGTGAAAGCAGACGGACTTACATACTACACTCCAGCCAACAATGCCGGTGTTGCCCTCAGTGAGGACTTGAAGTCTATCCCTACCCTATTTCGACCCCTCCAGATCCGAGATGTAACTCTCAAGAATCGCATCATCGTGTCGCCGATGTGCATGTATTCTGCAGACCCGGACCCGAAATCACCAGCTGTTGGTGCCCTGACTGACTACCATATCAGCCATCTGGGCCACTTTGCTCTCAAGGGGGCTTCGCTGATATTTATTGAAGCGCAAGCGGTGCAGCCTAATGGCCGTATCTCGCCGAACGATGCGGGGTTATGGCAGCACGATGAGAACTCAGCACAATTTCTGGGTCTCAAACGTGTTGCAGATTTTGCGCATGCGCAGGGCGCAAAGATTGGGGTGCAGTTGGCCCATGCAGGACGCAAAGCAAGTGTTAATGCACCTTGGGTGGCCGCTGAACATGGTTTGCACAGCTTGAGGGCAGAGAGTTCTCAGTTTGGGTGGCCTGGAGATATCGTGGCACCAACAGGAGGGCCAGATTTTGTATGGTCGGGCGGTGGTCCAGAGGACAAGCAGTATCATGTACCGCGAACACTGTCGGTTGAGGAAATCAAAGACGTTGTCAAGGCTTTCGCAGCATCTGCAGCAGCAGCGGTCAAGGCTGGTGTGGATGTTGTTGAAATTCACGGAGCGCACGGTTATCTTGTTCATCAATTTTTAAGTCCAGTGACCAACAAGCGAACCGATGAATATGGTGGATCATATGAGAACAGGACTCGCATAGTCCGGCAGATAGCTACAGCTATCCGCGAAGCTATTCCGCCCGGGGTCCCACTGTTTCTCCGAGTGAGTGCAACGGACTGGCTTGAAGGCATCGAAGTCGCCAAGGAGTCTGGCAGTTGGGATGCTGAATCTACAATTCGGCTGGCAAAAGAGCTTCCCAGCCTCGGTGTGGATTTTATTGATGTCAGCTCTGGTGGAAATCACAAGGATCAGCGAATTGATCCACATACATCTTACCAGATCAACCTCGCCGCCCGCATACGCAAAGAATTGCATGAATCCGGTATTCATAGTCTTTATGTTGGCGCAGTTGGATCCATCACTACATCTTCTCTGGCCAAGGAAATTGTAGAAGGTGCTGATAGTACCACGGAACTTTTAAAGGATGAAGCTAAAGCTGCCGAGTCCGTTGTTAGTGGTTCCGAACCCAAAGCAGATGCTGTTTTTGTTGCGCGCCAGTTTTTGCGTGATCCAGCGTGGGTACTAAATGTTGCAAAAGAGCTTGGTGTTAAGGTTTCTTTGCCTCACCAGTTTTACCGTGCTTTGTGAGCGAGTTATTCTGTGGATCGCGGACGACGTTGTTCTCGTTGGTTGATTGGGGAATCTAGCTGACAATCTCGCGCCGTAGAGAATTATATAGAGTATACGTGGTAATGCAGTCTGATTTGTTCTTAATTGTGGCCAGCTACCTTCTCTTGGAATATTAAGGAAGATTTACTAATACTTTTGACTCGTTCCCCTCGGAATGATTTACGATTCGTAGTGAGAAGTATATTAAACGAGAGCCTTAGGATTGAATGAAAGTACATTTCATAGTCAGTACATTCATCTTACACGGTTCATTGCCTACTTGAAGAAAATTCCCAGGGAGTGTTGAATAATCAGTTCTTGTTTGTGTTGGTTAACAGTATCAACTACGGGACACTCTTGAGAAGCATCTGGTTTGAAAAACGAGAGTAGCAAGTTTGAATATCTATAAAGTTTGTTCCAGCCACAAGCTCTGGATAAGAAGAGAAGAGTTAAGTACACATGACTAAAACACGTACACTGGATACACTACCTGTAGTGTAGACGAGCCCTTGGTAAACTATACTGTGTTTTGAAAATAGAAGAGGAGACAGAAATCTGGCCCCAATGCAATGGAGCTATGCTGCCATATAGGCATCGATAGACTTGCTATATACAATCATATTGTCACAGCCATCATGAGGAAACAGGACCGTTGGTCTCACCAGGAGCATTGGTGTCAAAGTTATAAAGAGTCTCATCGACAATCTCCCAGGTGATATCAACATGGCCGTTGGTGCAACCAGCGCCACCAGAAATTTCATTCAGAACAGACAAACTGAAGTCGAGACCAGGAGCAGCTTGGGCATTCCAGGTAGTGGCATCTAGTGAACCCCCGCCGCAGCGCTGGCAGCCATCACCGATAAAGAGAGGAAGGTCAGAAGCCTGACCGTTGACGGAAACGACAACCTTCTTTCCACAGTAGAGAGATGGGTCTGAGCCGAGTTGTGTGTTGTTCATGGCAACAATGTAGTTGGAATTGATATCGTTGAGGGTCAAGGCAGTCTCCTGATTGCACATGACGGGGCCCATGTTCTGGTATTTGAAGGATGTACCGCAGTCGTCGACATTCTCGACATCGTAGTAGTAGGTACCGAATCCAGCACCGCTGAAGATAGATTGTTGACCAAGGGCACCAGCGAAGAGACCGGCGGCGGTGATGAATTGAGCCTTCATTTTGAATGTTGTGATAAAAAGAAAAAACGAAAGGGTACCGTATGTCTCGCGGTTTGTAAGGAAAGGCTGGGGAAGTCTCCGTCAAGGAACGACAAATCTTAAGGAAAGATTGACCTGGAAAGTGAAGAGAATGACTGTGTCAAAAGACAATAAGGTGAGTGGATGATTGAGGAAAGGAATCTGCATGATGGATGAATTCGAGGGCCCTTATATATTTGGACGCTGCCCTTCTCTGACTCAGCAACAAATGCAGTCCCATGGTTCATGACCATTTCGTAACTTCTGGAAATGCCTCATAGAATTTCGCCCCTGAACAAAGATTCTGGGCCTCCAGGTCCCTTCAGGGCATTGTGCCTGACATCCAATGACAGCGTGGGGAAAGACGTAGTGGCGATCGTCCACGAGGATTTTATTCAGGTCCCCGATTCTCCACACACACTTATCTTTGAGACGGGCTGGTTTCATTCCATTTCCGGCGATTTGGGATGAAGTCTAGAACGCTGGGTGTCAGGGGAGAGTTCTTTCCCCCGCTCGAGTCAACCATGCATCCGAGAATCTTGAGCAACTAATGTCATGCCCTGCCAGTAAGTTAGTTAATCATGTTCGTGATTATACACGGCTTTTTGAGGCTATTATGCTTTTCAATATCTGGTATATATCATCTCTAACGTGAAGCGACGGATAAAGAAGCCGCTCCCGTACTTCGAGAAATAGGGATGAACACGTGGAGATGAAGCGCCCAATGTGTAATTCCTATTGGTACTCAATACCGTAAAGAATAACCTAAACTTGGGGGCGGAACAAGAGGGGAGTGTGCGCAAACGATGTCCCCACGAATAATAGTGTCTCGAATGATAGAGCCTAGAGCGTACAAAGGCCAATAACATCACGTACCAGGTTTAGATGGTGTCTGGCGCAATCTTTGTCATGCTACGTGTAAAGATAGCGAAGCGATGCGTTGAGAAAGACGGACAATTGGGAAGATTAGAATACACAATAACCGAGTACATCTGCCGGTGAGAGTCATTCCTTGGTGAAGAAGCTTCGGTCACGGAACCCGGCATCCGTCTGAACCAATTTTCTACCATTGTCAATGTGGTGATTCGTCCATTGAGTCAAACCAAGCTTACATCATGACCCGAACCGCCCGATTCAAGTAAGAATCGATGGAAGAACAAAAAGAAGGATGAATAGAGTTTTTACGCTAGTGGGGGCTAGTGCAACGGCTAACGATCTTATTAGTCGATCCACTAGAAGGAATGACTTCAAGTGATCTGATTGGATTCTAAGGTCCACTATTTCCTACTATTGTAAGCAGACCATCCAATGAAAGGTGTTTTTGTGGTTTTCTATTTAAACTTTTTCCCGATCGATAAGCTTTGCGATAGGCTACCAACGATTGACTCGGAGTCATTGCCGAATTTCTGCTACCTGAGGCATCAACCCAATTGCATTTCTGTCATGGATATATGCATATGGTAAGATGTCCGACGTCTCAATGATCTCATAACTTTTCTCGCCATCTGTCAAAATCTGCATGAAAATTTTGTGACGAAGGGATTTTCCGATTTATCATCTTTTATGGAGTACTATGAGCCAAAAGAAGAAATAATGCCATCTTACTCTAATTCCCACTATAATACTACAAGCGGCGCGCCACGGGGTGTATACATCGCTCGGGAATGCTGACATTAGCGGAGAAACAAACCAGCTATACAAACGCCTAGGATTGTGATATGGAAGTATGGCAATATTGAACCAGAAATATAACTGTGTTGGTACACTAAACTGAATCAAGTTCAATAAGCCTTGAACGGTCTTCTACCCAATCGCCACATACGCTGAAATAGAAGTTTGTCTAGTCAACTAGAAAAAACTAAAACTACTACTTTGTCTATCAACTAGCTACTGAACTAGTTACTGATTCAGGATGTCAAGTCTAACCCGAAACACCCAGCCTCCATGGTTCTCGTGATATGGCGGCAGTGGGGGTACAGGCAGTTTCTCAGTGTTGATGGACGCATTCTCTTGTCCCGAGATCATTGATTATATAAGGGCTTATAATGATTAACGGCGATCATACCTTAACAGATTTCTATTCTTTTTGACCTCATACCTTGTTCCCCCCCAATTATTTCTACTTCTTTATTGTACAATTACTAACCAGACATATTCATCGGTTTGATGCACCGACCCGTCAATGTGCTTATTTCATTATGTCTACATACTGTAATTATAGGTGAACCTCCAGAGATATTGTCTCCCAGAGTAAAGCACATACGCATCGACTATATGATGTATTATTTCCCACCTACCCTAGACTTTCTAGGGTTGCAAGTATTTCGTCTCAAGTGTAGTTGTGACAGCTTGACATACGGCACCTGACAGAACGTTCGACGGAGCTTACCGGCCGAGGATCAGGACCCTAGGCGGTACTACTCTGGGAATAGCCTCAGCGGTGCCAGATTGGGAAGAGGGTGCGCACAAAGGGGTATATAAAGGGCCTCTAGCGAGGTGGATTTCTGCTTCTTCTTTTCTTCTTCTCTCCCATGCTTATTATTCTCGTGTATGAGCACCTCATGTACGTCTTCTCAGCTAGATCAATACATTGAGCTTGGCCACCGTCACAGTAGTCCCTAGAACGCATCCACTATCGTATGTAGATGGAGAGATGGCCTGCGGTCCACTTAGATTGTCATACCCCAGTTGTTATAGCGTGGCCTTCAGTGGATCATATATAGGGATGCCGTAGGCTACTATCAGTCTTTAAAATGTATAGACAATGACAGGAAACCTCACTTGTTCAAGCCTTTCTGCGGATCATTAGCAAAGGCCACCCATGCTTTCCTCAAATCATCCGCAATCTTTTTCTCTTGCGCCGTTCGACTTACTACCCCTTGAATGTCCATATTCGTGTTGAAAATAAGATTTGCAAACACCTAGGGGTTTGTTTCTATACGTCTGGTCCAACTAGCCTGTCACGCTGATCATCTTACTCCCTCTAAAAGATCCGGCTGACCGTTCGCAATGAAGGATGAGGAAATTGACGATCTGATTAGATTTGTCACCTCATCACGGTATGCAAGACACCTAACTTACAGAGAATTAGCCTTACATCTTGATCTAGGCTATTCTTAATGGCAATCCGATCAGCCTGACTTTCGAGAGGCAATTTACCGTAGGAAAGCTACGTAGCGACAAGGACTTTTGAGGCGGCGGCAGCCGCAAGACGGTCTTTGACAGATGACAACTTAGCACAGATTGGATCGGAGTTTCATGGCACGGACTCTAAATTTCAAAGCACGATCAAGCTCGTCTTGTCGGGTTTAATTTTGGCTATTCTGTCAGGCTCTGACCACCACACCGTTCCGGCCGAATCCTTCGTCACTGCTATAACCTTACAAAATTTCTTATTCTTTTTTTTTGTTTTGTTTTGCTTTTGCTTTCTTTTTTCTCGTGAGTTTGGCTAAGCTTGGCTCATTTCTTTGGACTTTGCTTTCATAACCAGCTGTATATCAGAACATAGATCTTGATATGCAACAGGTAGCTAGCTATATGCCTGGGTAATCTACCACTTAGGAGGATCAAGTTTTGTTCAACTATGATAAATTTATCAATGTTTCTAATCACACGAAGGATAATATCGACTTCGGGAGTTTAGCTACATAATGGGTTCTACTACATGTATGTCTGGAGAAATGCACACTTAAGGCAAAAGACAAAAAAAAAAAAAAGAAATAAGGGTCAACTCTTTGACTCAAATAAATGCTTAGGTATATACCATTTATTATATAGAAATTGGAGTATTGAAGGTTCTCTTCATATGGCTGATGATATGTGATACTTGTGCTCGAGATATTTCTGGCACAATAAAAGTTATCTGACATGCCCTATAGGTTGCTTTGCGAATAATCTCCCTTTAAGACAGTGTATAAGCGGGTATATGAGTATTTGTGGGTGCACTAAGGTGCATATACGTACGTACGAAGCACTTGAGTCAATCTCAATAGGTGATTCTTGGGTTCTGTGTTCTGTTGTGTCTATCTGTCTTAATGAGGCCCCGATGCGGTCTATATAGTCCTTGCTTGACGAGGTCACGTGTAAGCCATACGTGACCTCTCCTTGCTGCATACCAGTGCCAGGCATCTCGATTGCACGAAGCAACCAACAGTATTTGTACTGAATTTCCTCTAACAAAAAGCATACCGGAGTATACATCCATTCTCACCAGGTCATCCCAACGGTGTTCTTTCATCATTTCCAATCGATGCTTTCTTGCTTCCTGCGTACCCATAGGCCAGTCTTCTGTTTCTTTGATAATCTCATCAACAACTTCTTGTGGTTGTGCAATTTTCTTTTCGAGTAAGAGCCTAGTAACCTCTTGTGCCCACCAGTGGTGTTGTTGTGGTGGCACATTACGTGTAGAACATATACGATAGTGCAGGTCAACAAAGTAGAGTTTCACAGTACGATAATGCCCACAGATAGTAGGATTCAGCTATTGAAATCGCTAAAGGCGATGTTCCATGATGTTTGGGAATGTGATCAAGCGAGCTTTCGGTGTGCTTATAGACCCAACGGACTGAAAAGCTAATAAAGGTGTCCAGGTGGAAAACCAAGACTTCCTATTATGGCATCAGCTTCCTTTAGGAGATGTTTGCCATATCGACCTAGCGGCCTGTCCATTCGAGGATCATAGATTCTTTTCCCTTGGGGATGGAGTGGCTCCTCGCCAATTCTGTAGAAACAGTCGCCTATGGGAGTTCCTTATCGAAACGAAATCTTTGGAATTGTGATGTTTTCATTGTCGTAGGGAAATGCTTTCATGGCCACAATGTGTTCATTTTGCTGACCTGGAAGCTGCCAGCTACCAACATTATAGACAGAATTTTCTGGTGTAAGCTCGATGGTATCGATCTGCACAATGATTTGCAGACCATCTCTTCGGAATGCGTCCTGCAGGTTGATGGTATAGGGCGTGAAATCTGGGATCACTGGCTTCTTGAAATAATCCAAGTCTGGCCGTTCCCTAGCAATATCAATAATCGCTTCATTATTCTTTGTTCCATTCTACATATGAAAAGGCCGTTCCAGGTTCAGGATGCTTGAAGCGGAGTAACCGTTCTAGTTTTTTAGTATATAATGCCAGGGGTTGCTTGTCCAGTCTTCTGGAGCCTCAACTGGGGAACCTGATCAATTTTCATTTATTTCCGGGAGCTTAAGACATTCCTTAGCCTCTAGCTATTTCTCCGAATCCGATGGAGGTAGTTCTAAGTCCTCTTTGCCGACAACATCACGAAAGGACTTCAGCGTTTTCTGTGCCTTGCGAAGCTTTTTTAGGTCCTCACCGGTTATCTCTGAGATTTTCGAGGAGTGAGACCTCATACAGATTCCGCCGGTATAGCCGTGTTCTAATATCAGAAAGGACCTTGAAATCAAGTGCCCCCTCCGGAAGCTCATTTTCCCATTCTGTCGGAACTTAAACGTATTACCATAATACCACTTCACCAAAAAGGACGCTTTTGAAGGGATTCTGGTATTTTTGTGGTATTTGCGAACCCTTCCGTAATTTGACTTCTGTATTCTGTTAGAGCTCGAGTTACGCTAGGATGAATACGGAATATAGGCCAATAATAAGAACTAGGAGCTAGGAATTTTTATGTATTGTTGCACGCCTTCTAATACACAATTTGTCGGGAATGTTGATCCCTTTTATATGCGAAATCCTATACAAACTAGATCATGAGATGATGTCCAGTAGAGCTGATTGGATATGCCTATATCTCGTCAGTATGCGAATCCAGTCCTCAAAATTCCTTCATGTTAGTATTGTAACGGATTCCTTGACTCATTTCCGATTAGGGATAGCGTATTGAGTTCCAATAGCAACGATACGACCAAACTGGTCCCACTACGGCATCCCATAAAGGGGTTTTCGGACGAAAGTCGTAATCCGCTAGTAATTGCTATTACCACAGTAATATTTTATGCGTACGGCTAATTCTCATTGGTAAGAAACCCATTATAGGATGCCGTAGCAGCTCTTTTTTTCCTCCTCTTTACTTCTCCATCTCATTGCAACTAATCCTTCATCCTATCACCTGTCGCAACCATGTCTGCACCAAACTTACTGTCCCTTCCAACTGAAATCATATTCCATATCTTCAAACGGCTTGATCGGCCCAGCAAGCTCTCACTCGGCCTGACATGCCCCCGCATCCTTGCTTTATACGCAAGCTTTTTCGACATGGAGCGCTACCGCCATGATCCTGATGCGCGGGAAAAGCTTCGGTTTTCAGCAGATGTCTCCTGGGATGATCCTCAAGGCATGGCAGTTACAATCAGATATCTGACCCTCTCCGGCGGGGACGGTATCAATAGCGAGCCGTCATCACCAACAACCGAAGAGCCATCGCCACTCAGTACTAGTACTGCCGAAGGACAACATGCAGAACCAGGCTTCTCGACCGGATTCTCCTGGGGAGGCGAAGAGGAAGCAACCATTCCATCATACGCCGAAAGCAACGAGGCGCGTGAGGATGCTATGGTAGTATCAATCATGTCCGAGTGGCTGAAGACAAGATTCCGAATCCATGGTGGTTGCATTTTATGCGTTGAATGTGGTCGCTACATGTTGTGTCGTGGGCCAGATGGGAGAAGGGTCCGTTGGACAGAGAACCAGTTGAGGCGTTCACCGTACGTGTTATTTCCAAATATTATTCAGTGACTGTTTTTTTTTCAAGTTATCGTTGCTAATCGGCTGCAGCTGGATGCAACATTGCGGTCCTTGTGATGCTGCGATGGGTATTGCGCCTGGGACAGTATTATCCTGAATTTTACGGCAGGATAGCATCGCGTTGGAGGAGAAAATCAAGTAAAACTAATGAGCATGCTCTTTTTCAACAAGTGCACATAGGCAATGCTATTTATTGTATCTGGTATTGAACCACGGTTAAAAACTGACATTCTTTTTGTTGTCTTCTATGTCTATCTTATCATTTTTTTTTCTACTACCATTTCCAACTCTGAACCTGTGGCAGACGCCCTACGAAGCATTTTTGTGCTCTGGATAATAGAAGCTGTGAACGAATCAATCACAAACTAAACAACATGTAAATGTCTATAGATTGAGTAGTGCAGAAATGCATCACCACACTAACACGGTGGAAAACAAAGCATGAGGCCGTAGGATAAACAGCCTTACATGAAAGTATTTTATGCCTTATCAGAATGAAGCCTCTATAAATTGCATCTGGTTATCCAGCTCAGACAGACATCTTGAAATGAAGGCACCTAATTTCAAATTACATTTTTCTTTCCTACCTGGCCACATAACCCTAGCCTCTTGGTTATTTTCCCCAACCATTTGCAACATCATATGTGTAGAACAAACATTAGATCGACGATATGCCTCACTCTATACCCAAAGACGAGAATGAAAGTCGAAATTGTATAACATTCTAGATAGCGAATAATCTCGTTAATACCAAGGAGATGCCCACGTATCTCTTCCGTCTCACTGCCCCTTCAACAGACGGAAGTACTACCGTATCCTATGTTTGCCCACCTGAGCCACGAAATGAACATGTTAGTTCTTCTGTGCTCTACAATGAAGACCAATGAAGCTATGATTACCCTCAAAATAAGTAGTATTCGCTTATCCTCTAAGGTAGATGAAGGTGAGTGCTAATGCCCCTTTTTGTGTGCTTCCCAAGCGAGGGTCAGTGCCCGATTAGGAAATCGGGCGACGGTGCCCTTTTAAGATATCAACACCATCTTAGCAATTAACCGGCCCCTACGGAGTAGTATTGATCCAGACCCTCGCTAAATCTCTAAGCGAGGCCCAGTGTAACGGAGCGAGAGTATCAGGGTAAAATGCATAGCATAGAAAACTAACAAGACATGAGCTGAAGAGAAGAAACTAATCTACAGGGGAGCAAGCCCATATTTATGTCTGCGCGGAGCCTGCTACAGGGCATGCTTCCTGACGGAGCATGCCTGCTAAATCCGTACAAAGATCCTAAACAAAAGAATACAACAAAACTTTAGTGAAGCTATTCCCAAGACGTGAAACTCATAGAACAAAGATCCTTAGAGGTGTCCTTGGTGTCGTAAACCCTCATCGCCTTTGTCTGCTTGGCGGTGTCGCTGCCCAAGGCAGACCTTGGGGTTGGAACTGTGACATTCTACTATTGACTGCTCGGCTTTGGAGTCAGAAATGGCTTCTTCTGGTGGTAACGCTTTGTGTTATTTAATTAGCTTCTTGACCCACCTAATGTGCTTTTCCTTCATCCTCTGTCACTTCCTGTTTGTTCACTGATTTCCTAACTATAAAAGCCCCTGCCTCATTCATGAAATGTTCTCTTGTTGCTTTATTCCACTGGAATAGTCTAGCTGCTATTCACACTCTCCTTAACTCTCATCGATACACCCTAAGAAGATATACCTATCTAAAATCTACATTGATTTTTTCTCTACTTGCTTCTCTTGATATCGTTTTTATTTTTTTTTCAGTCTCACCATGCCCCTTTCTCGACAGTACGATCATAATAGTATGACGGAAGACGAAGAGAGTCAGAGTGATAGCGATGCCAGTTCCGTGGTGAGCGAGGTCTTTTCGGACGATGAATGTGATGATGATTCTAGCAGCGACTCAGAATTAGAGAGCGAGGATTCGGAAGTTGAAAGTGATTTCGAGGAGGAAGATAATCAAGATCCTGGCCAGCTCTCTCAAGAAGACTATCTTGCTATAGCCAAGCAGTTCGATGTTTCTCAGCTTCAACAGAGCGATATTCTGACAAGTCCAAAGATAAATTAAAGGAGGCCCGCGAGTATTGGGAGAGGTAGGCAGAGTCTCTAGATCTACTAGGCAATAGTAGAAGCTCACACCTTATTTTGGCAGATACTGTCAGCACGTTACTATTAACCTGGTTCAACAATGGTATCTCATCTCAGACTCTGAAGAAACAGTGCGTTTTCTGTATGCATACTTTAGCTGGCAGTGTGATATCTGTCACGGAAAAAATGGTCGACATAACCCAGGTATCAAAGTTAAGAGCTCGCTTGAAACGTTTTAGAAGACCTAGGACCTTGTTCTGAAACAAGAGACCTTGTCTTCAGGGCTAAGCATAGAAACGAAAAATAAAGTGGCTGATGTGAGTTCCTCTAGTGCTTTCCCTTTAGGCTTAATGGTGTGGTCACTGACAGTTTACAGGTTATAGCAGTGATGGCTCAAGAGAAAAAATTAAGAGAGATAAGATGGCCTAAAAAAAACATATACATTAAAGATATAGTCAAGTTCTCTAGTGTTCTAGTATCTACCACTGAAGTAACTTATCATTATGGCTGGGAGCGGATTCAACTTCTTCTTTACACTTAGCTTGCTTCCATTTCTATGAATCACCCTTCCACTCTTTTGGAACTTTAGTATTAGCACCTCACATTCACGCTCATCCATAATCCCAAAGGTGGACGCCCAATCTTGTTCATTTATATAAGACTGGAATTTACAAAGAAATGGCCTAGGAAGAAGGCTTCATAGGTATATATTTAAACATTGCTTGAAAGATTGCTAGCTGACCAGAAAGGAATAAGTTCAAAATTCTAGAAATACTTTTCGATCCATCTCTGGTTCTTAACTCACATGTTTGCCTATTAAGTATACTCTTTCACATCTAGGGCTTTAAGAGAATTTCAATGACTATGCCTGCCCTGGATTGTGCAGAAAGACTCTAGTCTCCGTGTTCTAGGTGGCTTAGGGCAACAAGAGCTGCCACTTTAGGATGACATTCTAGATAGATTTGTATTTTGTTAAGTAGTTCGAGAAACAACTAGATACTGAGTTAATTTAAAGAAGCCTATGACCGCGTCAATGTTAAGAGATTGAATACGTAAAGTTGGCGAGATTACAGGTTTCAATCAGGTAACCAAACCCTATAATCTTCAATATGCTGGAGCCAAAGCGTTCAATAACAGCAGTATGTATGTGTTTTCCCTTTTACAGCTAATCAGCTAACTGGAGGATAGAGGAAGTTAGCGATGTGCTTCAATGCATCATGCTATAGCACGCTGATATGTGCATCTTCATCTAACACTATGAGGTGGATATTGACATTAATGCCCAGGCCATTATCCGTAGGACCAGATCTCAAACACCCCTAGTATAATTTGCTTGCTCACTCATTGCGTCTATTAACCCAAGCCGACCATATAAGCTGTCTCTGGAAGAGTCACGGTATCTAAATGAACTTCCAATAGTTTTGTGAATGGCAGGATACCGTCGACAGGCGTAAAAAGAAGTGGAAGGATTAAAAATACAAGTTATAATAAGCCACCATATCCTGTCAAGCCATGTTTCGCCAGGATGATAAAAAAGACCTTTCACAAAAAGAGTATCGACTATAACAGAAGCTAAAATAGGCTCAGATACAGACTAAAAATGTAGAGAATAAATATAATAAAGCTCTTAACTAACTCCGTAATGAGAAGCAGCGACAATGGAATAAACAAATCCAAGAGAATCTAGAACAATACAGGAACAAGCAACCAGTTATTGACATGCAATCTTAACTGGCAGGGAAGATGGTTGATACCTGTGACAGAGCCACCTCCGTCCCGGCTCCGTACCAGGTCAAAGGTGAAGCCATTCCCGTCGTAGGGCTGCAGCCCTACGGGTTGCCAGATAGGGAACCGCCAGAGCGGTACTGTATTTAGCAAGGTGCCACGCACAGAGATTATATAGATCTCTGTGGCTGGATCGAGAGCTTGTTTCCTTCCTTTCTTTTTCTCTCATGTCAATATTCTCGTGTACGTGTACCTCATTGTATGTAGCTCAGCTCAGCAATACAGTAAGATTGACC